GGCTAGACCAAAAAAAAAAAAAAAAAAATATAAAATTAAAAAAAAAATATAAAAACCCAATTTATGTTTTTTTTTTATATATTATAATAACCCCCCATCACATTAGATATCTAAATCATCAATATGTCTGCTGCAACTGATTCTACCAACCAGGTCCAAGAATCCTTGGAAAAGTTGAACCTTTCTGAAGGATCTGAAGCTGTTGCTCCAACTACTGAAGCTACTGAAGCTGGTGAAGCCACCGAAAATGGTGAAGCCGGTCAAGTTGCTGATATCACTGCTTCTTTGTACGTTGGTGAATTAAACCCAACTGTCAATGAAGCTTTATTATTTGAAATTTTCTCCCCAATTGGACAAGTTTCATCTATTAGAGTTTGTCGTGATGCTGTCTCCAAGAAGTCCCTTGGTTACGCTTACGTCAACTTCCACAAGACTGACGATGGTGAAAAGGCCATTGAAGAATTGAACTATTCTTTAATTGAAGGTCGCCCATGTAGAATCATGTGGTCTCAAAGAGATCCATCTTTAAGAAGAAACGGTGATGCAAATATTTTCATTAAGAATTTGCACCCAGCTATTGACAACAAGGCTTTACACGATACTTTCTCTGCCTTCGGTAAGATCTTATCCTGTAAGGTTGCCACTGATGACTTGGGTAACTCCAAGTGTTTCGGTTTCGTTCACTATGAAACCCCAGAAGCTGCTACCGCTGCCATTGAAAATGTTAACGGTATGCTTTTGAACGACCGTGAAGTCTTTGTTGGAAAGCACGTCTCTAAGAAGGATAGAGAATCTAAATTCGAAGAAATGAAGGCTAACTTCACCAACATTTACGCCAAGAACATTGACTTGGACTACTCTGAAGAAGAATTCAAGAAGTTATTCGAACCATTTGGCGCCATCACTTCTATTTACTTAGAAAAGGATCAAGAAGGTAAATCCAAGGGTTTCGGTTTTGTTAACTACGAAGCTCATGAAGCTGCTACCAAGGCTGTTGAAGAATTGAATGATAAGGAAATCAACGGACAAAAGATTTACGTTGGTAGAGCCCAAAAGAAGAGAGAAAGAATGGAAGAATTGAAGAAACAATACGAATCTACTAGATTAGAAAAATTATCTAAATACCAAGGTGTCAACTTATTCATCAAGAACTTGGATGACACCATTGACTCTGAAAAGTTGGAAGAAGAATTCAAACCATTTGGATCCATCACCAGTGCTAGAGTTATGGTTGACGATGCTGGTAAATCTAAGGGATTCGGTTTCGTTTGTTTCTCCTCTCCAGAAGAAGCTACCAAGGCCATTACTGAAATGAATCAAAGAATGATTGCTGGTAAGCCATTATATGTTGCCCTTGCTCAACGTAAAGATGTGAGAAGATCCCAATTAGAACAACAAATCCAAGCTCGTAACCAAATGAGAATGCAAAACGCTGCCGCCACTGGTGGATTACCAGGTCAATTCATTCCACCAATGTTTTACGGTCAACAACCAGGTTTCTTCCCACCAGGAGGAAGAGGTAATGCTCCATTCCCAGGTCCAAACCCTCAAATGATGTTGCCAAGAGGTCAAATCCCACCGCCACAAGGTCAATGGCCAAGAAATGGTCCAAACGGTCAACCAGTTCCAGTTTACGGTATGCCACCAGTTTACGGTGACTTCCCTAACGGTCCAAACGGTAACCGTCAACAAAGACCAGGTAACTACTACCCAAACAACAACAGAAACCAACAACAACAACAGCAACAACAACAACCAAAGGGTGGTCGTAGAGATTTAGGAGCTTTAATTGCTAATTTACCAATTGATCAACAAAAGAGAATTTTAGGTGAAGAATTATACCCAAAGATTGTCTCCACTGGTAAGGCTCAAGAGCCAGAAGCTGCTGGTAAGATTACTGGTATGATGTTGGATTTAGATAACCAAGAAATTTTAGCCTTGTTAGAAGATGACGAATTATTCAGTAACCATTTCGAAGATGCTTTAACTGCTTATGAAGAATACAAGAAGACCTCTGGAGAAGAAGTTCAAAACTAGATTAGTTTTTGAGTAATTTTTGATGTTCTGATTTATTTTGATAAGGGTTAGTAGAAAGGAGAGAGAAAGATGAAGGAATTTTTGCACTTTAATTTTATTTCAACTGATGAATTGGAGTAGAATTTGGAAGAATAGGTGATGTTATAATTATAATAAATATTTGAATTGAAAGGAATTGTAGGCTGATGAACTGCGGACGATAAAAGAAAGAAGGAAGGAAGGAAAGAATGCATAAAAAGGGAAGAATGCAAAAGGAATGAAACAGAAAGAAGTTTAAGCGAGCAGCATCGTAGCATGTATAAAGAAAGGGAAAAGTATAGAGTAGAAAGACCGAAAGAAAGAGCGAAAGAAAGAGCGAAAGAAAGAGCAACAGAACGAACGAACGAACGAACAGATGCACGAATGAACGAATGAACGAATGAACGAATGAATAAAGTAAGATCCAGAAAGATCCAATTATCATCTCATCAGCTAAACTCAGCAATTCACAACTCGTAACCTCAGTCTCCTCCATTCCCTGATTGGTCCCTCCCTGTTAGCGCTAGGTACTCATAACCTCATGCATCTGGTGATTGCGCAGTTTGGTGTGCCTGCCTGCACCGGAGAGAAGCAAATCGAAAACCTAATTTAGCTACATATGCAAGATTTGCTGGAGTGGGAATTTTCGTATGATTGCTCGGTGAGATTGTCCGAACTAAAAAGGCAGCTAGTGGATTTCTTTTTATAAGAAGGAGAGATAATTTAGTAATTAAAATAGTTCTAAATTGATATTTGAGGAATTTACCTGTTGAGCGAGATCCTTTTGTAGTATTCGCCCGGATTGCAGCCTTCTTGATTTCTCATCTTACTTTTAATTTTTTTTTTTGGATTTGGCATTTCAGCGTTTAGACACCGCAAGCTTATCAAGTGTGCTATATTTAATTCGCTAGCATTACAAGTTCACCACAAGTATTGCCCATTACGAAATACCAACTGAGCAATTTATATCTTTAACACTCGGGAAGGAAACATATAGGAGGAAAATATGACTGTCCCAACCTTTAAAATGGTCTCCCCTAAGGACTTCCAAGCTAATGAGAATATGAAGTTGTCTGGTAGAGTCATCAACGTTATGACCATGTTACCTACCCAAATTGTTAAAACTACCGGTGACGATAACCAGGACACCTGGTCTGTGCAACCAGTTACGGGAAACTCGGCGTTGTACTCTTCACAGCAATTTTTGGATCAAAACACTGACTGGGAGACCCACTTGGTGGGTTGGACCGGCGAGGTGGTCAACAAGACCAAATCGTTTGTCTCATCGTCATTTGCTACACCAAACGTGAACCCCTCAAGTATTACGGCGGAAAACATTCAGGATGATCCGTTGTACTTGGACGATCAAGATAAGATTGAAATCGAAGACAAGATAAGAGTCGCCAGCGGTTCTGAATTTGTACACCCGGTATGGCTCTTGAGAAGGGATCAAGAAAGATGGCGTAAATATGCTGAGAATGTCATATGGCCAGTTTTCCATTATATCCAGGGCCAGGCCACGGATGGTAAGGATGAATTGAATTGGTGGTACGATTACGTCAAGTTCAATGAGTTGTACTTCCAGAAAATCCTGTCTATCTATAAACCAGGGGATATTATTTGGATTCACGACTATTATTTGCTTTTGTTACCCCAATTGATTCGAATGGCGTTCCCTGACGCCTACATCGGGTTGTTCGTTCATGCCCCATTCCCTTCTTCTGAATACTTCAGGTGTCTCTCCAAGAGAACTCAGTTGTTGGATGGAATGTTGGGCGCTGATAGAATAGTATTTCAATCAGAATCCTTCCAGAGACATTTCAGATCATGTTGTGCAAGATTATTGGGATGTGAAGTGAAGGATAACAAGATCTTTGCCTACGGTTCGTACATTTCTTTGGAAACATTACCCATAGGAATCGATACCGAGAAAATTGAGCACAGTGCCTTCTCGAAAACATCGGGGATTGATGATAAGATCAAGGCGTTAAAACAAAGCTACCAAGATCAGAAGATTATTGTAGGTAGAGATAGACTAGACACTGTGAGAGGAGTTGTTCAAAAATTGCAAGCTTTCGAAATGTTTTTACAAATGTATCCTGAGTGGAGATCTAAGGTGGTATTGATTCAGGTTTCCAGTCCGGGATATTCCCATTCTGCTAAAGTCGCTAAAAAGGTCAGCGAGATGGTAAACCATATCAACAGTGAGTACGGTACATTGAACCATACACCAGTTTTACATTACCAAATGAGAATTGAAAAGGAGGAATACTTAGCACTCTTGAGAGTTGCAGATTTGGCACTTGTCACTTCAGTTAGAGATGGTATGAATACTACTTCTTTGGAGTATGTGATTTGTCAAAAGTATACAAATGCACCATTGATCTTATCCGAATTTACTGGAACAGCGCTGGTTTTAAGTGATGCTATCCTTGTTAATCCATGGGATTCGGTGGGGATTGCCAGAACCATCAATGATTGCCTTTTAATGCCAACTGACGAGAAAAAATTGTTGGAGGCAAAACTCTATAAGCAAGTAACCTCCAATACAATTCAAAATTGGACTTCTAACTTCTTGAAGCACTTATTACAGCAAGTTTCGACCACTCACCAATCCAACTATACTCCTGCCCTCAATAGACCATTATTGTTGAAGAACTATAAGCAGGCTAAGAGAAGATTATTTCTCTTCGATTATGATGGTACATTGCTGCCTATTGTTAAAGATCCTGCTGCTGCTATCCCATCTTCTAAGTTGAACAAAGTTTTGGATAAGTTATGTGAAGATCCTAAGAATCAATTTTGGATCATTTCTGGAAGAGATCAAGTATTTTTAGATAAATGGTTTGGGAAAAAGAACATGGGATTGTCTGCTGAGCATGGTTGCTTCATGAGAGATGTTGGCAGTAAGGAATGGGTTAATTTGGCTGAAAGTTTCGATATGTCATGGCAAAAAGAGGTTGAAAACGTCTTCGAATATTATACAGAAAGAACGCCAAATTCTAATATTGAAAGAAAGAAGGTAGCCTTAACGTGGCATTTTAGAAGAGCAGATCCGGAATTAGGTGAATATCAAGCAGAGAGATGTTTCAAACAGTTAATGGACGAAATTGCTCCAAAGTATGATGTTGAAATCATGGAGGGTAAGGCAAACATTGAAGTCAGACCCAAATTTGTCAATAAGGGAGAAATTGCCAAAAGATTGGCGTTATCTAGGCACGGTGATGCACAGGAACCAAATCCGATAGTAATCAAGGAAGAAATGGGAATCCCGAACGAAGAATTACCTGATTTTATCTTATGTCTAGGAGATGATAGAACTGATGAGGATATGTTTAGATCCTTGAAGGAAATAGAAGTCAAATGGCAATTGAATGGAAAGAGCAAAAATGAGTTTGGTTCGTTTGGTGTATATCCAGTGGCAGTTGGACCAGCCTCCAAAGAAACTATTGCCACCTCTCATTTGAATGATCCTGCTTCAGTCATTGAAACTTTGGGATTGTTAGCTGGTACTGTTTCGTTATTTGAAAGTGCTGGTTCTGTTGACTTGGACGATAGAGGGCATGTCAAGAATAGTGTTTCATCTAGAAAGGCTAACGATGCAATTAAAGCGGCAACAGCATTAAAGAAGATTAGAAGCAGGACCGAATAAGCATCCAAAGAATAGGAGCAACAAATACCGACTTACAGTAGAATGACAATTAGAAATAAGGATATAGGATCTATTCTTTACTAGAAACTTCTATAGCAATGACAATTAGAGTTTATTAGAAAGAGCAGTGGCTCTACTTATTGTATTGTAAGCTCACCTTGTCCGATTACTTGATCGTAGTGTCAACTTACCCGTTGGACTGTATGATCGCAGTGTAAGCTCACATTCACTACTTCAACTCATCGCAGCATAAGCTCACCTTGTCTCCATCGCATCGTTAGTACTTTCATCCTTCAGCAGACTCTTTTCACTATAAAGGCCATGCTCAAACAGATACAAATCTGGCAGCCTGTCCGAGTGGTTAAGGAGAAAGATTAGAAATCTTTTGGGCTTTGCCCGCGCAGGTTCGAATCCTGCGGCTGTCGCCATTTTTTTTTTTCGACTCTCTCACACTTGACGCTCATCGCAATTTTCAATTTTTTTTTTTTATGCAGCGCTCTCGCGATGGATCTGAAAAATATCGAGTAGAAACAACTTCTTAGTATTCTTACTCTAGATTCCACAGTGTATAATACCAAATAATACAAGCATGGAACTCGCTATTCATCAAGATGATGTTAACATCTTATTGCAAGAAAAGAACCAGTTGAAAGAAGCCGAATTGGAAAAGTACAGAGTTGCTGGTCAAGTGGCTCAAACATGTTTGCAATACATCTTAGAATTAATTAAAGATTCTTACCATTTAAATAAGACTCCACAACCATACACCTGTCAAGAATTATGTATTTTAGGAGACTCATACTTAAAGACTGCCCTTGAAAACGTCTTCAAAAATGGAGCTGTTAGAGAAAGAGGGATCGCCATGCCAGTTACCATTGAATTGAACGATATTGTCACAGGCTTTTCACCAGAATTAGATGATTCATCAAATTTTGTTTTCCAAGCTGGTGACATTGTCACAATTTCCTTGGGTGCTCACATTGATGGTTACACTGCTAATGTTGCGCACACCGTAGTTATATACCCAGCAGGTAACGATAAGCCAGCCGGTCCCTTGTTGGGAGCCAAGGCTGACGCCATCTGTGCTGCCCACATTGCTACTGAAACTGTTGTAGCCCTTTTGGGAACAGTGTTGAGCCCAGAAAAATTACCAAAGTCCTTAAATACCAATAAAGTTGTTACTGGGTCCATAATTAGAGACTTGGTTGACTCTATTGCTAAATCTTACAACTGTGTAGTAGTTCCAGGATCTAAGATCAGAAGAGTTAGAAGATTCTTAGCTGGTCAAGCTGAAGGTATTGTCGCAGAAAGAGATTTCAAGGGTGTTGTTTGGTCTGAAGCTAACCAAGAAGAATCCTTATTAAATAGATCATCCCACAGTCAGGAATTAATATTGTCTGATAACAAGTCCAAAATAGTAAAGAATTCTAACGGAGCAATTCCAACTGATGAATTTGTTGTCTTGGCAGGTGAAGTTTATAACGTTGACATTAAGATGGCTCCATTGGGTGAATTCAATGAAGTCGGATTAGTTACTTTGGAAACTATCGATGAATTCACAGGTGCCAACCACAAGAAAGACGCCTTTAATACAAAGTCCACCATTTTCATTAGAGATATTATCATTAAGCATGCATTAAAATTGAAAACTTCAAGACAGTTACTTGGTAAAGTTGACAAACAATCAGTCTATCCATTTAAGTTGAGTCACATGTCTGAAAATTTCCCATTGAACATTAAGGAAACTGATCAAAAGCTGTTACAGACCCAAATCCTGGCCATTACCAAGGACGTAAAGGCCAACAGATTAGGATTATCTGAATTAAACAATAGACATTTGCTTAAACAAAAGCCAATTCAAGCTGCTAGATTCATCCCATTGGAATCTATTTTAATGACAAATAATGAATCCGGATCCATGGGTGTCGACTTAGATAAACCCGTTTTGCCAGGCTTAGAATTATCTTTACCAAAGTTGGGAATTTCATCATTGAAATTGAAATCTCTCTTGAAGAAATCCAAGGCTATACCAGTTGCCAGAGAATCCACTACTGTTATTTTGATTGAGGATGGTGTCATTGCTGGGGGTAAGGCTGAAGTCTTGAGATTAACTGGTGGTAGCAAGAACTTTCAACCAAGTTGGGTTCATTCCAACCACAGTTTAGGTGGTAGTTATTTACAAGCCATTGCTGAATTGGATTCTTTAACTAAGGACAAGAAGTTTGGTATAAAAATCAGAGAATGTCAACCATTCAAGGTCCAAGAAAAGGTAACTATGCAATTAGATTAGAAGAAGTAGTAATGTAAATTAAGATACTAGTAGTCTAGTTTGGTATGTAGAAAGCGATAGGTTTGCAAGTTTTAGTTCTATATATTTTTTTATTTTTCACTCTCTTTATTTTGCAGCCCTTCTCAATTAGGAAGTTTTGCTCTGGCAGAAGAGGGCCATACTTAGTAGATTCGTAGAAGAATTTCCGCAACAGTACTTAAACCATCTCAGAAGAGGTATACATGCGATTACCAGATCTGACAAGCGTAAAGTCCTAGTTGTATATAAAGGGAAGTACTTTAGATTATTTGTTGATAGCTTATGGATCTGAAATGTGCTAGTTTTGGCGCCTTCTGGTCAAAGATTTGTTGCATTAAGTGTTTTGTCTCAGTTAAATGCATGGGTTTGACTCAGGTATATACATTAGCTCCTAAGTGAGTGCCACCGAGGAGTATTTCAAGTATTATAGATTCGAACCTTGTTCTTACAAGACATCAAAGGTAAAATTGGAGAAAAGGCCCATCCACATAGCGATTAGTTAAATACATTGCAAGGTTACAAAAACGTGGAACATGCCAAACAATAAAATGTTCACATAAATTGGAATTTTCAGAAAAAATTACTTAGTGCAAGAGGGCACCAGAGATAGCAAGAGATAGTGACAGCTCTTCTACTTAACTCAACTACGACGTGATCAGTTTTTAGAACTCGGAATCGGCGAAGGAATGAGATGGTAAGGTGTAAAGTGTGATCAGAGTATACTCATTAGACTACCTGACTAGCTTATCTTTTGCACCTGCTCTAGGCTAAGCGATGACCCGAGGGTGGTCCCAAAGTGAGAACATCACGTGCAAAAGAGGGGGAGCTTTGGAGAACAGGTGCAATCGACAATCTCAGTTGACTTTTCCTTTTCTTTTGTGTATGTGAAAATGAAAAAATAATCAAAAATTCGGTGACGTAAAAATTATTTTAAGCCCAGTACACCACGATAGTGTGCCACCCCATCCGCCTTGCTCCCCCCCTCAATTTTAACTACACCACCCATGGGTGCAGCCCATGGATTCATGGCAAAAAAGTTACGTAAGAATATAGAAGCTGATGGGCCCCCAAATCACACCACTTAGCCAAGAAGGTACATCGAGGACAATGCACAATTGGTGATGATGATTATGATGATGACGCCTCCAGCAAGGCAATTGCTGGTGCAATTGAGTCTCCCTTTAGCTTACTGAATACTGTGCCTGAGTTACAAGGTACTGAGCATCAGAGGATGAAATTTCTTTTTTTTTATGCTTTCCGTTCACATTATTTTTTCTTTTTTTCTATTCTTTGAGCAAGCGGATTTCTACCCTCACTCTCTCTCACTCCATCATACACGCACACCCCCTCGACACTTCAAGCAATGGGCAGCACTCCCATATTCTTTTTGATGATACTCGTGAATAGTCACCCCTCATCGTTTCGCTTTAATTCTCGCTCGCTTCAATTCTCCTATTATGTATTCTTTTTTTTTCTTCAACCATCGCCCACTTCACGAGTATCACCCCAGCTGTGGTCAGTATTGAATCGTATTGGCATCAGATTATCTCTACGGTTCCATATCGCGAACCTAAACCACTACACCCACCAAAAGCGTTCCGCCTGGACAAGTGTCTTCTATTATTTTATTTTTTTATTTATTTTTTTTTTATTTTATTTTTCTTTTGCTTTCTCGTGAATTTGGTTGGTCTACGAAATACATTGAGTCAAAATTACTACAAGGAAAGGGATCATACTACACATAATAAACCGGAAAGAGAGATTGGGAATGTACTCAATTCTACCACAAAGTGCAGGCTAAGATGGTTCTAATCAATTTTTTTAACTTTTACTTGCAAGAACCGTTCTATTACCCAACTGTATTCACCTTGTCGTCCTTCTGCCTGTATTGTTATTTTTCAATTTTACCCCGATTAGTTGTCTCCTGTTGATCAAAATGCAATACAAACTGGTAACGCCAATTTTTTCTTTTTTTTTTTTTGTCTTTTTTTCGTCTTTGTGTAAACTTGTCAGAATTTTGTGTCATTTTGACCAAAAAAGCGACGACGCACAACAAACAAAGTTGTAGCAAGGGAGTGTTTCCTTTATAAAATCCTTTTTTTACCACTCTTTTTAATTAAGTTAGTCTTACCAAAAGATATACCTTTAATTTAATTTTCAATAGTAATATACATATAAAGTAAGTAAGCTTTATGGAATGAAGTTCTAGATTGATCGGGACCAATTGGACGAAAGATACCTCCTCAATAAGGGTGAACGAAAATTGATTTTTTGTCATGATTCGTGGCGTTGATTTAGGGGGTTCGAAAATCGGATAGCAAGAATACGTTCAAGAACACAATGGCGAATAAGTGATCGGCGTAAGACAGTAAAGGGTACTACAAAGGAGCTTGCTGACAGGTCAATGTCAGTTGCGACTGTATTAGATGATATATCTGGCTGAAAGCTGTTTCATTGATGTGTCATGACTACTGATTGTGGTGACCGTTCTCAGCCAACCAACGAAAAAAAAAAATCAGTAAAAACTCCCCAGTGATCAGTGAAGATCTCCAGGCAGTGGACCTGGAACCAAATCAATCGAAGCAGTGGTTCGCCCAAGTCTGTTGATGCTTTTCAAACCAGTAACAGTAGATTCCACGAGTTCCTGATGAACAGTCGGGAGTATCTCGGTACAGCAAGTCACATGATGTGCATCTATTCCTTTTGTCCCAGGCCGTCAAAATTGTTCACGCAAATATTCAAGTAACCCGAAATTTCACGTATAATGTCTCTTCTAATCTCATTTGGTTTCTTCTCTTGAATTGAAATATATCAAAAAACACAACATTTTACTAACATTTTCCTTTTAGATGCCTGCATCCCGTGAAGACTCTGTCTATCTTGCCAAGTTAGCTGAACAAGCTGAAAGATATGAAGAAATGGTGGAAAACATGAAGGCCGTTGCTTCCTCAGGTCAAGAATTGTCTGTTGAAGAACGTAACTTACTTTCAGTCGCTTACAAGAACGTGATTGGAGCTAGAAGAGCCTCATGGAGAATTGTTTCTTCTATCGAACAGAAGGAAGAATCTAAGGGTAATGAATCGCAAGTTACTTTAATTAGAGAATACCGTTCTAAGATTGAACAAGAATTATCCAAAATCTGTGAAGATATCTTGTCAGTTTTGACCGACCACTTGATTTCCTCTGCTCAAACCGGTGAATCCAAGGTTTTCTACTATAAGATGAAGGGTGATTACCACCGTTATTTAGCTGAATTTGCCATCTCTGGAAAGAGAAAGGAAGCTGCTGACTTATCATTAGACGCTTACAAGGCTGCATCAGATGTTGCTGTGACAGAATTACCACCTACCCACCCAATTAGATTAGGTTTGGCCTTAAACTTCTCCGTTTTCTACTACGAAATCTTGAACTCTCCAGACAGAGCTTGTCACTTAGCTAAGCAAGCTTTTGACGATGCCGTTGCTGATTTAGAAACCTTAAGTGAAGACTCTTACAAAGATTCCACATTAATTATGCAATTATTACGTGACAACTTGACCTTATGGACTGATTTATCCGAAGCTCCAAACCAAGCTGAAGAACCAGCTAGTGAAACAAGAGCTGAAGAAGAGTAAATTATCAAAATATAAGGAATAAAAGGTAAAAATTTTTAAAAAACACGAAAAAATGAAAAAAAAAGAATGAAATATTGTAGTAGCCTATTCAGCGATGAAAGTTGTGAAAGAAAGTTAAGAAAGAATGAATGAAAGAAAGAAATTTTTGAATTATGAATGTATTTTATTTCCTGTTTGAACTAGATAAGAATAATAGGATTACATTGAAGTAGTAATATGTAAGCAAGAGATAGGAAATGTTTGACATTAAAAGAAAGAAATAAAAAAACATTTCTAACATTTCTTAGCTAGTTAGCTAGTAGTTGAAAGATGTTTTGCAGGAGTGGAGCGGGCCCAATTTGAGGAAAGAAGAAATCATATGGTGGGCAATGCAGAATGTGTAATATTGGACAGAAAGAGAAGAAGAATGAAACTATAAGATGTCGAGAATGAGAAATTTAATATTAGCTGAAAGTGTACTGAATTATGAAAGACAAGTGAACATGATGTAAGATTCTCCAACCAAACCTGCTCTTCACCCTATGCTTCACGACACTGCATTTGATGCCGCATTATCTGTATCGAATTTTCAACTAGTTCTTGCTGCATTTCTATTAAACTCTATCAGTACAGAAAACAACACACTAATTTATACGATTTAATCTTCTAATCAGTTCGAATAATATGTTTTAGTACGTCATGTGCATTCTACCATGTTTGGCTAAATTCATTACTATTGTAGCGACATATTATTGTTCTTATTTTTATTATTATTATTATTAATTTTTTTTTTCATGGTATTGATTGTCCTCTCAGGTATTTCCATTTTCCACTGCAGGTACTGAGCCTGTTCTAACGCATAAGCACAGGCCCATCTACTTGGAACACACTCAGGCATGCGCACCTGAGCAACACGCTGAACAATACGCCGAATTACCCTCAAGTACTCTCGACTGATACTTTTTGCTACACTCTCTCCGCTAGTACTTCTTTACTCTAAACTCATTCGAGAAAGGTAAACAAAAGATCCATCGTACAAACAACCGTATGTTTACAATTTGTTTACATCTTGTTTCAAACTATTTTACAAGAGAATGTGAAACTTTACTTGAATCACTGGCAACTTGAGGGACGAGCAAACGAAACGCGTCAAAGTAAGGGGAAAAAAATTGCGTTTTCGCAACGAAAAGCTAAAATCCGTCAGTGGAAGGGAAAAAAAACAAGACAGAAAAAAAAAAATAGTGCACACCTCGAAAATTTCCAGTGAGGTAAATCAAAATAGAAGCGCAACAATAACAGTCTTTCCTGAGTTGAAGTAGACTAGTACGAGTTTGCGGGTATTGATATTGTTCTATATACTTATATATTCTCATCTTATACCGATATATACCACACATAAGTCATGCAAGAGCCCGTTGGAATTTCGAATTTGCCAAATCAAAGGTATGTTACTAATTTTAGTACGTGTCGAATCAAGGCTGCGCCGGCCAGATATGATACACACTGTTTTACAGACGTTTTATATGTTATTGCTCTATTACTAACTGACTTTTTACAGGTACAACATTGTCTTGAAACAGGGTGCCACATTTACTATCATGGTTTGTGGTGAAAGTGGTTTGGGTAAGACCACTTTTGTCAACACATTGTTTCAGTCCACGTTGAAGGAACACGCCAACCCTACTGAACGTCACAATAAATTCACCCTGTCACATCAAACTGTCGAAATTGACATCGTTAGAGCCATTTTGGAAGAAAAGAACTTCAAAATGAGATTAAACATTATTGATACTCCGGGTTTTGGAAACAACGTGAACAACCACGATTCTTGGACTCCAATTATTGATTTCTTGGATGACCAACACGAATCATTTATGAAACAAGAACAGCAACCTATTAGATACGCAAAGAAGGATCTCAGAGTCCATGCATGTTTATACTTCATTCGTCCTACTGGCCACTCTTTAAAACCATTGGACATTGAAATTATGAAAAGATTAAGTACCAGGGTTAACTTGATCCCGGTAATTGCCAAGGCTGACACTTTGTCACCATCGGAATTAGAATCATTCAAAAACAGAATAAGAGACGTGATTGAGGCTCAAGATATTAATATTTACACTCCACCTTTGGAAGTTGAGGACTCACCAGCTGCGGAACATGCAAAGCAATTAATTGAAGCAATGCCTTTCGCCATTATCGGATCAGAAGAAGAAATTGAGGTTTCCCCTGGTAATTTCGTAAGAGGTAGACAATACCCATGGGGGACTGTCGAAGTAGAAAATGACCAACATTGTGATTTCAAGAAATTGAGATCCTTGTTAATAAGAACAAATATGTTGGATTTGATTTTATCGACCAATGAAATACATTTTGAAACTTTTAGATCACTCAAATTGGGTGACGATGATCATCCTTCAACCAATGGAGGTGTAAGCAGAGATGCCAATGGTGAATCAGAAGAAAATGGTCTCAAACAGACAATTGCTAAGAATAAGCCAAGAAGATTACATAACCCTAAATTTAAGGAAGAAGAAGATGCTTTGAAGAAATTTTTCACCGAACAGGTCAAAGCTGAAGAGCAAAGATTTAGACAATGGGAAACTAATATTGTTAATGAGAGGAATAGACTTAACCTGGATTTGGAAGAAATGCAAGCTAAATTAAAGTCGTTGGAAGAACTGGTGAAGAAGCTACAAATTAACAAAAGGTAAGAGCATGGCATGAAAGGGAGCGAGTAAGGAACTTCTATTCCTTAGACATCAAGCTGTGACGATGGAATGTTAAGAACACACAGTGTCAGGCTTAAAGATTTCATGGACTTTGGGGAAACATCCAGAGAGTCACTGATTTTTCAAATCAGGTGAATAAATGGACATTATGAATGAAAAGATAATTAACTGTGTAAAATTTACACCAGGAACTCAATTTAACCTAATTTAGTCCCATGGTGTGAATGGAGCAGAAATAGGAGGCAGAGACAGAAGGAGAGCGAGGTATTACATAGTTGCAATATATTTTGTTAATAAAAAGAGAGACACACAAAAAAACACACCAAAGTAAATGTATAGTTAGACTGATAAGAATTAGATCTAAGTGATGCATGTAAGTAGACTCAAATTACAAGATAATTAGAGTAACGCCTAAACAATTCTATACTAGGGAACCTCTAAGAATCCCTCATAACCTTAAGGTTCCAGTACGGTGAAATTATAGAAAGTGCGCAGGGTGAAATTTCTGTCCCTCCGAAGAAAAACGATACAGCAACTAGGCCAGTAATTAGGATCGTAAACTGTTTAGGAGGGCTATTCGTACAAAGGATCAGCATAAGAAAATACACACCACCATGGAAAGCGCGTCCAGGTTTAAGAGAAATTATAGGGCTTGCTTGAACTGTCGTGTAAGAAAAGTTAAGTGTGATCTCGGGCCCGTTGATAACCCGAGAGATGGGAAATGCTTGAGATGCTTAAGAGAGAGAAAAGATTGTGTATTTGTAGAGTCTCGCCGAAGTAGTGGAGGACCAACAGGAAGTGCTTCAAGCTCAGGTGGAAATGTGGCAGCAAGCGGAAGCGGAAATGCGTATGAAGGACAGGTTATAAGTACAAAGCTTATGGGCTCTCCATCTCCCCAAGCTGCGGCATCTCCTCCGGTTAGAAGCGGGTCGAATGTGATCGCACAGAATAACTCTAATATACATCAACCACAACCCTTACAAGACGATAAAAATCCTAGACAGGATGAGCCAGGTGGGCATTTTGCCACCATGGAGGGTGCTTTAGTCTTCCTTGCTAAAGCTGCTGGTACTATAGCTGAAGCCGACGAGCGAGATAACATTGATGCTCAGAAGAAGCTCGAGCAAATTGAATCTTCCTACAATAATTCAGAATCGGATAGGGAAGTTTCAAATAACAATAGTAGCAGTAATCTTGCTAATACTGGGGTAGACAGTAATAATAGTAAGCTGGGGACAATAAACAATTCTTTGTCAAATATCCTTAATCCAAAATCAAATCTCAGTAGCAAATCACCCAGTCTAAGCGGCAGCAGAGAAAACTTATCCCATTCCAGATCTTCAGGCACTAACCTTAAGAACGCTTCATCTTACCCCCATCCACAGAATATGCACAAACGTAGAGTTATGCCTCTTGCTGAAAAGCCCGATATGATCAGACCAAGGGCCTCTAATAAACTATCTCACTTTGATTATATTGGGGAACCGAATGGAATATTAAGTGAATTTGAAGCTGAAAATCTAATAAACTTGTTCTTTACTACGATGCATCCATATTTCCCATTCATTCCCAAATACTTGCACCTGCCGAAGGTCTTGGCAGGTTATCCAATATTGTTATGCTCTATACTAACGATATCTTCCAGATATCACCCACTATCGGATGACTCCTCACTGAATTCTGGAGCAGTTCCAAGAAATATAGAAGTTCATGATAGACTTTGGCTATATGTTCAAAGACTTATTTCACAGACAGTCTGGGCAGAAGCAAGCACCAGGTCTATTGGTACTGTTTTTGCCTTCTTACTTTTCACCGAATGGAATCCAAGAGCTATTCACTGGAGATGGTCAGACTATGCAAATAAGGCAGAAGATGTAGGGTCATCAATGAAAGATGATATAGGAAACACAGCTTCGTCAGGATCTGGTTCAGCAGGTCCTTTCGGTACTGAGAATGGTAATGAAGTAGAAACTAATATGCCAGGTCTTGGTGCCACGAGAAGAAGTTATCGTATGGCATGGATGTTAATTGGATCAGCGGTTAGATTAGCACAGGACATGGGATTTATGGAAGTAAGTCCAAAGACATTCTTGGCTACGCATATAGCAGAAATCAATAGTGTAATGAATATCAGCAGAAGGTCAATGTTGGCGCATTCATTAAGTGAATTGGATTTGGACGATGACGATGACGAAGTTGATGAAGACGAAGAGAATGAAAATGAAGACATTGACGAGAGTTTCTTCGAAGAAGTTAGTCATGGTAAGAAGAAAAAGGATCAAAAAGAAAATGATGATAGTGACAATGACCATGTATTCATTAACATGAACGAAAAGGAACTACTGGACTATTCAATGTCATGCTCTGCTTTGAAATTCACTCCAATGCAGAAGGCCAAAATTGAGCTACTTCAAATCATGTCATTGGGGCATGAGTCTCTTTATGGATATAAAGCTCAATTGGGAAGTTTGAGTCAGAGACAGAATCTTTCAATATTGAACATATTGAGCCCAATCCTTAAAAATTGGGGTAAGAAATATAAAAGATTTTTAGTTGTGACTAAACCGAAATCGATTAACTTAAGTACTCTACAACAATATTTGTTGAGTCCAGGTTCAAAAATTGCAAATGAATTGAGAATAATTATTGACAGGGAATCATTAATATTCGAGTATAACTACACCAAATTATATATTTATTCTTTGGCTTTAAGCCCAAGTCCACAATCTGAAAAGAAGAATGGAAAAGGAGTGAATGGTGATAATACTAGTAAGAAGAGAAACAGAGTCAGTCTAAAGCTTGACGAAATTTCGAAGGCAGCTGTTTTCATAGAACAAGCTTATACTGCAGCGAATGAAATGTTACACTCTGTTCAGAGAATACATAGATTCAGAATGTTGAAGTACATGCCGGTAAGATGGTTGACTAGGATTGTAAGAGCCATTGCATTTGTGGTAAAATGCTACTTGACAATAACTGCACATAATCGTACGAGTGCAAATAATAATGCCACTAAGGTAAGCATTGCAAATTCATTTGATGGGTATGATTCAACTGTCTTGTCTTTGTCATTAATTTCTATAGAAGACATAGTCGTAACTATTCAGAAGGCTGCCATTACTCTAAGAGACTGTTCTCCTGATGAGTTACATCTTTGTACGAGGTACTCAAATATTTTGATGTATCTCTGTTCTGATATGAAGTCTAAAATGAAAAACAATAATAATGGGGCAGCAAATGAATACCCCTTAAACAAGAGGGCTAGGTACGAGGAGGACAAAATTGCAGACACATTCCAACAGCAACAAGAGCTGCTGCTGTACAGTCCACGAAATGATCCATATTTCGTAGACCAGACACAACCATCGCAACTGGCAGCATTTCCTCTTCAAGCAGACCAGTTCTATAATCCAATTCAACTGGGAAGTTCTCAGAACCAAGCACGAGGTGGCCAATATCAACAACGGGACGAGAATCAAATAAATTTGGATAACAATAGTGACTTCCAATACAAAGATGATTCTAGAGCAGCAATGACTAACGGTGAGATAACAAACAATCCGCTACCTACCAGCGGCTACAGTAAACCTCTTCAGGGTGAACGTGAGAACAGAGAGGATGTTTCACCTTTCCAAACTATGGTCGGTGATAGTGAAGTCATGGAATGGTTTGTTAATAACAGAGATGTAGGATTGGATTTCGTTGGTCCTTGGACCGAAATGATAGAACAGCACTTGGATGCAAATCAGTTTAACTTCGATGAAGCAATGAATTAAATTAGCTCTCTTTTACTTTACATGGGGATAATTCATTTGTCCCACACTTTCTTTAATTAGCTTCATTATTCATGAGTTACTACTATGTACATAATCTTAAATAAATAAACCAAACAAACTAAAATTAAGTAGTTTCCTTAATTTTTTCATTTCTATGGGGTCCATTTAATGTCATCAGAATTTTGGATCTTACGAATTATTTCATACATTGAGTTCTGCGTGGCCAACGTATTGTTAACCTCAGCGCTATTACCGTTACCGTTCACAGTGTTAGGATTGATTGGGAATACAACTAATGGGTATTTCTGTATTCTTCCTTGTATCTCTTTCCATATGGGTTCGGACAAATAACTATTATTTAGGAAGAAGTCCTGAAATTGAAGAATTTCCGGAATCGATGCAGACTTATAAAAATTGTCAACTTCCAATTTTGCTCTTTCCACAGTGTCCTCATCGCAATGCTGAAGTTTTAGGAACTTTTCGATATCTATGTTTGTTGCTTGTTGTTGACGCTGCTGTTGTAAATTCAACAACCTAGATTGCTCTTGCTGCTCATAGAAGTTCAACTCCATATTCGTGTCGATATCGCTAAAATGCTGAGAAATACTTGGTTGTTCTTTGATAGCAGAAAATATTTGATGCAAGTTGGAGCATGAGTTTTGGGCAGTGATATTCCCTCTACCTGCCATATATTTTAGCAAAACAAGTCCCTTTTGTATGTGGCTATATTGCCTTCCATTAACTTGACTTAAAATAAGCAACATCATTGCTGAATAAACGTACTGACCATCCCAAAAACCTAATTCAAATAATAAGTTATTCTTATATAAAGTGTACACTAAGTCAATTAATGCACAAGCAGCATATATTCCCTTGAATATGGATTGAACAATTTCGTTGGAGTTATTATCAACTATATTACCGGCATTTTTGTTAAACATGAGACAAATCAACGGCTTCACAATTGTTGAGATCAATTGGAAGAATCTTAAAAACAAGTTAGTTAACCTTCTAGATTGTGATTGAACGATATCAGATTTGTTATATTGACCTAAGATGGTCAATTCTAAATTCTTTATAAGATCTTTCAAACAGTCGATAATGTTTTTAATCAATAGTCTTTGATTGAATTGATCAGTGTTAATGTAATTCACACTGAAAGTTCTGATTTTTGGTCCATAAATGATTCTACCAAATTTGGAAATATATTTTGATAAGTGAACATTCAGTTCAAGCATGACGGAGTCAAAATTGTCGTTCAACGCGTAGATGTTATCCAAGGGTAAGTCAACGTCAGTGTCTGTATAATCGATATGCACAGGCATACTCATTTTTGAAGCCCAAGTTGTGTCAATGATAAACACAGTCCACCAAATTCTTTTACCCTTTTCTTCTGCTACCAAGTCATGCTCGGTTGGGTTCGCCTTTGCATATGTTTTCTGCCTGTGCAATCCCATAGCCACAGACGCTCTAGAAGCCACTCCAAAGTAGTTGTAAACAGTATTATACCTATTTAGGTTAGCAGCGTACAACCCCAATAAAGTGGCTGCCTGGACGAAGTGAATGTTCAATTCTTCTTGAGCAACATTAAACAATTGAGACGCTATTATGTAGTACTCAATACCAGGAATATTTATAGGAGAATGGCTAGCTATTTGGGACTTAGGAATGACAGGTGGAGTCAATTGTTGTGCACCAAATGCCAAGATGACGTAAAAATAACTTAATGAAACATGATTTACAAGTTTCAATAGTTCAGTTGGTTGGTGGAAGTTAGCATATATCTTGTCAATTAAGTGAAAAATTTCTGGGAAATCAACCAAGTAAAACTCCAAAGAGTACCTTCTCTGGACAGTTTCAAGCAAGAGCATAGTATGTTCTCTAGGGGGAAGTGGTCTATCCCAAAAGTTCAAGTGCCACTGTAAGGATTCATTGTGACGATCAGGTAAAAGGAAATTCTCAAGTGTGAAGTTGAAGAGACCAGGGTCCGCTTTAATTTGAGATCTGGGCTGTATTGGAGAAGTGAAAGTCAACGGCACGGGGAAAGATTTAGACGGGGGCCCATTACCGAGCGTTGTTTGTGTGTCATGGTTGAGCTGAGTGTGCGAAAGACTCTGGTGCTGTTGTTGTTGTTGTTGTTGTTGTTGCAGCAGCGGCACTGAATCGATCTGTTCACCTTTTTGTCTTAACAATCCCTCCAAGTAACTCACCCGTTCGTGAAGTTTATCCAAATCACTCTCCATTAACATAATCTTCCGATCTTTCGCCGGGTACACACATTGATGTTGCTTATTACTATTTATACAGTTGGTGCATGCGGGCTTTTCCCCGGAGCACCTCATTTTCGAGATCTTACATCTTTGGCAAGCATAGTGTGATCTTCCAAACACTTTCAAAGGTATTGGTTTCTCATTCATGCTGCAAGCCAATGTGAGGTTATATTTATACGTTTATACTGATAGTCAAAAGGTAGTCTTCCCTCGAGTATTGGATTGTTTTTATTCTTTCCTGAATGTCGTTGTAATTCAATTTCAAAATTTTGCCTCTTTGTTCTTCTTGGTTATTTTTTCCTAGTAATTTTTTTAATTTTAATTTTATTTTCTTAATTTATCCTTTTTTCTTTATGTGTGACACTTTAGTTGGTCAAAGGCTTGAGTGAGGTGGAAGAAAAAGGTAATGAAGTTATGAGAGAATTGGAAGGAGGAAGATACACTTGAAGGTCGAAAAGTAATTTACAGAAAAAAAAAATATCCGAAGCAATCTCAATACCCAGTAGAGCTCAAATACCTGGGATCCATACGAACGTTAAGCGACTATATATCAGTTGGAATGCCTTTAAGCGCTTAGATTCTATATATTAAAAAAAAAAGAAAAGGAAAAAGAAAAACAGTAGAAAAAAAAAAAAAAAAAAAAAAAAAAAAAAAAAAAAAACCCCAAAAAAAAAAAAAAAAAAAAAAAAAAAAAATAAAAATGAACCCCCAAATTCATAAATAATGCAAATCTAAATATAAAGACTTCTAGTTACAATATCAATCTTCGGAAATGAGTGATGGGATTACGACTATCGCGATCGTAATATGCTATGCGTTATTCGAAATCGGTATCCTTCCCACTGTTGCCATCAACTACTCCGCTGTTTCTGCTAAGTAGATTAAAAAGTTCGTAGTACTTTTTTTTTGGTCATCTCGCTGTCTCATTTAATTAAATTTAACTGCAGCTGTGTACTTTTCCCTGTGGTCGTTAGCGATCAACGCTAGAGAAAGGGTTAAAAACAAAAAAAAAAAAAAAAAAAATAGATTTACGAATCTCCCACAGGAACTTAATTTTTCTATGGACGGATTTCTGGAAATTCCCAAAGGTAAAATAGGAGCCTCTTCGTGTTTCGGTAAGATGAATATGAAGCAGCTAGAATTTCAAAGGTCGCCCCAAAAGGGCTTCTAAAAAGAAACTTGCGCTGGAGCGAGCTCAAAGGGAACGGCTGAGAACTCTAATTACGCTTTACTACTATTGTTCTAGCACTTCTTGTCTGAAAGGGGCCATGCCTTGATCATGGAAAAGTCATTGGAGAGAGAGTTTAACTTTTTCGCTTTCTCAATCTAAAATCGCATAACACACATTAAGCAATATTATTTTCTTCTATTTCTCGAAATTATCTGCACTCTGCGAATTATTGTACTGTACTTCATGCAAAATAATGCGTAAGCTTAATTGAAAAAATTGGTATTCATGTAGGGGTTTTTGTTTGGCAGGCTATGATGCAATTGATGGGAACAGGACATATATGAAACAGACTTTTTGTGCGTGATATATAAACAAACACGCCGAAAAGGAGTCCAAGGGAAATGAAACTAGATCAGGGTTTGGAATTTTCATTGGTACACTTTTCGGAGATTGTACCGCTTCATCCGTCTGGAATAACCCAATTTCTTGATTCAACTTGAGGATGAGCATTGATGATATTTTTTCACCCAGTGCCCACTGCGGGAATAATAATGGCTAAAACCCAGAATCTATCAAAGCCTAAAAAAAAGAATGCTCACCAGTGGAAAGTGCACCAACAAACAACTGGTTTGACGTATAAGACAAACCAAACAAGATAAAACAAGAAAGCAAAAAGAAGACAAGAAAACCATAACCGTATGAAAATGAACATCGCAAACATAATATCCATTCTGGCACCGTTGGCTACCATGTGTAACTGTCCCTATAGTCACATCGCATCGTGCAAATTCTACATTTCCCGTTTTACCCTAATGCCTAATACGGGTCACAATAGACAAGAAAAAACACGGAAAAGTGCCCTACCTCAAATTAACTTTATTTTCAATGGGCCCTATTATTTTTTGGTGTTATTTTTTGACTTTCTATTTTTTGGAGCTTTAGGTATTCCCACATAGACACTGGTGAAATACCCTCAAACCTAAACTGTTTTCGTAGATTTACCTCACGAAATCTAGATTAACAAAGAAGATCTCCTTTATAACTACAGATTCCCTAACAGAAAAAACCGCTTTTGAGCCTCATAAACCAAGCCTGGACATCGTTGAAAAAGAGGGAGGATGTCTCATGCGATACACCCTCCCTCTTCCTCTGACAATTGGCTCCTCTTCATTCCAGCGCAGTTGCCCCATTTGTATAATGCGTAGCTTAAATTTTCTTTCATGTCGGGCCAGTGCAGGTTTCGTATGTGAGAACGCACTCCGGAAATCTTTCAAGTTTCTATTCTTTTTTATTTTTTTTTTTTTGATAGAAGCGACGCTACAGATACTTTTTCAGAAGGGTACTGCACAAAATTAGATTCACTGTTTGATTTGGTTTAGGGGTACAGCATTTTCAGAACGTTCTGCACAAAATCAGATACAAAGTATGGCTTTGGTGTACTTGGCTCTGGTGTAGGGGTACTGCATACCTTGCATGCATATCGCCTTTTATTTTTTTATTTCGGAATCCTGCGTACTGCACATAACCGTGACAGTTCTACGGTAGATGAGATGGGGATGATATTCAAGGTGAGCTACTACCCAAGGGATAGAAGTCACGTCAATGACATTGATCAAGAAAGTTAAGGAGAATTTGATCCATTACAATCTTTGGAAATCCGTCCAAGAGCATGACTCCAAAGTTTTATCAGGATTCCCTCCTTCCAAACTCATCATTGACGATGAAGACAATCAAGAAGAGTGGGTGGTTCCCAAACTAATGACTGATAAAGACTTCTCCATTGAAGAGATAGAATCATGGTTTGTTCAAATAGAGAAGATATCTACAAAGAGACCCGCAAGGATTACAATTGGTCTAGTAAATGATGATGCAACTATTGTGTATTATTTCATTCACGATGGCATAGTTAAACCAAGGCAAAACTGATTTCAAACTAGTTTCTATTCTAGGACAGACTAATCTCTTTTATTACTCAGTCTTCTCGAACCCCTTGATCTTCTATCAGATCCTCTCCTATCTGAACTTTTGGTGCGGAATCCGTAATAATCCGAAACATCATCGGTTCCAGAGCCAATTTCAGATTCATCATCGTCGAAGTCTTCGTCTTCGCTATCGGTTAGGTATCCCAAGTCGATATTAAGTTCAGGATCGTCTTGCTCACGATATTCCTTTCTTTTGGATATGGCTAATTTGTTCGTTACTACCGACCTTAAGCTGCTACTGCGCCTGAGACTTCCAGATGCACGTTTATAACTCTCGTTATCATCACTATAGTCCTGGCTGTTCTGACGACGATGCTGTATGATCAGCCCTTGGTCAAGCTCGCTTCCATCATTGTCAATCTTGAAAGTGGGTAACTCACTATTGGCATACAGATACCTAGAGTGATTTCTGTTCGATTCGTTAAGCCTGCTTCCAGATCTCAGTCTCAGCCTGTTTGTGTTGGTTTCGAGGATACTACCATCGTAGATCAGTTTCTTTGAGGCTCCACTCTTTTTTGCTGTTACTTGCTGGTATGATAATGTGCCGTTATAGTTCTCTTGACAATACTGAACCAACTTTTCAAACTCAACCATAAATTCCAAAATGTCCCTTTCCTCAATCAAATTGGGGCCAAATGTCATCTTTTCGTATAGTTCTATGAGTCGTTTAATATCAGGCAATCTTTCGGTTTGGAAATTAGGATCCGTCTTGTAAACTTTAAATACGTAGATTAAAATTTCCCGAAATGACAAACTCTTCGGAACGTCGAGTTGAGTAAGAACTCTCCCTCCTATCTTGAGCTTATCGCCTATACTTCTCATAATATCTTCATAGCAAGCACCAGGCGGCAATAAAGTACCGGGACAAACCGTACTTTTATTCGCATCGCTGAAACACTTCAAGTTCTTCTCCTGAACATAGTCCGGTGGAGATAATCCTGGATAACTGATAATAATAGACTTGTTAAACAAAGGACCAGCCTTCATTTGTACCTCACTATTTCTAACCAAGTTTTGGTCAATCTCCTGGAAACATCTCTTAGGTATGTCGTCCTTTCCTGGTATATATATTGATTTGGATGGTATATCATTCAAGGCAACCTTATTCTGGAAGATCCTCAGTAAGTACATGATTATAGAAATTAGCACAAAAATTACACACACACCTATGACAATGAATACCTTAATACTTGAAAAGGATGAGTCTGATGATTGTATAATGACATCAATAGGCGTAACTGCTACCAAAAGAGTGGCTATTATGGTAATTACAAGCAAGGAAAATGTGTAGAACCAACGGAACAAGATTCTAGGGAACTGGAAGAGTATGAAGGGCGTGGATTCTGACTCATAGAACGGAGCGTATGCTGTTGTGTGTCGCTGTATGGTTTTGGTGCGAGATGCACTTGAAGTTGATTCGTTATCACTATTGGGGTGATGTTGTGTTGAGGATATTATGGATTGATCTGATCGTACAGAGACCTCCTCGGATGCCTCGTGCTGGATCCCGAGATCAACATGTAACATCCTGGCCGATTGTAGTACTAGAAGAATGTGCCACCATTATAATCCCGTGGTGTATTTAGCACTTTAATGTTTTGATACCAGACTTATATGCAGGTCACAGAAATAGCAATGGAGCAACAGCGACTGGGTGGGAGATAGGCGACAGAGAGACAACAGCAGCAGACAATGGAGAGAGTACGAACAGGTTAGCTCATTCTTTACGCTGGAGATACAACTAGATAAGTGGCAGCTTGCTTTTACTTTTTTTTGGTATATTCTACTTAATGTTACAAGTGTTTCTATTTCTATTATCGTATGCTCATAGTGGTAAAAGTGGAACTGCTTATGCTTGTTCTTCACCTTCTTTTGCGAAGTGCACCTCTTCTATTCATCATCACTATCTTCATACACTGGAATATCTTCTACCATGCTTTCTTTTACTGTACCGTCTTCAGTCTTGATTCTTTTCCGTTCCGATTCACCAGAGAAGTGTGAGTGTGACTTTTGTTGCTGGGGTGGTGCGTGTTGGGGTGGTGCAGGCTGTGAGTGGGACTTTCTCCTCATTTCTCTGTCCATTTGTCTCTGTTTCCAGCTCTTCTGTATCAATGGGCATTCCTTTATCAATTCTGCTTCGCCTACACCGTCTTCAATACTTCTCAATACCTTATCCACTACTGATATGTGGTTCCCATTACTCTTATCGTTTCTGAATCTAAGCATCTCCCAATATTGTGGATCTTTGGGTTTCCTTCTACACTCCACTATTCGTCCCTGTAATGGTTCTCTCAAATTCTTCAATCTTTCCCAGTCTTCCTCTGTTATGAACAACTTCGAGAAATCTTCGTAGTCTTGGCCACCTTTCCATGCTCTTAACTTGATTAAACCAGGCTTGGAATCGTAGTCTATGTAGGTGGAATCTGGATCCTTCTCATCCATATCTGGGTCTTGGAATGTGTTGAAGTTTATCCACATCTTGAAGTCAATTGTGTTTTCTTCAGCTGGTTTCCATTTTAATAATGACTGGTCAGTCCCGAAGCAGTACGGCGTCTCGGCACATGTGAAGATCAATCCATCAGACTCGTGAAATAATTGGTCTTTCTTAGCCAAGACATCGTCCGCGTGATAACTAGACGTCATGATCTTAAAACTCACTTTGAAAGGAAAGTCCAGCGCATTCACTATCTCGGGATTTTTGCGTTTGAAGTTGTCGAAAGGTTTCATAATGTGTTCAGTTATGTATCCCAATCTCGTGGATAACGTTCTATTAGTGATGTCCTTACCATTGACCGATAAAGCATCGAATATACAGTATCTCAACACGGGTTCAGCCAAGTTCTTGGTTTCCAACACTAACTCGCCGTCCAATAAAGTTCCATGGTGATACGATGACCCTTCTTCTTCCTTATTCAACGGGAAATGTATGTTTGGAATATAGTGATAGTCATTTTCTCTCGTTATCAAAAAAACACCTTCCCCTTTCTCAGGGTGATGTATTATAAACAATAAGCATCTTAATCCGTCAGTCTTTTCACATACAAAATAATCCTTAGACTTCAAAGTAGTCAAGTGGTACCTTTCGAATGAAACAGGCTGTGACCCGGGGAAACCTGGGTTTTTCCTACCGAGTAACTCGGCAACCATGTACCTTAGTTCTTGCGTTTCTTCACGTCCAAGCAAGGTGCCTGGGATCTGAGGCATATCTCTTTCCTCCAATTGAATCATGATTACCGAAGCTCAATATCTGAATAAGCTGTAAGTAGCTACGTGACACTCTGAACATTGAAAGACAAGAAAAAAAACACTGAAATTTTCGAGAGTAAGAAACTATATGCAGGAATTTCATAAGCTCATGTATTGGCAGGAGGAAGCTTGAGAGGAGCTAGAGACAATTTGGAGTAACTGAGGGTGTAGCTAGACGATACTCTAGGAGATGAATGATCATCTTCTAAATGTCTATTTGTAATATACATCAATATACATGTAATTAGTGGGTCTCATGGTCTCCTTGCGTAGTTTCGTTGCCTACCATGGGTTTGCATCTATATCGTCATCTCCCCAGGTTCTGTGTGCCAATGAACTAGGAAGTTGAACTTCTTTAAATAAAGAGTCAGATTTGAAGGGCTTCACGTCGGCCTTACTTTCAGTGTTGCTCTCAGCCTTATCATCATTATGAACAACATTATTGCTACTATGAGCCTTGCTTATCCCGTCAGTGCCTTGTGAAATGCCATCGTTTTCTTCTGTGTCCGCTTCTGCTTCCAGATGGCCTGCTTCATCATAGTCTTCTTCTCCATCTTCATTATATTCTTGTTGCTCGAAGGTACGGTCCCTATCGGACTTATTCTTTGCTAATAGTTCCTCAACGTCATCCAATACATCGATTGGAATTGAAGGCTGATATTTCTTTGCTCTATAGATCCTAACTCCTCCTAATCCAGAACCATAGTTGTTAATTAGCTCCTGCAAAGTAGGTAATGCTACAGGGAACACAAAGTTAGGGTTCAAATAAATATACAACTCCTTCAGTAAGAAGGAAGTCTGGGTCATGTAATGCAGTTTGCTGTTCCCAACTTGGTTTTCTCCCTGTTCTGCTTGCAAACGCTTCATAAAATTGACCAATTGTTTTGGTATTTTCACCTCCTCAACTTCGTACTTATACAACTTGGTCATTGTTTTGACAATTTGGTAATAGTTCAAAGAATCAAATTGGTTGATGGTGCCAACCAAACTGTCCTCGTCACGGAGAGTGGACATACATTGTAGCCATTGCAAAAGCTCAATAGTAGGTTGAAGTTGAAGCTTCCCAATGTGGAAAAGAGAAGTGTAATAAAAGGATAAGAAATGTGGATCATTAGCATCTTTGGCAGATCCCTTGGGTGCTTGCAATAAGTTTATCAAAAAACTGGAATTATAGTCAGCCGGTAGTAAACTCTTCAATCCACTGTCAGAATCTGGTGCTTGGATCTTGAAATTATGTCCTCTGAGCCAATCTTCCACCGTGGAGATGTTCAACCTTATCTGTATTGCCTTCCCACGAGAGCAATACTTCGATTGACTTATAATCCTATTAAATATAGTACAATTAATACAATAAAACACTTGACTAAAAGTCTGAGATTTCAAGATGTTATCAACTTGGTGCAATTTCAAGACATAGTCTAAAGCTCCTAAGACTTGAACAAATCTCAATGGAGAGGGTTTCATCATTTCTCTTTCATTGGGAGGGTACAACATATTGAAAATATCATCATAAGTGTTTGGGTGCTTCTTTTTAGTCTTGAACAAATTCCAATCTTTGGCATATAAAGTGTTCGATACATCAATCAAGCTGGTGAAATCTAACATGCACTCATCAATAAGCAAGTTTAATCTAGAATTTATGGAAAAGGATAATGTGGCAATGAGAGATTGCACTGTATTCACTAGCTCCTGAAGAAACTTCGGGTAGTTCTTGTACAACCCATTTTTGCAAAGGTAAAAGTGAAGAAATTGAATAACTGAGAGCCAGTAACTGAGCAACACAATGTCCCCTGTTTGTTGCAGTTGCAGTTGCTGTCCTTGTCCAATTTTATTGCTATTATCACCGCCGCTGGTAAAAACCCCAGACTTAGTGTTGGTAACTGTTCTCAATCTGGTTATAAAGTAATCAAATAAAAATTCTGTGGACTCTATACTTTCTGCTTTCATGTGTGAGTATCTAAGTAACTGGAATACTATGGCTGCTGGAACCTTAGTTTCATGCTGAATTGTCCCGGTCTTCGAAGTTCGGAGCGAGAAAATATAATCCAATAGAGTGGGGATATCTGAATCATCAAACTCTAAGTATTGATCTGCTTGAAGCTTCTGATAGTCAAATTCTGGTAATGCAAATAAGATTGGATCTTCTGAAAGAGTCCTCTCTTCAACATACAGATCGATTTTCTCTCTTTCTTTTTCTTGTACGTCTAGATCACTTTCTGCTATTATGTTTGTTCCTGTAATGGACTGAAGTTTAATCTGATTGGAAAGATCATCGTCAATCTCATTATCAATCTGGTTGTAGTAGTCATCACCAAAGTCCTCGCTAGTTGGCGAGAGATCACCGTCTCTGAAAATGTTATGGGATTTGAAATATTGGTACATTTCTGTCTTTTCTGGGTAAACCAACGAAATTGCATTCTTCTTGGGTGAGTTCACCTCATCTGGACATAAATAAGGGTCTGCTTGATGGTTCAATAGCAACTTCACAATATCTAAACGATTCAAATAAACTGCCCACATTATTGGCGTATAATTGGCTATGGCGGTATCTGATAAATCAGGATCTGCTGAGTGGTCTAAAAGAAATTCAAGCACTGGCAAGTGATTGAAAAAGATACCATAAATGAGGGGTGTAATTCCAGTAGCTGACAAGTTATCTATCAATTCTGGAGAATCTGCCACTATGGATTGTAACTCAGACATATCCTCGTTACATGATGCAAGTATAAATTTGGCAATAACCTCCTGGTTATCTACAATTAATGATTTCTGAGATGCTAAGACTTTCTGGAAGTACGGATCACTTGCCAATGTGGTGGCTGTTGATATGACCAGCGATGCATTAGCAAGGACGGAAGTTCCCGAAGTCAATGTCCAGGCGTCCATTGTATTAGCGGTATTGATCGAAGAGATGCAGCTGCTTGATATGGTACTTCTTAAGCGGGTTGATGGTCGTCTTTTACTTACCTTAGGTGAGGGCTAGTGCGCAAAGTAGAAAAGTAACCGAAGACGACCCCCCAGCGGTGGTTAGTGGTCACGTGCGCGCTGTGTTGGCTCTTGAGCGGTTGAATCGGCCATAGCAGAGAGCAGCATCATTGGCGAAGGACCAAGACATAAAGTAGAAGACGAGTCGAAAGGATACTGGAAGTACTAAGGCAGCAAATAAAATCGAGTAGGTACTTAGCTTTAAGAACGTTCACCTGACTAAACATGGGAACAACCAGATCCTTTCACCTCCTTATGCTTCTTGTTGCTGGTGAGGGCCATTATTTTGTATGCTAATCACTGCACGAATAAATTCGCAGCCTTCCATACAGAGAACACACCACATCAGCGCTACATTTCTTTTTTTTTTTGTTGTTATTTCTTTTTGTTTGGCGCCTGACGTAGTCTACTAACCGCAACAATGCATAAGCATGGCTCGGGTGCCATTATATGAAGACTCGTATTTCCATTCCTTGAATATGACTTCGGCACACCTCATCTGCCCCGAGATTGAAAAACTGACATGATGTGTAATGTGCTTTCGATCTTGTTCTGACTCTGCACGTATCTTTTTCTCTCTACTAACCTAGTCTTGGCAGAGGCGCTTTCATACTTACTGCACTCTCAGGAAACGGGAACGTGATTACCTAATGAAAAAAAATCTGAGGATATAGAAAAAAAATTGAAATTCAAACACCCACACGGCAGAGTAAAGAGAAGAGGACAAACTATACAAATAAACTAAATCAAACAAGTCAAATTCTGGCAAAATTTTCTCTAGAAATAGTCACCATACTGCGATAGAGATACAGGGATAACATAGAAGAACAATAAACACAGAATACACCACTTTCGTTTCGTTTCCTTACTGCTCACTGATATTTGATAGGCGCGCCCCTTCGCTAATACTACACAATCACTGATAACACTTACATTCCAGGCAAACAGCGTTCTGAACTATAATTGAAACTAATTGCTGAACTTTCAATCATGGCTGTTACCCGTATACAACTGAGAAACATTCTCATTATACTATTTGTCTTTTGTGGACTTGCATTATGGATAATAAATCCTACTTACATCAGCATCATACCCTTACCCCATTCAGAGAAAGCGCCTCCAGAAGCTGCAACCCCTCCTGTAGCACCAGGTACACCAGGAGCGCCCGGTGCCAACCTGATTAAACCGATAACTACACCAAATCAAAATGTCCCAGACGTCAAGACTGAGGATGACGATGGTTTGGCTGCTCTCATAGCGGCCTTAGAACCTTGCACAGTAATCAACCCAATCAACCGTGGATTTATAGATCTTACTTCTCTTTCTGCACTTGGTAACGATGGAAAATCGTTGGGATGGACCGCCAAGGGATACGATTCTGGTCTTAATTTCACTGTGGGGGTCTGTTCTACTCCATTTAAGCAGCATCACTTGGCTGAGGAAGTTCTTGATATTGCCAACAGTTCGGCGGTAGGAGCTTTCTACACTGACCCCAAGTCTCAGAAATTCGTTTCCATAGGAGAATACGCCCAAGAACCAGTATTCAGAGGTAAAAAGCTCACTCTCACCTACACAGGCGGGTCGTTCTGCCCTGGACTCGTAGATACCAAGACTGGAGAAAAGGTGAGAAGATCATCGGTGTTGACATTTACTTGTGATAGAGAGATGTTAGCTAAGGCTTCTGTATCATTTATTGGATCATTAAATGACTGTAGTTACTTTTTCGAGGTTAGATCTCATCATGCCTGTCCAACTGCTGCGAAGGCCGATAACTTGGCGGTTATTTGGATCTTCTTGATTATACTTTTGGCTGCATTAGCAGTATATGGTAGTGGGGGACTTTTGTATAAACACATCAAGAAGCAAAAAAATCAAGAAAAGAGCTAGATATACTGAAAGCTAGATTGCAGGGAAACATAAGGAGTTAGTAAGAAGAATTGTAAATGGCTGCAATTGAAGCAATCATTTTGAAAATTCAAGCGGAAATATGTTCGTATAGGAATTGTGCATTCTGAAAAAGCCAGGAAGTAAGGAGATAATTAATGAACTGATTAAACGGAAAAGACTTACCGATATTTAAGTCGGACCGTATTCGCTTTCAGATTTTTAATTTTTATTTTTCACTCATATGTTGACTTCAGCCTTACGATCAAACTGTGGATTATTGGCTGTTTCTTCTATTTTTCAGAGTTTCCGGAGGAAATGACACTAGGGTAGCTATTACGAGTTAATCCGATTATTGGGCCTACGGTTGCCTCATTGCAATATTGAGGCGCCTTAGTATAGGAAACTATGATTGGATGTGAAAAATTCGCAATATGTCCCCCACTTGTTTCACGGAAATAAAGTGGACCTATGGCGATTCTTTTATTCTTGCGTTGGTCTTCTTGACAAACTTTGTATATATCTCTTTATATTACATCCATTTTAATCTAACATGTGTACATAGATATGCATTAGTCTAAAATTTCAGATGTAGACCAGGAACAATTCCAATTCCAAATCCAATGCTATCATTTAGAGTTTGGACATTGAAAGATTATGCGACTTTATCTTCTAAGCATTCTGAGGAACACTCCTACGATAAGAAGCGTGCATGATGTCATGCAGGAATTTCTAGGGCGAAGAAGGTCTCTCATTTTGCGTTGGGGTTCACATCATACGTAGATAGGCACGCTCATACACCCACTAAGTAGGGCGATGACCATAAAGCTTCTGCCCACTAAATAATATGCATCTGTTGGTAGAATAAGCTACTGGCCTGCGTAACATGCCATACATTCTTCTTTGCCTAAAAAATTGTGGTTCCCTCGGCATTCTAACTTTGTTAACCTAATCACTGTGAATAGCATTATCTCTTGGCTCGTAACAAATAAGCCACAATGCGGCAAGGCTTGCAACATATCATTTCCGAATCAAGCATTTCATGTAGGTTGCCCATCTACCAGATAGCATTGTAACTCCAAGATAGCGTAAAGTTTCCAGATGACGCTTTAGAGTTTGACTCTGTGACGTCGAGAATTTCACTTGTGTCCTTGAGCATTTCCTATAAAATCTAACCATTTGTAACCAGAAAAAGAGTAGTAATATGAATCCTTTGTCTTTTCTTATTTGATTTCTCCACTTTCTCCACTGCTTTCATTGCTAGGTCTTCCTCTCTTTGCTTAAAAATGTCAGTTAGTGTTAAATCTTCCTCTGAAAAGGATGGAGTTGAAGTTGAAGTGAAAAAGGATCAGTATGAAGTTGAAACTATATTAATTGACATCGATGATCTCTCCTTCATCGAGGGTGATCCTTCCTTCATGAACAATTCTCCTTACCCTGAAGTGAGAGCAGCAGTTGCTACTGAGTTTGACCCTAATATACAATTAAATCATTGGAGAACATGGTTTCTTACTACAATCTTCGTCATTGTATTTGCTGGTGTTAATCAATTCTTCTCCTTGAGATACCCTTCTTTAACTATTGGGTATGTCGTAGCACAAATTATATCCTATCCAATCGGTCAAGGATTTGCAAAGCTTCCAAACTATAAAATAAAGGGACTTCCAAAATGGTTTGATTTGAATCCGGGCCCATTTACAAAACAAGAACATGCTGTATTGGTTATTGTTGTCTCATTAACATCTTCAACTGCTTATGCCATGAATATTTTGATTGCTCAAAGTCAAGATGTCTTCTACGGACAAGATATTACAGTAGGATATCAAATTTTATTGGTGTTATCAACGCAATTATTGGGTTACGGTGCTGCTGGGTTGACTAGAAGGTGGATAGTTTACCCATCTTCGATGATTTGGCCTCAAAATTTGATTACATCCACTGTGTTTTCGACTTTGGCCAAACAGGATTTGACCGACGCAATTCATGTATCAAGAGTCAACTGGTCAAGATACAAGATGTTTTCCATTGTCACCATTGCGTCTTTTGTGTGGTATTGGTTTCCTGGTTTCATTTTCAAGGCATTGTCTTACTTTAACTGGGTCTGCTGGATTGCTCCAGATAATATAGTAGTCAATCAAATCTTCGGTGTCAGTTCCGGTTTGGGAATTATTCCTATTACATTTGATTGGACTCAAGTGACTCAAGCTTTGAGTATTTCTCCACTTGCAACTCCATATTGGGTGATTGCAAATACTTATGGAGCTGTGTTCTTCTTTTTTGTCCTAATTTTACCAATCTTATACTATACAAACACCTGGTATGCGAAGTATATGCCAATGATTTCAAGTACCACCTATGACAATACTCAAACTAAGTATAACGTGACAAGGATCTTAACTTCTGATCTTAAAATTGACAAGGCTGCCTATAAGGCATACTCCCCACTTTTCGTTCCATATTCTTATCTCTTGTCATATGCTATGAATTTTGCTGCAATTACTGCAATTTTCGTTCACACAGTCTTGTACAACGGTAAGGATATTGTTGCAAAGTTTAAAAACGCCAAACATGGAGGAGAAGATATCCATAAGAGATTAATGAACAACTTCATTGATGTTCCAGATTGGTGGTATGGCATTTTGTTTTTAATTTCAATTGGTTTGGCTTTTGCAACCGTTTGCGGTTACCCAGAGTTTACCAAGCTTCCAGCTTGGGGATTGGTTGTTGCATTATTGATTACCTTTGTTGGGTTCATTCCACAAGGGTTATTAGAAGGTTTAACTAATCAACATGTGGGCCTTAATATTATTACAGAATTAGTATCAGGTTATATGTTACCTGGAAATCCTGTCGCCAACATGATGGTCAAACTTTACGGATTTATCCCAATGAGACAAGGTCTTGATTTCTCTCGTGATTTGAAGTTGGCTCAATATATGAAGGTACCACCAAGATTCTTGTTTGTCATTCAAATATATGGTACTATCTGGGCTTGTTTAGTAAATGTCGGTGTGCAACAATGGATGAGATTCAATGTCAAGGATATTTGTACAACAACTCAAGAGAACGGGTTCACATGTGCAAGTGGTAGAACCATCTTCAATGCCAGTATCATCTGGATGCAGCCCCAAGAGTTGTTCTCCCCTGGAAAGATCTACAATCCTTTACTTTACTTCTTCCTCATTGGTGCCGCTTTCCCATTGTTTACCTATGCATTATACCGTAAGTTTCCAAACAAGTGGTACGGTAAAATTCATGGACCAATTTTCTTCACTGGAAGTGGTAACATCCCACCATCCACTCTTTACAATTACAGTTTGTATTTTGCAACAGGATTCACATTCAACTACTACATTAAAAAGTATTATAAACATTTCCACACAAGATACAACAATGTTATATCTGCTGCCTTTGATGCAGGTGTTGCTATCAGTGCGGTTATTATCTTCTTGTGTGTAACATACCCTGGAGGAGAATTAACATGGTGGGGTAACACAGTCTACAAGAATACTGCAGATTATGATGGTACTCCATTTTATACGCTAGCTGATGGAGAAACATTCGGACCATCCAACTGGTAGAGTGAAACACTAAAGAAATCATCTTTCTTTTCCTTCTATATGGTTTTAAAGATGAGCATTATGCAGACTATACTTCAATAAAGCAGCGCTACTATCCTCATATTATGGATGTAGGATATTCATTTTATTTTGAAAAAGAAGCTTTGCGTTTCCTTACCCTATGGTTTCGAGTTAAGTATTTTGTAGACTATCTTGAATTGAGCAGCATCGGGGTTACAAATGTTATGCTCGTAGGATAAGTGCCATGTAGACATTATTCGATTTATCAACTCTCCTTTCCAAAACTATGGCTGCAGGATAACCATTCTGTACACTGATTTTAACTGAGCAGCTGTGCGATTCCAGACATTATGGTCCCGGGACAAGTACTCAACTCACGATTTTTATCAGTACAATTTTACTCCATACATGATACCTACAGGATAAGCACTGAAGGTTCCTTTTTCTCAAAGAAGACTTACTGATAAAATTAGTAATCAGTAAAAAATAATTCAACACCAATGTAAATGCAGCAGCTTGATTTGACACATTGCTTAATTGGACATGACATCTGCATATTATTATTTGAAGCACTCTCATCTGCGCAAGCGTTATTATTTAGTTCACGAACTTCCAAGAGAGAGAGATGAGTTGATATGCAGAGTACATAAGCGAATGATTCACTGTGGCTCCTCTTTATGGGTTTAACGCCGAAAAGCATGTAATGATTTCACCATCGTTAGATGCTTGCATCTACATACAAATGCGGGACTATAAGTCCTAAAAGATTATTGCCAGGAGAAAGCGTTGGGTTGTGCTGAACCCCGCTAGCTTGATCGATCTCAGTTACCTGTTCTTGCACCCAAATGTAAACTTAAGCTGAACCTTAATTCAGATGAAATTTTCTCGATGCAACCATGCGAGCCCCACTAGTGGTTTTTCCGTGAGCCAGTAATGTCTGTCCATGTTTCCGAAGCATACCCCCTGAGACATACGATCCTCAGCATGAATCATCTGTATGAGCAAAAATTCAAAGTTCACTTAACGCCACAACGTTATCAGATGTTGAAGAAAAACGTACAAACTTAAAGAGCGAGCTCAGACCATTTTATTTTACCTCTTTTTTTTTTTTTTTTCACTTTCAACCAACAGTATTTAACTGTCACTTGTATCCGTTCTTTTCTGTACTCCTAAGTGATCTTCCTACTCAAAAGCGATACAGTGTCATGACCTGGACTTTACCTAAAACAATTGCAGTCGTTGGAGGCGGCCCATGCGGTGCAGGGTTTGCTAAGGCTCTTATCGCAGAAGGTAAGTTCGAGAAGATTAAAATATTCGAGAAGAGGAGTGATTTTGGGGGCTTATGGAACTATACCAAAGAGGAAGATGTTGATCTGATCCCAATACCGTGCGATACTCCTAATGTTGACACCAAACCTGTTTTCAGAGAAGAGTTAAAGGACTATGTTTGGGCATCTCCAGTGTACGATCATCTTGATACCAATGTCCCCAAAGATGTGATGAGTTACTCATCGATGCCCTTCGATGATAACTTGCCCCTCTTCCCACATAGATCTGATGTTGACAAGTATATGAAGGAGTATGCTGAACCATTGAGATCCTATACTTCCTTCAGTACCAAGATCATAAAAGTGAAGAGAAATGACAGTAACACTAAATGGGTGGTGCAATCAAGGCCCATTAGCATTGAGACCCAAGGTGGTACAGTCAGCTCGGAAAAAGATGGATTCCAGGATTTATTGGAAGAATTCGATGGTGTAGTGTTAGCCACAGGGAACTACGAGCTTCCATATGTTCCAAATATTGAAGGCTTGAAAAGCTGGTCAACCACTTTCCCAGGATCAGTTGTTAACGTCAAGAATTACAGATCGCCTGCGCAATTCAAGGATATCAAGGGCCACATTTTGGTGGTAGGAAACTCAGCTTCAGCTAATGATCTTTGCTACCAACTTGTGCAGGCCAACGGAGGTTTTGTCTACAAGCTGAAGAGGTCAGAGAATGTTATGCCTGCTGGTTCATCACCCAAAATCTTGGACGTTCCAGAGATTAAGAAATTCGATACGGAATTAAAGAGAATTGATTTTGTAGATGGATCTCACTTAGAGAATGTGGAGAAAATTGTCTTTGCTACAGGCTACTTACACTCATACCCATTTTTAGATGCTACTAATGACTATGACATTCCATTGATCACCAATGGCCATAGATTACATGGTACTTATGAACATGTTTTGTTATATAACTACCCTAACTTGGCTGTGGCTGGAGCAGCAAGGTATATTTTACCCACTAGAACGTCCGAATCGCAAGGTTCATGGACTGCCAAAGTGTGGTCTGGCTCCATTCCACATCCATCCAGAGAAAGTATGGTGACTTGGGAATTAGCAAGATCAGAAGAGACTGGTGGAGGAAAAACTTTCCACGATTTGTATTTCCCTGAGGATGTGCATTACGCAAATAGATTAAATGCAGAAATCTTAAAGGTTAACACTGGACTCATTCCTTTCATTTGGGATAAGGAACAAGTTTCAATTCGTGGTGCCATCAAGGAAGTTAAAGAGGGGTACATTAGATATAGAGCAGCCACTGGAAAATTAGCAAAGTCTTATCAGGAAATCGTCGAATCAGGCCACTTGAATTCATTTATGTTGACTGATGAACAGATGAAGGAGAAGGGATTTTGAATTAGATTAGTTTACGTAGTATTATTTATATATTAATGCGGTGAATGAAGGAAGTAAATTATTAATTTATATGATGTATACTTTACTATTTAGTCTCTTTTCCCAGGGACCTCTTTTAACTTCATTTTCTGTCTTCTTATACTAACTCTGTGAATTGGCTTAACGTTCAAGATTTATATTGGATCCAAATCTTGCATATAACTGGCTCTTTAATTCATTCAACTTTTCATCTAGCTCAGATATATTAGAATCAATGTCTTCTATCTTGCCCTCTATATGTTCATTTGACTTTTCTAATCGAGCAATAGCGGCTTCTTGTTTCAAAGCTACAAACACTTCCCCTATTTTATACTGAATCTTTTCATCCTCGTCTAGCAACTCAATCTCAAGTAGCAAGTCGTCGAGATATTCCTTTTCTGTCTTTAATTTTTCAAGGTCCTCAGAGGCTTCATCCTTCTTACCGATCAAAGTCGAAAACTTATTTATTTTTTGCTGATCCTCCCATGACACTTCAGTCGCGGTGTTCCTCTGTCCTTCAGGAAGTAATTCCATGGTATGTATGTGTTATTATCGGTAAAGAGAACCGAACGCTTGCCTTGGATCAAGCTCTCTTGCGCACGTAAAACAACTTTGGTACTCGCGAAATCGAAATTAGTAAATGTTATATACAGGACTCATATACTGTAAGACATTCCACTTTTGTTAAGTCACTAAGGACCACAGTACACACTAGGCAAGGAGTAACATGTATTGCCAAGCCAATAGACTTATTCTATTACTTGATTAGCAATTGCCTTCTCCACATCGAGTCGGCGCTTCTTTGCTCCTTCAGGATGCATTTCGGTTACAACGTACATCACATGCCTTACATCTGGGTGATCGGCTCGATGTACCCAATTTCCGCTTTGAGTTGCAATTAACGGCTTTTTCAAAGCTCATCAGGCGGTACGAAATTGCACACTGTGGTGTTGGTACTTACTTAATGGTGATTTCTCTTTTGTACGCATTTTGCTTCACTAGCAATAAATACTTCTCAACATCAAATACTCCTCAAATTGTTCATATCTACATAGAGTTAATTGCTTTACGAACCCAATAGCTGCCTACCTTTCTACCTAATTGCATCTTTCCAATTCGTAGCCACCTTTTGCATAAACCCTGCGTTTTGGTCGTTTTCTCCAATCCCAATTGGTGTCGCAAATTTCCGCTCTGGGTGTCGGACTTTCTCGCTACCACCTCCCACAGATTCCGCTTCCGCATCCCTCTGCTTATGTAATGGTCGATGATGATTCACTTAAAAGCCAATTCAATGTGCTTGGTTTTTGCATCTCATCTGGATTACCAGCTTTTGATATTTCTAAAGTACATATGAGTAGGATGCCTGTTTCGAAGACTGAATACGAGCTTGTCGAGCTCAATGACAGGGACTTGATATCATTCACTAGAGCACAGAACTCACAATCGTGGAGGGGACAATTGACCTCGGAACAATACATCGAAAGAGAATGTGTATTGGGGAAGAGTAAGATAGCATCGCTGAAAGTGAACCGTTTACTCGTATTTATGCTCCGAGACAAGGCCGACCCAACATCTAGACTATGCTCTATCGAGTTGCTTATTAGGAGATCTTGGCTGTACAAATACAACCCTGACTCAAAGAGGGTTGAGCGCAAAGACATCTTGTCTGGGTGTATAGGTGGTGTTTATACGTATCCAGAAAATAGAGGGAAAGGTCTTGCACGTATAATGGTTGATAAGTTGGTCGAAAAGGCCAAAACCGAATACTTGGGTGAAGATGGCTTCACCTTTTTGTACTCAGAAGTAGGTGAATACTACTCCAGAAACGGCTTCAAGTCCTTCGAGGTTCCATTATTAAAGTTTCCACTTGGTACTGAGATTATAAACGATAAATTTATTGGCGAAGATGAGTACCAATTTTCTGAGCTTAAATTCCATCAATTTGAAGAATTGCTTCAGTTCCATAATACTCAGTTTGATAAGGAGATTGTGGACAAGGTAACCAAAGATGGAAAGCCTAGGGTTACCATTAACCCCAACCAAGATTTCATTGATTGGTTCCACCTTCGTTCTAAGTTCATATCTTCGAAATTATTTTATGCTGGTAAAAGTGATATCAACGAGAACTTATCGGACTTGACGATTGATGAAATTCTTGCCAAGTTTCACAAGATTGAGCCAGATGTCTTCGGATTCAAAATAAGCAATCAGGAAGGTAAGTTAGTGGGAGGAATAATTTGGACTTATGATTGGTCCTTGAATAAGGAAACTAATCAGTATGAAAATTATGCTACAGTCTTAAAGATTATCGTTGATAATAAGCTCTCCAACCAAGATGACATCAAAAAGCAATTGATTCTTAAGATGAAGCTGTATATCGAGTCCAAGACCACACCAGCTGCAGTATCTGACTTCAAGCAGGTTATTATTTGGCAATCAGAAGTCAATGATACTTTACTCAATTGGCTAACAGGAAACGAAGTTAAAGGTGTGCCAGACCATCCAAATTCTTCTATGAGTGCAGTCTTGATAAATGATCCTTCGGAGAATGAAAAATTAGTCCTGGGAGAATTAATCTGGGAAGGAAATGACAAATTGCCATGGTTTTAAGTTAGGTAGAATATAGATACATTACAAAAGGTTCTTGCCATTAAGTAAAAAAATTGAAAAAAAAAAGTTTATAAATTACCCACTTGCTATGATAATATATATTCATTTATTCATAATCGTCTTTGAACAATTCTCTCATACGCATGACCGAATCATACAATGAAGGAGTGTTTACTTCGCCTTCCAATCTCAGAACAATATCCTCGTCATCCCAATTCTTCTCCTTATAGCTTTTTACCTTTTCGCTGACCTCCTCTAAGGAGTCGTACATCGAGCGGTATTTTTCAATCAACTTGTCGTTGAATTTTGGAATCTTAGAGTGCTGTAACAAAAAATTACCACCAGTGTCTTCAAAGATGTTCATGTATAAGGAAATAAATGCAAGAATCGTATCAATGTGAGTGCTATAGGTATTCGATAATTCTGACAAGTTCACAGGATCCTCTGCTGAAAGACTCTTGACTCCTGATCTCAAGTGGTATTTTATAGGGTTCTTCTCAATATCATGGCACAATTGATAGAGCCACTCCAAATCGAAAAATGACTCGTCGAGTTTGGTATAATTCTCCGAGGGAGACGTAGGTGGAGTCAATGACGAGGTATTAGCTGTAGAGACGGGAGGGTACGGAACTAGCTTGGAAAAATTTGAGTCTGCTAAAACATCAATGGACTTCCTAAGTAAACTATACTTGGAAGTTCCCAGCGGATATCTATTGTACACATGGACTTTGAAGTCTTCCAACGGATCCGGGAATTTTTCAAAACTCTTGATCAATGCCTCATCAGTATTGATATTGGGCACTTCTAATTTATATAAAATTCCCTTGATGTTTCCCCAATGTACAAAACTTTTCAACGCTACTAAGATATCATGGCACAATAACGAGTCTTCTCCGTAGTAGTCACTAATAAATTGAGACATGTAATACCCTTCCAATTTGGTTCCTATGTGGTGATCAGTGTGCAAGAAGTTTAACTTGGAAATTACTAACAAGTTAAGGCCCTGCGTGATGTGAGTGTCTGTTACCTTGGTGAAAAAGTCCATCGCTTCTTCTTTCACTTCGATTGGATTATACTTCGCGTATGCAGCCGTGGTTACAGAAGAGCCTTCTTCGTACCAACCGTTAACTTCTAGCTCACGAGCAACGCCAATCACCGAAAGACAAAAATCTGAATATTTCTCGAATAATTCTCCTCCGATGCTCCTTAAAATATAGTAAGCGGAGACAACAGACAGGTAGTCATCAAGTCTTTCGGGGTTTATAATTAAATGCTTATCTTCCTCGCGTATTCTTTGAAAGTTGTTGTTGACGAATCTATACTTTCTACCTTTTTTGTTGTATTCAAGTTTTTCCAAGTCAGTCAACTGGTCTAGGATTGAGTCTGCAACTTCAATAAGAGCATCAGATGTGGAAACAAGCACCATTTTCTGCAGAAGAGGTATAATACAATTGCTGTATAAAGCGTGGTGGAAGTTTAAGGTTGGTCTAAAATTTTCAATACGTTCGCTTAAATTTCTTTCTCGAAATGTAAACATCAGCACTGCATATTAAAGTGTTGCATAAGGGGAACTTTGATTCTGGGGGTTTATCAGTGCTATGTGCCTGAGGATTAGAATGCTTCAAGCTTCAGCTTAGAACACAACTCGAGCTGGGGATAGTGCGTGACAGATAATTAGCTGATGTGTTCACGCGCTCAATAGAGCAGGAGATCATCACTGTAATGAAATTGGAAATGGAATACTAGAGATTGATGAATAATGCGACTGATCCACAGTAAGGTGTGAGGACAAGTTGCGGAGTATATGATTAACCATTCATCATTCAAATCAGTGCGACTTCCAGTAGCTGATATCTTATCCTATGGGACATATTAACTCATATTCATTTCTTCCATATTGACTATTCCCACTCTCACTCTTTCCCTTATCTTTACCAATGAATATGGCGGGGATTGAGCTTGCTTCGCTTAATCTTCCCGTAGAAAATTCAGTTTGTCTCAAGTCTAACCCCACTCGTTATCGCAAGGAATGTACACTATTCGACAAACTCGTTATGTGATAGATGATAACTTCTTACTGGACCAGGAGCAACTACCAACTATGCTAACTATAGATACTTATATCTCATACAATAGAACTCGCAATTGCGACCCCTTCCCGATGAGTGCATGATGGAGCCTTGCCTTGTATGTAAGCCAGTAGCCTGATGCCACATCGGCCCGCATCGAGTGAGTGAGTTTATTTTTTGGGGGTTGACATTTTTAACAGAAACGCAATCGCCAGTATAAGGAGGTTAATTTTTTTGCAATTGGCTAGCCGATTATTCCAGTTTAAACAGCAACTTTTCTCTTACAAGCTGAAAAAAAATACCCCGATATGACTAACCACGGCGATTTCAAGAAAATTGAAGCAGCAAGACCACCTTTTGGTGATGCTCAGTACACAGTAACTAAAACAGTCGATCCAAACTGGGTTCCTGGTAGTGGAGCAAATTCTGACGAGTGGAAATCTCATAAAAAGATTGAACTTGATCCCTATGAAGAAGGAAGACCAGCTGGATATAATTATAAAACTCTTATCTCTACAATCACTCCTAGACCCATTGCCTTGGTTTCATCTATGAACAGCAAAGGTGAGTATAACCTTGCACCATTTTCGTACTTCTCTTTGGCTGCCCATGATCCTCCTACTTTCACCATTAGTTGCTCCGAGAAGCCAGATGGTTCAAAAGACACTCTAAGGGACATATTAGAAACAGGCGAATTGACGATCAATATCATTTCCGAATGGTTTATAGAAGCTGCAAGCCACACTTCAATCGATGCTCCTTATGGTGTCAGTGAATGGGACTTGAGTGGGTTGACGAAATCTCCATCCTCCAAGGTAAATCCACCATTCGTTGCAGAGTCTGCTTTTTCAATTGAAGCTAAATTGGCCGGTAAACATGTCGTCTATAAGAAGAATGATCCAACCGCTGTATCTAACACTATTTTAATTGTTGAGGGTATTAATTTCCATATCAGAGAAGATGTGATCAACGACGAGAGGAATATTGTAGATACCTCCGTATTGAAGCCAATGTCAAGATTGGGTGGAATCTCTTATGGAAGAACCATTCAATCCTTTGAGTGCCTTAGACCTCATTACGAAGAAGAAGATGCTGCAAAGGCAAGAGAGGTCAGTAAGCAGAAGCACCAAGACTCTAGTGTCTAGTCCATGAGGAGCGAAGAATAGTTAATTTTAATGTAATCTGGGGTCAGTTATTCATCGCAGAAACCGAGAGTAAAGAATTTCATAGTTATATTATATACAATAGAGACTAGTTTAGTAAAGAAAAATGTAAGATGTATTAAGGTAGGAGATAGAATAATGAAAGCACTTTATATAATCATAAAGAACAAGAACAACACCGAGACTGATAACTACATTATTATCCTTTCATTAAGCTCTTTCTGGTCTTCTACAAGTACAATCTGCTTTTTATTTAGTCCTAATTTTTATTTTTTTTTTTTTTTTTTTTTTTTAGGCTACCTAAATTTCTTTAAGTTTGAATTACTTTTTTCTTATTGCTTATCTCCATCTGATTTGACTAAGCAGTCTTTGATAGTAGCAAGAAAAGGCTGCCCACCTCCGAAAGCCTATCGCAACTATGGCAGAGATTATAGATTTCGACTTACTGAAGATCCTTAACTTCACCAGGGCATGTTCCAGTAGAAATTTCCCTGCCCTGTCTGCTAAGAGGCAAAAGATCCAGAATCAACTCTCAATAGACAATCTTGATTATATAGATGTCAATGAGAACATAAAATCAAATCAGTTTATTCTGCCACAATCTTTACCTTCAACTGAGTCGTCTTCTCCACTGGAAAGTAGTGATATCAGCAGAATAACTATCGCAGAAAGATCTATCTCTGTTGGTAACGGATTTCCCTTATCGCCTTTCCAAGAGAGCGAGTTCTTCAGCCAGGACAATGGATTCACACGAAGCACTACTGATCCAAACATATACACATTCGAAAGTTCTGAGGTAAGGCTTTTGTTTGCAGGCACTGACATCCCATTAATAATGGTAAAAAATAAGACTAAATATGGGCTAAAAAAGACTGAACTATTGCTTTCAATGAATGTCCTGGAATTGGACTGGAGATTAATACAGAAGGAGATACATATAGCAAGAGAGCTCCCACCGAACAAAAGACCGGAGAACTTGATAATTACTGGACCTAGTGTGTCTTTTTGGGTGCAAACAGATGATACAAATGGAAGCGAACCGTTGATATTTGTAAAGTTGAACTATAAGGTAGAGTTATTGGATCTGATATTCCAATTGAATACAATTGATCTTATATCGAGTGTTCATGAAATAATAGGATCGAACTCGGTCATAATACCCACAAAGTGCGACGAATCATTCACTAATGTTGAAATAAACCCATATGATCCAATAAATCCACAATTATTTTACACTAGTATATCGGAGAACACTATGAAACTTCCCCTAGTAGAGGAGCAATTTGATATACCTGAACTAGAAACTCAACTATTGAGATTTCAAAGAAAGACCGTGAAGTGGTTGTTGCAAAAAGAGGGTGTCAAGTACGACAACTCAAGTAATAGATGTAAGCCTTTTGATTTGATTTCGCCGAGTCTAAGAGTAAAACTTGAAACGGCATTGGAATTAGATGAATACAAAGAAGACAGAGATCTTGATTTCGAAGTCCATGTCGTTTTATCAAAGTTGTGCTTTGGCTGGACCTTGATACAGTTGAGTCACCAGACGTACTGGTTCAATTGCTATACTGGAAATATCAGCTCGAAGAGGAATGTTTATAAAACTCTACTCGACTACTATGCTACTACGCATTCCCCTACCTCCACAGAACAACTACCTGCTCAAGGGCTTTTAGCCGAAGAAATGGGATTGGGTAAGACAGTTGAAATAACTGCTTTAGTTATTTTAAATCAGAGACCAATAGACCAAATTAATAAGCCCGTACAAATTACTTTGAAGCCCTATGGGGACTTGAAAACAATTCCCAAGTCTAGGACTACATTAATCATATCTCCGGAATCTATCTTACGGCAATGGGTTAAAGAAATTGTCCGTTTAGCACCTTCCCTAGCGGTTACTGTGTATAAGGGTATTGACAAATATCCTAAATTAAACAAGAACCCTAACCTTATTGCTGAATACTTGAAAGGATTTGATGTAGTGTTCACAACTTATGGAACCATTTCGAACGAACTTGAATACGCCAATTATAGCAGTACGAAGAAGAAGACTAGGTCTACGAAAAGAACACATGTTTGGGTAGATCCTGATAACAGTAGCGTTGAAGGTGGTGTGGATATTGATGGATCTGAAGCTGATGTTGACGATGCACACATGAATGAAATCGACCTACTCAAAGAGTATCAGTCACTCTTCCAGTTGTCCTTACTGCTGAAGAAAGATCCAGTTAATGCAAATCAAAAAAGTACTGACAATCAAACAGAGACCGACTATGAGAAGGCTCTTCAAGATGAGATCCAATTGGCCATAAAGCACAATAGAGGACTACCTGATAACTATAGGAACAACCACCATAGGGACTATCAGACTCCATTAATGCTAATGCAATTTTGGAGGGTGGTATTGGATGAAGTACAAATGGTATCATCAAGCGTATCGAGAGCATTTCAAAGTGCTGCTTTAATCCCTAAACATCATTCTTGGGGAGTATCTGGTACACCAATCAAGAAAAACTTTGACGATTTACTCTCAATCTTGAAGTTCTTGAAGTTTCAACCTTTTGGTGAAGAATATTACTCGAAAGTCACTTGGCAAATGTTAACTAATACAAATCGAAGAACCAACATTCATGGGGGAAATCAAGATTTTATAAAGTTATGGAGTCAAATAGCACTCAGGCATACGAAGGCAATGGTTCATGATGATATCAAGTTACCTCCGCAAAATAGAGTGTTGATGTCTATCCCGTTCAACCCGGTTGAACAGGAAAACTACAACCAGATGCTTGAAGGTTGTCTCGCAACCATTTGCTTAGATCAATATGGAAACCCGGTAGTGGCTGATTGGGAACCTTCTAGCACTATCTTGACTCATATGAGGTACTGGCTTGTAAAATTAAGACAGGTGTGCTGTAATCCACAAGTCGGAAATCTAAATCTTAGCTCCAGAAGATATAAGTCCAGAAATCATTTATTTTATGGTAAAACTGGTCAAAACCTTGCGATTCAGCTGTTGAAGACATTAGAGAACGTTCTTGATGATATGATTGATAGAGCACACGAACAAATTACCGAGACCGAGAAGGAAAAGGTTCAACTATACATAGATCTTGCCGAGTATAAAGATTACTTATTAATGCCAGAAGATGCGTTGTTAACATTGAAAGCCGGGGTTTGGGACGCAGAACGGATTGTGTTCCGTTTAAAGAGATATCTTGAAAAATTGATATCAGACTACAAGTCTGCTTTGAATTCTAATGGCAATAATATTGATACATTAGGAGATTCAGATCAATTGGGTTTGGATAATGAGAGTGATGATGAATTTGAAAAAGTCAATCGTACTAACGCTAAAAAACTCAAATCAGGACCCCTTTCGAAATACGAAGATAAAATCAATGCTACACGAATTAAGCTAAGAATGTGGAACGTAACTTTGCATAAGTACTATTTTTTGATTGCTTCCAGTCATTTTCAATGTTACGATGAGGAATATCAAAAGAAGGTTCAAAATGCTAAATTCTCAAACTTGCTTAAGACTATTCCAGGAATTGAACAAATGAATAAGGTTGATAAACTAAAAGAAAATATATCTCCTCTTATATGTGGGGTTTCCACTGATGATTTAGAGCCTATAGACTCATTGGCTGGCTTTCAAGGTGATATGAAATCTTCTACTGAGGTGCATCAATTTCAAGAGCAATTCTTCTATGGTTTAGCAGAAAAGGTTCGAGAAAAAATCCTCGAAAGTACTATTAAGGGTGTTTCCAAAGCAGTTAAATATAGAATCACATCGAGAGAACTTTACTACAAGGATATTAACGAAATATCTGATAGTGGACATCACCACTTACAGAAAAGCTCGAAGAAATTGTTCAAATGTATCCCGTTGATTGATCTTGAATCTTTAGAGGATAATATCCTTGGAATGAGAGCGAAGATATTTTTTGACCACGTTAATATCTTAGCAAAACAATTAAATGAGCAAGCTAAGGTTCTAAATGAATGGATGGAAGCATTAATTGCCATACTTTGTAAGCCATTACTTATGCATGATAAGACACCTGATGGTGCTGAGTACGAAGAGTCCATTGATGATCAGGACAAAGTGTCTTGCTATTTGCATGTTCTTTCTGGTTTAATTGCTGATAGATCAGAATTTGTTTTGGGGACTGAATTATCAAATAAATCTTCGACTTTCAAGAAACAGCAAGAAACATTTACACAAGAACTTAGTAATGTGAATAATCGTGAGTTTTTGAAGGATCTTCAAGACAAGAGAGAGCAATTCAAACCCAAACTGAGTAATACCTTACAAGGATTGGCACTAAAGGTTTCTAGTATTGAACAAGAACTATATGGAGGTGAAGATGAAGAGAAAAATACAGATACTACCAACTTGGGAAACCTTGAAAGTGAGCTTTTCCTGCAATTTAGTAGAAGAGTTCGAATGATTTTTGAAAACCAAAAACTTGCTGAAGTATTAATTCAAAAGGAACTTGTAAATTGTAATTCAGTGTTTAATAGCAGGATTGAATACTTCAAGCAATTACAGCAAATTTCAGATAGTGTTAGATCATCTTATAACTTCGAAAGAGAAGTTGACGAAACTCTAATAACACCGTTATGTTATGGATTTGTGGACTCTAACCGAGAACAGGAAGCAAAGTTAACAAAATCAATTGCAAAATATAGATATCTTCAATCTTTAGTGAAGAGTGGTGACAACTCGGATACTAATGCATCAAACGATGAGGATGATTTAATGTGCACAATTTGTCGCTCATCTATTACTATTGGATCTTTGACGCAATGTGGACATAAATATTGTAAAGATTGTCTTGAGCATTGGTTATCAAATTCCAGAACTTGTCCAATGTGTAAAGCACATATTAGTGAAATGACCATATATAATTTCACACATCATAGACCGAACCTCAAAGTCAATGCAGTGCATGATGGCGAACTGGGTGGAGGTACCAACGGAAATGCAAACGGGGAACCTTCTGGTGAAGATGATTTAATTCAGAGCAACCTTACGAACTTGCATTCTATTTATAAATCTATCGATACTGATATTGTCGAGAGTATACAGCGAATAGAATTAAAAACTTCATATAGTTCCAAAGTTGACATGATTATCAAACAAGTACTATACTTAAAGAATAAGGATCCTGAAGTGCAAATTGTAATATTCAGTCAATGGCAAGACTTGTTGTATATAATAGGTACTGCTTTAAAAAATCTGAATGTTTCCTACTTAGCATCTCATGGAACTTTTACACCCGAAATGGGAGGTGGTAGAAGGAGATATCAATATGATAGCGTAGAGGAATTTAAGAGATCTGGTTCTGAAATCACTTGCTTTTTGTTAAATGCCAGGGCACAAGCCAGTGGGTTGACTTTGATAAATGCCACTCATATATTTCTTTGTGAGCCATTGGTTAATACTTCATTGGAATTACAAGCTATTTCCAGAATTCATAGAATTGGTCAATCAAAAGAGACCACTGTCTGGATGTTTGCTATTGAAAATACCATTGAAGAAAGCATCGTTCTTATGTCGACCAACAAAAGACTACAGTACTTTGAACAAAAAAAGCCGAACGCACTCACTGAGATTGATGCTAATAGTGATGAGAAGGATTTATCAAAAGCCGAATCCATGACAATGACTAAAAGTGGTGGGATTGACACCTTGGTGAATAAGAACCTGGTTGAAGGTGAACTAGTTACAAATAGCGACTTGTGGAATGCCTTCTTCAGTGCAACTGCAAAAAAGAAGTCTAAACAAATTATTAGCAAATTCACTTGACCAAATTACGGTTTACATAAATAAATAAAATACTATCGTACTATCTTCAATACTTATTATTTTAAACAGCTAAATATGCACTATCGTCATAACCAGTGTAAATCTTTCCCTCTTCAACCAAAATTGCACAGTTTTCTAAAACAACTTCATTTGATATGTTTAAATGTTGAGAGATGAACCTTGCAGGGACACCTTCTTGTAAGCTTTCACTATTATCACGAACTACAGCTAATATATTATCTTGAATAGATAATCCTTGGTTGCTTTCTTTGACAAATAGATCCTGTTGTTGGTTTTGGCCACCAGCTTTGGAAGTTATTCCTTGAGCCTTCAAATGATTATTAATGGCACTAAGGTTGTGATATATGATTTCGTTATGGTCAGTAACTTGTCTTATGGTTGTGTTCTGCAATTGTTTCTTTCCATTGAAATCTTTTAAAGATCCTGTCACGTAAACATACTTGTTCAATTCTAATGAACTCAGATCAGATTCGGAAGAGCCCATATCATTCTCTTGGATCCACTTCTTAACATCAATAGCACCAGTACCATCTTCAATAGTAATGGCAAGGTTAGCAGTGAGGTCTTGGACATTTCTCACTACACCTACAAAGGACACATGCGATAAAGCAACATTATGTACTTGATATTCGCCATCCAATACTTGTTGCTGAGCTTCATTAATTTGCTTGATAGTGACCGGAGTTAAACTTTGACGCTGTTGTTGGAACTTTTGAGATCCGTTACCCTCGTTAGAGTAGTCACCGCTGGTGCTGAATCCACCTCCACCTGTACTGAAGCTGTTATCATCCATTTTTACGTTTCTTCAATTATGTTGCTTATTATATAAGTACCAAACAGACTAAGATGAGGGCTCTACCGTATCGGTTTTAATGTTTTCATATTTTTCTTTTTGGTGTTTACGCGTTTCTTAGCGTGGAGCACACGTGATCACTTCGCACCAGTAGGTGCGGTATGGAAATTAATGGCTGCAAATCTCATCAATACAGGTTGCTCAACCAAGGTGACGTGAACAGTCAGGGAAGTTCTTGGATTATGGAGTTATTAGTGTCTTTATCTAAACTAAACTTCATTCTGAAGGAGTAAGTGGAATAGTGGACTGAAAATAGTGAGTCAACCCTTCTGATAAGGTAGAGGTGGATGTTCTTAAGGTACATCCTTCCTGCAACTCCACAATAAAATGCGCTTAATGCGCTTGAAGTAATCAATCACAACCAAGGCGATACGTAACAGCTCAGCAGCAGCAAAATAAAAAATTATGATTAAGTTGTTACATTAGATGAATATGGACACCAAGCGAACTACATAATGGCTATAAATTACAAAGAAGTGGTCTTTATTTCACCTCCCAGCTTACCTCATAGAAAGACCCTGAGCTTCGAGACAACGCCTTGATATCCGGGTAAGTGCTTTTCTACTGATTCACCAAGTTGTTGCAATTTTGAAAAAGCTTAAAATAAAAACATGAAGAAGGTAAGACTTTGCTGTAAGAAGTTAGATATTAGAAGACGAGGGGCATTTGATAGACCCTTACTGAACATCAGAGTCATAAATGTACTTCACAGTGTAAAATTGACATAAAAGCTCATAATTATTCGCAAGATAGCTTGGAACATTGAGATTAAGCACCAGACATGGACACTAGTATAGACCCTTCAATCTCGGAACAAGTATTCCACGTTCCTACGTCCCCGTCGGAAAACTCTCAAAAGAACGAAGAGATATCAAACAACGAACGAGAAGAACTACCTAATGTGTTCCGGTTGAACGACTATGTCGCAGAACACCAGGATCAATCACTGCTGCAACATGATCACAATAGTGGAGAAGTAAATACAACAGCTGCAGCTGCATTAAATATGATACACTATGGCTTCGAGAACGATATTCCAACGGACACCACACACTCACATGATCATGATATAGATCTAACCCAGCATCACAGCATTAATCAGTTCAGTGGAATTGGTCTACCTTTTGACTCACTGCAACTGCTGCAGCATCTTCATCAACTTCCTCAACACCAATCGAGACAGATTCCATTGGCTCAACGACAACCTGTAACCATGAGCCGAATGCATGTAGTTCCTTACAGTCCAAATGAGAAACCAAAAAGATTAGGTAGACCTCGCCGACACATTCACAACCACACTATACCTGAAGATAATTCAATCCAAAATGTCAATGAATCCATGGTGTCCAAATTTAGATTTGACTTTTTACCAATTCAGGGTCCAGGGTCTCGTGGAGGTAAGTTGGGAGGAAGAAGAGCTCCAAGAGGAAGAATACAGCTGACAAACAACTTGAACTCTGGTCTTGGTCCAATTGATGACAATGCTATCATAAATGTAGATGGGAATCGCCGAAGTAGTCGAAGAAAGACTAGCTCTCCAGCTGATTTATCTGATCATCATGAGCCGAAGGATAATGACCAAACAGAAGAAGTTTCTAATGGAAGCTCAACAAGCGATGCTCCCGAATTCTTAGAAGAAAAGGCTATCCCAATTTCAGCTTTAAAAATTCAAGTCCAAAGTAAAATCGCTAAACGAAAAGCGAACGAATTATGTTTAAGAGTTCTCGCTGACCAGACAAGAAAGCCTAAAAAGTTGGCAATGTTTGCATTAAAACCTAGTAGAACAACTGTTCTAGTAACAAAAAGTAAAATAATTAAGCTGTTACCTGGGCCATTAATTGGGCTCAGTTCATCTTTATATGATGATAACGTAATGCTAGCGAAGGAAAATAAACTGAAATCTACAAAAGAGAAAATAGCTTTTGGATATCCTGTCTTAGCAGCACCGCACGCTAAAGACATTTCCATTATATTGATGTTCCTTAATAAATACAAAGATATAGTATTTGGAAAAGAAGTATATTACATTGGACCTCATGATTTTGAAATTGGGTTAAGTTTAACAAAATATTTTCAAGAAGGAGTCCCAGATGAAGACGATGAATATGTAAACTACAGGCTTAAAGAAGACAGTGAACCTTATGACCGAAATTTTGTGTCCCCGCTAATGACGATCTTATTCTGTAAACTTCTTGGTTTAGTTCTCAATAAGAAGAAAGATATCCTGTTGGTTTCACAAAAAGGTGCGATTGGAGAGTTGAGATCCCAAGTTAGCACATTGGGTCTCCCGAATGAATGGACGAACACTTCAAATGTGCTAAAAAAGCCTCTGGAGGTAGTAAATAATGATGAAGAAAATGAAAGAGATGAAAAGCCTGTTGATACCAACAGTCCTGAGATACTTGAAACTGAAAAATATTCCTATCAAGAACCAATAGCCATATATAATCCATTCAGAGATGCAGAATTCGAGAAGAGTGGACTAAAGGCGCTTACGCCTGTAAATAGATTGATAATGCTTCGTACTTTAGTCCAATGGTCAATCTCCAATTCTGAATCATTGAAATCCTACATAAACGAGAATGCAAGCTATCAAGATGTTGGAGGAGAAAGATCAACTTACTATGTTGCAAGGTCTATAACCAAGGGATTCAAGAATGCAGAAGACGCCTCTAAGGAAGCAGAACTTAGAATTAGCAAAAGAAGTGCTAATAAGAAAGCTTCTACAGAGCCCAATGATCCTAAGGGAGAAGAAATTGAAAGTGTAACTAAGTATGTTGACCCGCTCTCTGATCCATTATCACATCCACTTCGCTGGAGGATAGATGACATGTGCATAGCAGATATCGGTTTCAACGTAGGTAGATTTTACCTCTGCCGTATGGCTGACGCCGATGGTGGGGGTTTATCTTCCTTACGCAAAATGAAAAATGTCTACACTAACTTCCGAGAACTTAAAGATATTCCATCGTCTTTCAAATTGTATGTTGAAGATGTACATCAAATGATTGTAGAGGACTTCACCAAATACGGTATCGAATTTGATGAAAGGGGAAATGAAGTGGAATCAACTCACCCATTTGAGCAGCTGACCTCAAATTGGTATGAAGTAGCTGGAAATGCAGCGGAGTTAAAAACTTTTATCGACTATGTCTCTGAGAAATTGAAGCTGCTTCCATCGTCCTTGCACAAGCAATCCACGAATTTTGTCACCCTCTTGTCCTTTATTGAACCTTTAATTACAAATCAAGAGTCGGCTATGATAGGAGTGACTACTGAAAGAATTACCAGGAAACGGGAGGAAATTAATTATAATGATATTTCCAATTCTACAAAATTGGAAGAGGATGAGGATTCACAAGGCGAAGAATACTTAGAAGAAGTCGAAGATGTGGACATGGAAGATGAAGATTACCTGGAATGAAGTTAGTACCGTACACAATTGAGAATAATTTTGTGCTATCACTTTACTACATTTCATATAAAAAAATTCATTATATTAGTGTTTGTTTCTACTTTGAAGCAAAATATAATACATAACAGCACTTCCAGCTATTTACTTGATTCAGTTGTTTTTTTTTCATTTTGTAGTCAAGTTTTTATTTGTTTCTATGTTCTTGTCTTTCCTCTAAATCTTTCCAGCCCCCAAAAGAATATTAATGTTATCCCTTAATAGATCTTCATTCTTTTCGTAATATTCTGATCTTCTAACAACTTCTTCATCGTAACCTTCGTCACTTTTCAAAACCTTCAAGGTTTCCAGTTGGCTTTGTAGCCAGTTCTCCATAAATTTTACTGGGTCTTCACTAAGTTCACGATAAAAAATTTCTCTCGAGTTTGAATTTTGTAAAGCGACAACCCCCAAAGAAATCTTGCTATTCAATTGTTGGATCAATGCGTCTGATTGCGACAAACTTTCAACAATTTGCTTTGATGATTCGATAACTCCTTGTTGGAATTCGGATAACGTAGCAGGCAAATCTACTGGTATATCTATAATTAAGTCTCCCAAGGTGGTCGATCTTGTGGTGTCTATTTCATAGTTTAGAATGATAGGCTCTCTAGGTTGGAAGTGGGGCTGAATCAATTTGAATAAATCAGAAAACCTGAACGTTGGCACGTTGAATAATCTTTGCAAAGTTTCATCACATTCAACGACTTTCAAATCGTCTCCATCGTCTCCATTCCCGTTTCCTGTAGCTGAAGATGCATTTGCATTCACACCAACAACGGATACAGCTGGAACCTTAGTGAAAGAATCAACGTTCTTGAGTAAATCCTTGTATAAGACATATTGCCAGACTAAAAACACTAACTCCTGTTGGCTAGATTCCTGTTTGCCGATAAATTGAGACATAGGATCACTCAATTTCAAAATTGATGGCTGGGCTCTAGGTAAGATTGCTATTTTACATTGCAAGTTATAAATTCCTGGCCTTTTGATGTCTAAACCGTCAAACTCTGCGCCAACAGATGGAGGTGGTGGGCCGCCTGGCTGCTTTCCTTCTGCGAGTTGTTGTTCGATTGGGTTTCTCCATTCAATGATGTTAGATCTTTGGGCCTCTTGCGGAGCTTGAAATTGTGGTGGTGAATGATGTTGCTGTTGTGCTGGTTGGATGATATCGACCGAAATACCTGAAAGTAACGAGGAGAAGCTCTGATAACCGACTGAATTTCCATCAGTTTCAGCGTCATCATCACCAAGAAATCTTCCCTCAATTCTTAAAGTCCAGGTTGATTCTACATTTGGATCAATTAAGTTTCCGCCCTCTTGCGATACTTGCCACGGCTGGTTTTCGCAGGTGTTGTAGACGAAAACACGTAAAGTTCCAGTGTGCTTTTGATAAGACGAAGGATGAGTAGTCTTACCTTGGAGTGCCTGCAAATCAAGTGACTTTCTTGTTATGAGAAGATCTATCTTACGTTCTGAATCCTGAAGCTTCTTGTAAAGGTCTAGGTTAGGAATTTTACTGTAAAGAGATGGTGGGATGGTCGTGTCTGTGGGAGTGTAAGACATGGTAGGCACTGGAGCCGGGTTAGGGCGAGGTACAGCTGCTGATGATCCTTGAACGGCTGCAGAGTCGTGTGGAATTGGTTGTTGTACCATCGCTACTTTAATTTATAGATGACAGTAACTAAAAGTGATTAAGAAGAAATGAATTAGGGTACCGTGCTCCTCTTAGCTTGTAAACAGTCTCTTGTCGTTTGGGTGTTGCCAAAAAAAATTGGAAAACAACATGAAAAAATGAAACCGTTCTCACGGTAGGCGCGCGACCTCTACGGAAAAATTGGTTGCAGTCTTGTGTGGAGTAATATGTCAATTACCAAGCACGATAAGGTAGACATGACATTGCTACGGTCCTGTTGCCTAAAAATGATGGGAGCTGGTATCGATGTTCCTCTGACCACTTCATCGTGCATCTTCCATTCCCGTGCATATTTCTGTTTTGTTGAATGTGGAAACGATAATTGTTGTGGCTGGTGTATTCAACATTTTGGCTTGATGTAGCTGACTTATATGCCGGACAGCGCATTAGTAAATCAGCTCGACCTTTCTGGCAACTTTTCTATTACTGGGGTATCTGTGGAGCATCTATATATATATATGTATATATACCTATACGTATCCATTTACATAAGTGTATATATATATATGTGTGTGTGTATTTAAGCAATTAGTTGCGTGTGTCTTATTTCGTATTTATTACTGGCTATTATTCTGAGTCTGCATCGTTACTATTAAAGGTGTCACGATGGAGAAGTCTCAAATCATAAAGCGGAAGGTGGCCAGCTCAAATCATGGATCATCAACAGCGCCCTCTTCTCAGCTCAAAAATGTGCACACCAAAATGAAGAAACGGAAGACTGACTTTTTGAACAGAATCAACTATTCTCACACATTTTCGGTCGTGGTGTTACCTCTTGTGGTGGCGTTGTACTATATAGTAGTCAGCACCACCCATTCACTTTCAGCATATTGTTCTTCACCAAAGAATTCGACTTTGGTCTTCTCTGGGCTTTATTTCCACGTCACATTACTAGCATTTACTTCAGGGTATCATAAATATTTCACTCATAACACTTTCCAGACCAACTCCAAAGGTCTCCCACTTTTCTTCGTGGTGTTTGGCAGTGCCTTGGGCTTAGGATCCGTGAGGTGGTGGGCGTCCCTACACCGAGCTCATCACCATTTCACTGACGATACTGAACGGGATCCATACTCAATAAAAAGAGGTGTATTTTGGTCACACTGTGGCTGGTTGATAAAGAAGCCTAAAATCACTACCTTCTATCAGGAGTTCATGGAACAAGAGTTCCCGCTCAAATTGCATGTTGAAGAATCAAAAGAGGAAGAAGATTTCCGGAGTGACTTAAATGAGGTCTTAAGCAATGTTGAAGGAGAAGATGAGGAGGACCAAGTCGACTACGACTTACTCAATATTCAGCGTCTTACACTTTATGACCATAAGTTGGTTCTCTGGCAAAACTCATACTATCTTTTCTGTTTTTTGACTACTGGTCTCATCTTACCAACATTGGTAACGTATTTCTTCTTTGGTGAGACATTAACTAATGGGCTAATATACCCTGGGATCATTAGAATGTTCTGCTCTCAGCAATGCGTATTGTTGACTGAGTCAATTTGTCATAAATCATATTTATTTTCAATACCCACACAACCGTACAATGACAAGAATTCTTCCAGAAATTGCCATAATCCAATATTGACAGTATTGACGTACGGACAAGCTAATCAGAATTATCACCATGAGTTTCCTCACGATTATCGTAATTCCTCCTCGGTGTTGGCATTTGATCCTACTAAATGGTTCATTTGGAGTCTATATAAGATAGGGCTAGTTGACGACCTTTGTAGTACCCCACTGGATTTGATTACTCAGATCAGAATACAACAGCTGCAGGCTATCATAACCAGGGCCAAAAGTCAGTTAAATTGGGGAACTCCAATATCAAAATTGCCCAGGATTACGCCTAAAGATTTCAAGAGAATCTTGGCTTCTTCAAATCATAGCGATCGGATTTATATTGTGATTCAAAACATTATCCACGACATAACTCCCTTTATGGATCAACATCCAGGTGGAGTACAACTCCTAAAAGCTTCACATGGCAAAGATGCAACGAAGGCGTTCTTTGGAGGAGTTTACGGACATCTGACTGCAGCAAATAATTTGCTAGCAACAATGAGAATTGGCATATTAGACGTGGGGAATGAGGAGGAGGTCTGGAGAAGAGTAGTAAAGGAAGAGGGTAATGTAGATGAAGATAAGGGAAGAAACAAAGGGTCCGAGCAATATAAAACGGCCGAAGCTGCATAGTTTGGTATACAGGTCATAATCATAATAATAATATACTAATTACACTATAATCACAATAGCAATTAGTAGCCCAAAGCTGCCCATGTGGGAATCTGCTACTGTTCCCACCATTGCCATGTATTCGTAGCCCATGTAGCACAAGCACTTCTCCATAGTGGAGTTCACGTCCTGCATATAATCTTCTTCCACTAGCATAGGGCCCAATTTATTTTTCAACTCCCCTGCTGATGCTCTTTAACGATGTCTTTGCAACGAGCCAGCTATTCCCTGAACAGCTTTCTAAAGAATATGCCAACGCTTTTCCATGTAAGAGATTATCGCGGGGCTACAGTTGAGGACCTCGATATAAAGCCAGCTATTTCCATCAACCCATCTACATCTCTCGCGGAAGCCACTGACATAGCATTTGAAAATGAGTTCACTAACTTACCAGTGATCAATGAGACCAATAAGAAGCTCCTTGGAATCTTAAACATCGAGTCATTGAAAAATATTCCAAAAAATACTCCAGTTGCGCCAGTTGTAAAACACTACATGCTCTGGTTTCATCAAAACGCTCGTAAGAAGTATGAGGATCAATTTAGTAAGAACAGCAGCACTACCGTTGAAAGGACGAAGCTCAACACCACTATCAAGACTCCTACACGTAGTAGAAAGTACACTATTGTGACTCCTTTGACACCATTAGAAGAGCTTTCCGCTTTTTTCAATCAAGGTAACTTCTTCGCTATCATTACCAATGATGAAGGCACGTTTGTCTATGGAGTGGCTACCCCCGAAGATTTAATGAAGTATGAAAACTCAAGACCAAAATTGTGAGAGAAGTCAACAAACAAGCAAACAAACAAACAGATGTAAGCCTCATTAAAGTATACTATTTAATATTAGCATGTATATAATTATAAAGGACATACCTCCCCAATAAAAAGGTAGGCTATATAAAATAGTAATGTGTTACTAACCCCATCGTTCCTATTGAGGGATGGAAAGAACCAACTTACCTGTAGTCTTTCTACCTTCTAAAGCAGCGGTAGCTTCTTTGTAATCTTCCAAGGGATAAACCTTAGAAACATCGATCTTTAATTCACCGCTAGCAATTAATTCCTTCAACTCATTACCGTAGTGATCGTACTCTTCTTGTTCAGTAACGTAGTTAAAGAGAGTAGTTCTTATGATCTTAATGTTTTTCGTGGCTAATTTTTGAATCAGTAATGGAGGAACTGCGCCCGAAGCATTACCAAACGAAACGAAGGTACCCTTTCTACGCAACGAGTCGAAAGTGGTATCAAATGTATCTTTACCAATTGAGTCGTAGGATGCTTCAACACCCTTACCATCGGTATATTCTTTAACCTTGGCAACAACATCATCAGTCTTAGAATTGATTAAATAATCAGCGCCAAGAGCTTTGGCTTCAGCCAACTTGGCATCACTTGACGCAACAGCCAAAACAATACCGCCCTTTCTCTTGACCAATTGTGTTAACAACTTACCTACACCTCCTGCGGCAGCCCAAACCAAAATTTTATCACCCTTCTTGACGGTGTAGCCTTCTTCAACTAAGGATAAAGCTGTCAAACCTTGGAGTTGAGCACCGGCCTCAGTAATCAAACCTTCTTCTGAGATATCAGCAGCCAACTTGGTGACGGTGATGTAACTGTCTGGGATTTTAGTGTATTGAGCAAATGTCTTGCCAGCAAGATAAACCACATTGTCACCAACTTTGAATCTGGTAACATCCTTACCAACTGCGGCGACCACTCCAGCAGCTTCTCTTCCTAACGTGTATGGCTTTTCACTGGGGTATAAACCACTTCTGAAGTAAGCTTCAATGAAGTTGACACCGGCGTACTTGTTCTTGATAATTACATCATTGCCGCTCTCAATTTGTGGAGCTGGAACATCTACGTACTTGAGAACGTCTAACGATTGAGAGTTTTCTTCGATAAGAATAACCTTATGAGTTTGAGGGATTGACATATTCGTGGAGTAGTTGAGTTTGCGAGTGAGAATCGGAAAAGCTCTATTTGCAGTTCTTGGAGAATAATAGATAGGTAACCTTCTCGCTGAGAAAAATATGGAGCGAATCAATCCTGTCATATATATACATGGAAGGAAAAAGAGAGTTAACTAAATTCGAACTATGGCTCTACCAGTTCTGGTGAATATTATTATGCAAGTAGGTGAGGCTGACATCGGGGTGGGTGCGCGCTTACAATTATTTAGTAATCAAATACGTAATAGGTGAAAGCTTAATTATACTAGGGCGAGTATGCTCTTCTGACTCTGCTAAATTAGCTTACAAACACGGAGCTATCGGTCAAATGGTTATGTTTCCTCTTCATCGATATTCTATATGATGAGAAATAAGATGTAGGTCAGGTCAATGTCTCATTTGACAGCTGTCATATGAAGAATAAGCAGTTTGTAAGTCGAGGAAGATTATTTCCGGCTCGTAAAGTGAAAAATGCTCAACTAGCATAAAAAATGCGCACGGAAATGCAACCACAATGGTACTGCTCCTAGGTAAAATGCGCACACAAGTGCAACCACAATGTTTGTGCGGGAATGGCTATCTGAACATGTCTATTGTGGTCTCTCCTGTCATCTGGAGGAAATTAATAGATCTAGATGTGCTTTGGATCGGAGAAGAGAAACATCTTTTCGGTTAACATGCAGATATTTGCTTTTAGAGAAATAAAACGAGGTATGTATTTCTTTTCTCCCATTGTTCACCTACCTACTTCTTATCACCTTCCTCCTTAATTAAATTATTGGATTTTGCATTCTCTGCTAATATCCTCTCCGTACGGTCACCGTGTCTCACTCTCTTCCCATTGGATGACACTTCATCCTTGAATGCATAACTGATCTCCACTTTCTGATTCATCAATATTCCACCGTTCATTTTCTCAATTACTCTGTCACTGACTTCAAAATCTTCAAATGATAAAAAGCCATGGCCCTTCGATTCACCTCTCTCGTTCCTTAAAAGTATTGGAGGTCTAATCAACGTTCCAAATTTGGAAAAGGTATCTGATAAAAACTGCTCATCTATCAATGGGTTGAGATTATTAATGAATAGCTTGGCTCCTACATCTAAGAGATTGTTGGAAGATGATGAGGTGAAAGAGTTTAGCTGTTGGTACTTCTGCTTCTGTAATTGATTCACCTTGGCTGCTGCTGAGCCTGTACCATTGTTTTGTTCAGTTTTATTTATCTTTAGTGTTTTCCCAAATAGTCTGACTCCCTTTGCCACTTCTAGTACATACTCAGCATCTTCGACACTACGAAATTCGGCAAATCCATATCCTTGGTGTGATTTTAGTATTCTGTCCTTCGGGAAGTTCAAGGACTTGATAGGTGCAAATTGAATAAGTAGTTCAAATAATAGTAACTCTGTCACCTGAGGGTCGAGGTTCCCTACATATATGGTTGCCTTAACATTTCTATCTGAGTCCAAGGGCCTTTTGAATACGTTCATGCTGGATATGTTAACGTTCTTCTTTCACCAACTCTGATAAGAACCAAATGAAGTTTGAAAAAAATAACTAAGAAAAATTTTTGATATCAAGCGGAAAAAAAAAGTTGCAGATCTTGAAAAATAAATTTGCACCCAATCCTTTGGGCTCTCCACTGCGATGATTAGAGTTCTATTAGGATGCATCATGTATTTTCTATCGTTATTGTATATACATTACTAAGCTAGCAATTATTTAACAGGACTTTCATTGAATTGTTTATAGGGCAGTTGAGCGCTATGCTCTGCTATTTACTGGCCTGCCTGCTAAGCGCTATGCTCTGCTGCAGTTTCATCTTGCACTGCATTCATTGGCGATGTTACTGACATCATCTCCTCAACAATAGCTTTCGATGAAGAACTTTCTGGTGGTCCATCGTCACTCTCATTGTCACTACTTTCCTCTTCGCTGCTATCGTCGCTGCTATCATTGCTACTGTCCTCTTCGCTACTGCTATCGCTGCTACTTTCGTCAGAGGATACCTCACCAAATTGTTCACTAATATATTCCTTCCAAGTATTCTCGTGCCTAGTAACATAAATAGTAGGAAATTCAAGTACCACTTTATCCGTTAACACTTCTGAGATCATAAGTTCTGGCGATAACTTTATAATAGATCTCTTCTTATTTTTGTCCAAGATATTCTCTAAGTAAAAGCATAGTTCACTCTTGTCTATATATTTTTCGGGTATAGATTCAGCGTTGTCTACCGTGGATGCCTTCCCTGCTTCCTCTTCTTTTTCGATTCCTCGTACAGGGAGTTGGACGTTCTCTTTCGTAGTCTCTGCTTCTACCCCTGCTACATTCAGAGCATGATTTTCATATTCATTTTCTTTTCCCTTCGCCAATGACTTATTCAAAATATTCATTGGAAAAGAGTCTCGTAATATTGTTCCCTCTTTCATTCTATAGCTTAGAAATCTTGTCACCTCTGCTCCATCCAAATCTATAAATACCCACTCAATCGTCCAGATGAAAGTCCCCAATCTTTTGTCGTATCCAGTCTTGTTAGATGTAGCCCTTGACATCCCAGTAGGAAGCTGCACTACTAATGTGTTATTTCTTCTAATTATAGAAGGTGGGGAATTCGGAAACACTTTATTTACTAAGTATTTTCTCGGATCTATGTCTTCTGCTTTGAATCGCTTGTTGTTGTTATTTTGACCAGCGTTGTTGTTGCTCCTCTGATGGAATTGTCGTTTAAATACGTTCTTAGCATTTAATTTAATATCATCCTTTCCTAAGTCTATATTTCTACCTATGTTCATGAGGAAATTGTAGTCTCGGTTTATGTGGTTGTCAGTTGATGACAATTCCTTTTTACCTAAGAATTTAGTCTGATCTACAGTACCGGTGCATTTTGAGTCTTGCTTGTGCTTTTGGACACAAGGAAACGAACAAGTCTTAACTCCACAAGCTGGACATGTGTACTTTATGGGATTTATACTACAAACCGAGCAGGACATATAAGTAGTGAGGTTTTTGCTGTATAAAAAGTTAGCATATATAACAGATTGGGATTGACTTTCTTATGAATAATATTGATGCACCTCTTGTATGCCGGAATTGGTGATGATCATCTCAAATAGATTGACAAAGAGTGGGAGTCAAGCATGAAGGGTAAGTCACGCATGAAGAGTTTACTCTCAATGTGTTGAGTTCTTCATTATTTTATAGATGCTGTTAACATCCAGGCTGAAAGTTACCTCAATCAATTCTTTTAGTGCCTTACGTACTTCCTCTCCCTTTTTTGAAGTATCTTGACAAGTTTGTAAAAGTTCAGGCAAATTATACTTATCTGAAGATTCAGAAAATTCAATAAAATAGTTAGTTCTTGTAGAGAGCAGTTTTCTTAGTTTACTATGTAATACAGTATATCTAAAGAGTCCAGTCTTATCGTAGTATAAGAAACTGTAGATATTATCATATCCCTCTACTCTAATATCATGGCTGCAACATAGTCCACTTTTGCGTCACTTCACCTTTGTGTAACTTTCAATTTTTCAGCGTTTAACCATTTACATTTTTTTTTTTCACGGTACTTTGATCTTCTAATGTAAAATTGTCCATAGAGATAGACTTAGTTATTCAAGATGTTTTCCAGGTCCGGCGAACAGTTTGTTCAAAGTTCAGTCAAACAAAGTATCAGGCATGCTTCGAAGAGAACTCCTCCCAGAGCCGATAAAAGAATACCTGTTCAGTTATTGAAAGACTTTCCCAATGTAGGTGTTAGAGGTGAAGTGGTGAAAGTTCTTCCCTCAGTGATGAGAAATTATCTCCACATGAATAACGGTGCTACGTACCTCACAAAGACTAAAGGTCCGCGTATTCCAATTGTGGATAGGAGTGTGTTCCTTGAGCAACAAGAGAAGATAAAGCAAGAGAAGGCTGAACTCTTGAGGGAACAAAGAAGAAAGGAGCTCGAAGCTCAAGCCCAAAGGGAAAGCGAAGAAAATAACGAAGCTGCATTGTCATTGGAAGAATTATCGGGTTTATTTGACAACATTAAAAGAGGTAGAAAGTCCAAGTCTAAGAAGACGGCTATTAAGTTGGATGGAGCAGAGGTAGTCGAAGCTGAAACCGAAGAAACATTTGCAAACTCTGTAGAGTCGACCGTAGATATCTCTTACACATCTTTCGATGTCACTGAGGCCATTCCTGCAAGATACAATGTGTACTTGAGTGAAAATATAATACTTCCAATTACCAAATCATTCTTGATTGGCCAATTCTACGATGTTTCCGGTCTTGAATTGCAAGAACTGGCCTTGACTTTGACCTCTCAAGAAGAAGGTGCCGTGGAGACTGAAGAAGTCATTGCTCCAGGTACTTATACCTTGTCTATTTCCGTTCCAAATGAGCGCGACCCAGTTGAGAGAACCTTAGTCGTGCAATGATTCCATTCGACCACTTTAGAGAATGAATGAGTTTCATGCACCTTCTACCTGTATATAATTAAAGTAAAGAGTAATTCCATAACTTAGACTAGTGCAATCGTGTAGAACCACTCTAATGGCCAAGAATTCAACTTAAAAAAAAAAAATACCCCAAAAAAAGATGCTGCAATTCCTGCACATATTGGATTACAATATCAAGATAGACATTAAACAATTTTTACATTTCTGGTTTGAACTCTTCTCCATCCTTGTTTATACTCATTCTACTTGTATTATATAGATGCTGATATGGCTGGTACATTACGCTTCACTGCTGCCAAAACTTCGATTATCAACAAGAAGTCAGGTTCTTCCTCAGTTAACCCACTTAAGAGACTTTTGCCATCACAATCCAAGTACCAGCAAAATCTTAAGTCTCGACTGCAAAAGATCGACACCCCATCACAAAACACAAAGAAAGAAGAGCCATTAACCATATTAGACTACAATGTACAACTAGATTATCAACTTTCTCAAAGGGAAGATCTAATGACTGCCATAGATACTATACTAGATAATCAGTGGTCTGAGTCATCTTCCCTCCAAGATCGATATCACTCAGCGGCAACTAAAAGTGCTAACACGCCACAGGAACTACTTTTCCTGCTTTCAGGACTATCAATGCAGACCAAGGCGGAGATAATGAAATACAGAGTGGACCAGCTCCCACATGGGCTAGTTACGGTGAATCAGATCTACTCTATTTACGAAAAGCTTGGACACACATTTGTAGATCGAAGCTTGGAGTTACGGATAAGAGAGGGCAAATTGAAAAAATTCATAATTACTAATGCATCTCCAATAATACTGAGGTCTCCTCAGAAGTTTCAAAGTGGAAAAGTCACGTATGGGTTTGAAAATGTAGAGATAGTAGTCAAGTTGGATAATTATTTAAATCATGTTCAGGGCCTGATTGCGAAAGCAAGTGAAGACGAAGAGGTTTCTAAGTGCTTGGAAAAGTTCGCTTCCTTTGTAAGGGAGAACCCTACTGCCTTGTACATTAGCAGCAACTTAAATAAAGAAGAAAACTTCACGCCTGAGAATATTGCTACGCTCGTTGATTTTGGATATGTTACGCTTACATCCAACCATCTCAATGAAATAGAGTCACATCAATATGCTGTATCATATCCGAATTGTGGGACGTATCTCAAATTGATCAATGCATGCAGAACTTGGCTAGTCAAGTTTTTGTCTAAATCTAAATTTAAAGAAGTCTTGGAGACTCAAATGTACGACAGATGGGAAGGTATAACGCAACAGACGAATTCCAATGCTGGTTCTCAATTTGCTAGTAGCCTGAAGATGACTAACTTTAGAAAACCCTACTATGGATTTGAGTTGAACTGGGTTCTTGCAGATGCACTTGGAGCTGGAGTTGTGGAAGTGTTTAGCACTCCTGTTGGTAGAGGATGGAGATTGACTGGGAAAATGTAGAGAAAAATATAAGTAGATTTTGGGTATGATGGCAGCCCTAAAGCAATCGTAGGATAGAAAGGATTAATATACAAGGTAATTATGTTACAATTATTCATTCTTCTTACTGAATAAAAAAAGAATTGCATTTAACGTTGTTTCATTTATTTACTTAAATTTTCTAGATGAGGGCATCATATTAATTAGAATTGAATGTCAGTGAGATAGGAGAAGTGACATCATCACTTGCATTTTGGTGTCATCAATTCTTTTACATTCTAACCTTTTGCTTCTTCATTGCCTTCTTCCTTTGCTTTTCCAATGCTTTCTTTTCGATTTTTTCTTGTTCTGCTGGAGACAACTTTCTTACTCTGTCTCTTTCTTCCTTTTTCAACTTGGCGTCTTCTTCAGCCTTAATTTCAGCCTTGACTTCATCTTCAATCTTTCTAAATTTGGCAATTTCAATTTCTCTTGTCTTGACAATCTTTCTTAATGCTTCAACCTTGAATTCAATTTTCTTAGAGGCCAAGTCATCAACTAAAGCAAATAAAGCAGCCAAGATATCGGTGATTTGCTGTAATTGCTGCTTACCACCAACTAAATGAGAAGAAACAATGATTCTACGCTGAGGTTGGAACCCAGCAAGAGTAGCTGGCTTTTCAACTGCTTGATCGGTGAAGGCAATATATCTCAAGAATGAAGCGGATTCTAACTTCAATGCTTCACGTAACGGTTCAGTAAGAGTCTTTTCTTGGAATTCTGCAGCTTCACTCATGAATACGAACGATTCTGGTATTTTATCTGAATCAGAAGTCTTGGTCAAGGAAAGGAAGTAGTTAAACTTTCTGTAATCATTCATACCGATCTTAGAAACGATGGCAGTGATGAAGTTATCATAGGCAATCGATGGGGTAATAACAATGTCAACTCTATCTTGAGGAGAGTTGACTGACTCAGTGAAGAATGAAAGGCCGGTTTCTAAGAGCCAGACGAAAGTGTTATGTCTTGGCTTCAACTTGAAAGTGATATCAACCTTGGCAATGTTTTCTCTACCAGAAGCATATGATGAGTATGCTTCAGACAGATCCTTAATATAAGTGGCATCTGGGGAGACACCGAATTGAGCAAAATTCTTAAGGAACAACTCCTTTTGAGAATTGAGGAATGTGGTCACTTTACGCTCATTCCAGTAGTCACCGACCTTGAATAACACAATAAAGGCAAGGGTGAAGCCAATTGTCATGTACTCTAACTTCCAATCATGAACCTTGATACGTTGAAAGACGGTCATCTCTTTCAATTCTTCATAAGATAAGTCATCGTAGTTTCTGGAGAGGAATTTAGTTAGTAATGGAGACACAAAGTGTGATTAGATAGGCAGTCAAGAAAATGACAGAGAAGACTCTAATATCAGTCACTTACAATACGCTAGCAGAAGCTGAAGCAATAGAATTCAAAAATGAAAACATTTTCACTAATATAACTATTTCAAAGGCAAGAAGCTCAACTGGACCTTTATCGTTGAGCTCTCTTTTGACTGTGAACGACAGCTCCAAAATTTTGAGACTTCGACGTTAATTTTCAATTTGTCCGGGGCACGACTTCTGATCTAAGAGCCACACACAAGCTGCACTACTAATGGTTGAATGGTTGATACCTATCCTGTATTACCAGCTATTTAGTTTCTATATGCTTATATTCCGCTGCCAGTGATTTGCACTACTACTTTCTTCTCTTCTTGTTTGAGTCTTCTGCTTCTAACTCGTTCCCATTATTGTACTTGGCCATTCCCTCAGCAACAGCATTTTGAACCAATTCTCTTAACCCTTCTTCTGGATTCTCGCTGTTTAAGATATCTTCCATTTTCTTTCTTCTTTCTTCATCGCCCATGAGGTTGATGTCTATTTCGTCTCCTTGGAGCTCGTTCTTCATAGAGTAGCTGATTTGATGCCCATCTATTACACCAGGTGCAGGCAACGACTCAATCAAAGAGGGCTCCGATTTAGATCCAATCGCCGTCGGTTGGTCATGGGCCAAGGACTTCAAATATATGGCCAATTCAGGGAATTCGTCCTCTTCTTGAATGTATTCTCCAGGGGTCTGTCCATCGCCATTCTTTAATTTCCAGTCAGCTTGGAACTCCTCGATCAAAGCCTTGGCTACTTGAAGATCTTCCACATGATGTAAGGGAGTGTCTCCTTCATTGTCTTGTATATTTATGTCACCACCGCTAGATATCAAAAGGCGTAGTAAATCTAAGTTTCCGTAAGATGCTGCAGCATGTATTGGGGTATATCCATTTGGGTCTTTGGAATTAGCTCCAAAGTCACCCGACTCCAAGTGTTTCTTTACTACTTCTATTTCATTATCAGCAGCCGCTATCCAGATATTGGAGACCATCTTACTTAAGTATCCAGTTGTATAAATATACTGACTTGATGCTGTTCTATGTCTTCGTTTTTTTTTAATTTTTTGGTGATGATCAGAAAATTGAATGTACTGCATACAGTGAAATTTTTCACTTCCTCTTAGTGTGCTGAAATGACTGTAGAAAGCTAAATGTGCGGACACAGAGAGTGAATATACCACACCAAGCCTAGTATATCACTGCCCGCGACTATGGCGCTCTCTAAAGATGATCCCAACCACAAAGAATCTGTGATAGAAACATCTCCGGCCGAAAAATTGTCTGGATTTGAGTGGTGGAGAAGGTCTGTGTCATATAGAACCGGATTGGGCATGACAGATGATGAACAGAGACAGTATGAGCACGATTATACTGCTAAAAATTTGCCGTCAATGTGCACGTCTTGTGTGGAAGGGAGAGATTGGATGTTGCAGTACTCCCCTACCGTGATATTTTTGATGGACCATATCAAACAACTAGGTGGGAACTTAAATAAGTTGAATATCAACTGTGATGTCTGCGACGACACTAAAGGTGGAGGATTCCATCCAGAAATGGGGATTCTTTTATGTTCCAACTGGATAAGAAATAAATGGCAATTGGAAGATATCTTGTCGCATGAATTGGTACATGCTTACGACCACTTGAAGTTTAAAGTAGACTTGACCAATTTGAAGCACCATGCTTGCACGGAGATTAGAGCTTCCATGTTGAGTGGAGAATGTAGAATATTTAATGAGATTAAGAAAACTGGATTGGGAAGCTTCGGTAAGAAGTTTCAAACATGCGTAAAAAGAAGAGCTATATTGTCTGTACAAGCTAACCCAGTATGCTCAGGACCTGAAGAAGCGACCAAAGTTGTCGAGACTGTGTGGCAGTCATGTTTCAATGATACGAGGCCATTTGAGCAGGTCTACAGGTGAACAATATCAAGTGGGAAAGAAAGGTTTTTTTTTTTTTTTTTCAAAAATGAACAAAATGTTCTGAGACTCTTTAAGCACCAGGCTCAAGAGAAGGGTGCAATAGGATAAAGAGAGAGAGAAGGTGAGACACACAGACTGAAATACCCTAAGAAGGGTAACTCTCACGACCACCATCGTCCATTTTCATTTCCTTTTTCTATCTTATCTCCCCTGAATCCGTTCTTTCCATTGAAATTTTTAATTACGTAAGATTTTGGAACATTCATGTATATAGTTTATAGTTTGTAATATATAGAAATATTATTTAGCACGCAATTGCGTGGTTATTGAATCCCCTGTATAACCTTCCCTGGCATTTTGTACTTTCATCTAAGATATTTGCGTTTTAATGCTTGGCACTGTTTCACGCTACCATGTTCCGCCATGTCCGCCATGTCCGGCACTAATGTAGTGAAACACACATGGACACACATGGAACTATTTTGCTGGACTTAGATTCCGTTCCGTTCGCTCCCACGAAGCGAGCTTTAACCTGGCGAACCTTAATTTTCCACTGCGACCTGCGGCGTAACCTAGAAATGCATATAAGATAAGAAAAGTTACACTTCATTTCAAACGGAACTCCCTTTAATGCCAAAGAAGTATATAATCTCATCAACAAAATAACCCTATATATGTACTAATAGTTCAATTAAGAACTGGCTACTTCATACTCGCTCTCATTTCTTCAAGAAAATGCATAGAGCAGATACTGAAAGAAAACTCTCCATTGTGACCCTTCGTAATGAAGGCAGGAGGCAATCGCTAGTGCTAGATGAAGATTTTCCACTAGCTTCTTCGTCTTCTGATACTTCTTCATCCGTAGAGGAGGATACGGGAACTGGCCATGAATCCGCTCAGCTGCTTGATCTAGACAAGCTAAGTGAATTAAAAGAATCCACTGCTAATGATGGAAGTATAGAAAAGAGGCGCCAGGTTTCCAAGCACACTTCACTGAGACTGCAAAGTAGCATTGACTTGAGTCATGTAAAAGTGTCCCAAACAATCAAAGAAATTGACAGAATGAATAGTGGGATTAGACTTAGAAAGAAAAGAGGTACCAGAACAGGAAAGAAAGGTCTGCCAGGAGCAGAACCTGCCGCTGATTTCGATGTACAAGATCAGGTTGAAGAAATGCTTAGATCCAAATTTTCAGATATCGAGTTCTATACAACTTCTACAACTATTTTTGATGCTGAATACTTTAAGAACTCTGAATTCTTTGGCCTTTACATATTATTCTGGTTGGGGACTGGTTTCTTGATGCTTTCCAATTTAGTGCAGAGTTATTTCGAATCTAACTTACCATTTTATGAGAGACCTGTTGCCAAGACGTTAGGGAAAGATGTGCTCAAGATTGGGGTCACTGATTTGGGAATGTACTTGACATCATACGGTGTGTACATTATTCAATGGGCATGCTTGAAGGAGTACTTGCAATGGAATTCCCTGGGTAAAGTTATTCATGTTTTGTTCGAGTTCGGTCACTTCCTCCTGTGGCTCAAATATGCTGAATATGCGGAATTCCATTGGATTGGCAAAGTGTTTTTATGCCTCCATGGGATTGTATTTCTTATGAAAATGCACTCTTATGGATTCTACAATGGTTATTTATGGAATATCTTGGATGAATTGGTGTTTAGTGAGAGTTACCTCGAAAGGTTAGAGGCTAACGACGGCAGTACTACATTGCCTCCTGGCTATGAAATTGAAAGTGTCAAGAAAACTTTACGGCACAGTATTATCTTCTGTAAATTTGAGTTGGAATTTCAAAGTAAGCCATCTGTTTTAGCAGATAATAGTGGCCCAGGTTCTTATACTCCAAGTGTATTGGAGAATATGGACAGAGAGGACTTGAAGGTTAATGTCGAATTCCCAAGCAATATAACCCTTTTCAACTTCTTTGAGTTTTCTAACTACCCTGTCGTTGTGTACACGTTACATTTTACAAGAACTAAAAAGATCAGATGGGCATATGTTGCAGAGAAGGTGATTGGAATCTTTGGTATCATATTTTTAATGCTCTTAGTCGCAGACAACATGATGTACCCTCTCGTTTTGAGGGCCATTAAGGCTAGAGAGGAGCTACCAGTTCCTGAGAGAATCGTCCAATATTGTTTTATACTTTTGGATATGATGCCACCATTTCTCATGGAGTATTTATTCACATTTTTCTTGATTTGGGATTCCATCTTGAATGCAATTGCAGAGTTGAGCAGATTTGCCGATAGAGATTTCTACGGTCCCTGGTGGTCTTGTACTGATTGGGCAGAGTTTGCAAGAATCTGGAATAGGCCAGTGCATAAATTCCTCTTGAGACACGTATATCACTCCTCGTTAAGTACATTGAATCTCAACAAGGGGCAATCTTCGCTTTTCACATTTATAATATCCAGTGTAGTTCATGAGTTGGTGATGTATGTGATTTTCAGAAGATTACGTGGATACTTATTATTGCTACAAATGTCTCAATTACCCTTAATAATGATAGGAAATACAAAATTCATGAAGGGTAAAAAGGTCTTAGGTAATGTAATTTGCTGGGTTGGATTTATATCTGGTCCGTCGTTAATTTGTACGGCATACTTGATGTTTTAGGAAAGCATCAGAGCAAGAGTAAAAAAGGAGCTATGGTAAAATGGTAAAAGGCGCACGGTTTAAAAATGAAAAAAAATTGAAGAAATACAATATTAATAAAAAATGCTTTAGATATATCGATAAAATGAATCAAATTGACTAAAATGCCTACTACCGTAGTCTTTTGTGTATCACCTATCTCTTCTTGGGTGCAACTCATCTCATCGTGAAACATGATTGGGTTATATGCAGGCTCGATTTGATTTCATTCTTACAATTTTTTTTTTTTGTGGTTTTTTTTTTAATACATCAATAGGATTTACTATACCTCTACTAGACTAAGAAATATCATATCAAGATGTCGAGACCTGAACAGCTTGCCCCTCCTGAAGTGTTCTATAATGACTCAGAGTCGTTTAAGTATACATCTTCCACCCGTGTTCAGCATATTCAAGCCAAGATGACGTTAAGAGCATTAGAGCTATTAAACTTGGAGGTCGACAGCCCTCATTTCATATTAGATCTCGGATGTGGGTCTGGTTTATCAGGTGAAATACTAACAGAAGAAGGGTACAACTGGATCGGTATGGATATCTCACCAAGTATGTTGGCTACAGGTATTGATAGAGATGTCGAGGGAGATTTGTTTCTCAGTGACATGGGGAATGGAGTTCATTTCAGAGCTGGTACATTTGATGCAGCTATTTCCATTTCCGCTGTCCAGTGGCTTTGTAATGCTGACTCTTCCAATGTAGATCCAAAGAAGAGAATGTTGAGATTCTTCAACTCGTTATATGCATCTTTGAAGAGAGGAGGAAAGTTTGTTGCTCAATTTTATCCAATGAATGATATCCAAACTGAAAATCTTTTGAATGCCGCCAAGGTTGCAGGGTTTGGAGGTGGTTTGATCATTGACGACCCTGAATCTAAAAGACACAAGAAGTACTACATGGTTCTTACCGCTGGTCAATCTGAAAGAAACATTAACTTGGCTGGTGCTGAAATGGATGCTCCAGAAACAACAAAGAAGGTAAACAGAAAGCTTTTGAAGAAATTGGAGTCCAAGAAGGAATTTATCGCAAGAAAGAAGGAAACCATGAAGAGAAGAGGTAAGAAAGTTGCCCTTGATTCTAAATTCACTGCCAGGAAGAGACGTCCACGTTTCTAGTGACCTTCATAATTCTCACCCACTGTACAATAGTAAGCGCATTCACATACTTCACATTTCATATATACATTTAATATAAAGTAAATTTAGAAAGAGATGACACTGTAGCATGTAGCTAATAGCTCGTAGTTGAAGTGCTGGAACCTTTCTTAGCATGCTCTCACTATTTTAAAATCCGGCATATAGTGTGAAATTTGTACGCAGAAGATCCGATGAAAAAAATCTTTCAAGATTTACTGTAGTACTTCCCAACCTCCATACTATTGACACCATTAGAAACTACAAAGATGCTAGGATTCGCCAGAGTGGGATTATCCCCTGTTAGAAGTCCTATACTTCAGTCTATTAGGACCTTTATTCCATACAGAAAGGGTATGTTAAATGAAGTAGAGCTCAACTACGAGCTTCATGGTTAAGACCCAAACATATTTTTCTTCCTGAATCTCTTACTAACATTCTAGGTGCTATTCCAACTGTCTATGCTCCACTTCCAGCTAAAAGAAATGGGGAATTACCAATCCCATATTTACACAAGAAGATGTATGAAACTCTTGATCCCTCTGGCCAAAGAAGAGAGCTTATCAACAAGGCCAACCCAGAATGCTTGCGTGCAGGCGATGTCATAAAAGTAACATATGTAGACAGAACCTCAGTTTTAGGTCAGATCATTGCCATCAGAAGAAGTAACACTGACAGTAATATTTTGATAAGAAATAAGATCACTAGGTTGGGATGTGAAGTGAGAATACCAATCTTCAACCCTAGAATAAAAAATATCGAAGTGGTTCAAAGACCTAAAAGATATTTGGCAAGATCCAAGCATTACTATATCAGGAACACCAGACTTGATGTTGGTGATTTAGAAGCAACCCTTAGGAAGAAGTAAACGCATATAAATATGGCAAAGCTTCGTCAGTTCATGTATATATAAAATAGAGCAAAACTAATTATTAGCCTATCTAAATATTTTGTTTATTGTAGTAGTCTATCCATTTATATATATATATTTACCTTTTTTACTCTCTACTAATTCTACATACCAAGTAAATCGTTTAGCCTATCAGTTAATGCGTTACCAAATTTCAATCTAAAACCAGCTGAGATGTCCATCATTAACGCTTCAAACGTTTCATAGTGCTTCAATCCAGTCGCTGTCCATCCACCAAGGTCTACAGTGATATCAAGCTCCCTTTCTTCACTAGTTACGATTCTTAGTATATTCTTTCTTTCGCTTTTCTGTATCACCCTATCGTACAAGTTGCCAGTAGAATTATTAGGTCTAAGTGCATTTTCTCCTACTAGTAGTTCGCATTTAGTGAGAAATTGGCTATATTCATTATAGATGGTTGTTAGCTCATCTATCTGGGTCTGCCAATCCATTCTTCGAGAATTGAGTCACCACTGGAAAGAAAAGTGTTTCGAAGGAGTATTTCAAAATGTACGGAAAAGTCTTTAAGGATTTTTCACTTGAATGGCCCCTTCGGTAGTTCTGTAGAGTGCTCACCGCAGGAGAAGGCACATACCTTAAAACTCACACTTTTCCAGGACATTGGCGTTTTGAAATAAAAATAGAATTTGCATACACCGAGGGGCTAATTAGCAACGAATTGATGAAAAAGTAATTAAATTTCTACAAAAATAATACAAACAAGAGCTACCAAGCTCTAGTTCTTAATTTCTACAAGAACTACACAAATTTTAGAATGAAAAAAATTAGAGTTGAAGAAAATTATAATTTAGTCACAACTGATTCCCAATGTTCCATGTTATTGTCAACATCAGGCGCCCAGAAACGTGCTCCAACTTAATGGTTTCTATACGCTTACTTTCACTGGTTAATCCCCATCAGCGGAAGTAAAGAAAACTTCCACGACTTTTTGTAGAGAGTGAAGATGCGATTGATGTTGAAGAAGAAGAAACAGACATGCTCCAGAATTCTGAGCTCCTCTGAAAATTTTATAGACTACCTGCGAAAGTTGAACGAAAATCAAATCTGGATCTGGCCGGGTAACAACCATGATCTAGCACCATATAGGTAAAAGCAATAGAAGAGCTTCAAGAAGAGATAGCTTTGCCATTTGTCTGTTACTTATTGTCATATCTGGTGCTGTGATGTCTGATGTTTCTCCCCATGTATTCATCGGAGCCTCTATCAAAGTTCTCTTGTGTAATTCTAGAATACTTAGTGGCATACTAACAGTCATTGACCCATTTGGGAACTTGCTACTCTCTGAAGTCATTGAAACATCTCAAGATTTATTAGACAACTCTGAGCACACTAGAGAATTGGGGTTAGTTAGTGTACCGAGACTGTCAGTTAAGAAAATAGTAGTCAATAAGAAAACTTATAGACAATTAGGGTTGGAAAAGTTGACTACTGGAGGTGCTAACGCTGGTGCGAATGATGTATTGATTCAGTAAGTATTATTGGAGAGAAGGCCCCTAAATAATCTTTTATTAAAGTTGAACGAGGATGCTTGCCTCTCTTGGTTACTGTATAGGTCGTCTAATCTTCTTCCAGGCGGCAATGGCTGGGATTGACGGGATCTTCTTCCATCCTGTTGCTGCTCGTTAATCAATTGTGGTAACTTATGTGAAGAAGATCCGAAAGTACCCAAACTGGAGCTGTTTTTGGTGCCCCTCACTTCGGTGCTATTGTATTTGGTATCGGGCACCACGTTCTTCTTTCCATCCAGTGTTGCATCCTTGGCAGATTCAAGTTTTAATTTTTCACTTTCTGTAGATGGAGTATTGCTGACGTTCTCCGCTACTTCTGACCCACTCTTGTCGGCATTCGGTGGAAGGTGTGAAGGTGGAGCTGGATTCGACTGCCGTTCTAAACAAACTCCCAAGAAATGATCTCTTGCTAGCTCGAATGTCCCGTATGGACAAATGTCAACTAGGCATCCAATTAATGAATCTTTTTTGGCGCAAATACATTGGTAATCACTATGAACATATGGGCAACTGTGTGCAAGCTCATTGATGCAACTAAGTAGGCATGCTGGAGGAGTTGCAAGTGTAAGCATGCTGAAGCATGAGCTGATAACAATAAACCTAATTAATTTCATAATATTATTTTTACGTCTGTATGTAATTTGATATAATATATATACGTTTGTATGTAGTGGTGATATAGTATAATAAAGTGTGAAGATATAGTGTTATTGGAAAGAGTATGTTTAATACTATTGTGGTTCGTTTCGCAGCCAATAATCAGTTGCAGTTTGTACCAAAGAGACAAAAAGTATATTCTTCTTCTTGAGTTGACCTAACCACAAACAAGGAAATTTTCAAGTCGCTTGAGCTTGCTTTGAGTTAAACTTAGTTAGCTACATTTAGCTCAAATTTTTAGTATTAGTGAACCCTTTGACTGTCAATTTGTTCATTTCATTGGCTCTCGCCAATAGTTCTACTTTAAAGTATATAACATTTTGAGTAACTTTTGACATTTGCAGAGAAAATTGATTAGAAAATTGAGTCTTTTTTTATCTTACGAAAATTATTTCTGGAACCAATAAATGGTATACGATTCTCTCATATCCAATAATCATCCTATCCGTATCACCAAGAGAATACGTCGCTTGTTTTACCTAGCTAGACATCATCATGTAGATAAGGTACATCATTTTGAAAAGTTACACAAAATCTTTTTCTGCCATCAGAGACTCTGTTCGAGATGTACTCTAAATTGCATGAAAACTGAGTTAATCTTGCAATGATAAGCTGTAGTGACCAATGCCGTCATATCTCTGCCTTAATATTACGTCCGATCTCATTGACGTATTATCGACTCTTCTCTAGGTTACTTTAACAGCACTTCAAGTCGATTTACCTATATCATGAACTCCTGCATATGCACTCCAGAAAAGTGCAGGGAGATCCAAAAGTACCGAAAAATACCTTGCCAAAAAATAAAAAAAATGTTCAAGAACTGACACACACAGCAAGAAAGGACCGGATAGAGTTCTTTTGAAGATATCTGTCGAAACCCTTCGAAGCAAGAATCTTACATATCCTACATTTATTTCTTCAGGAAATCTACTGGAGAAAATCAAAAACGTGGAAGTATTTGTATTTTTAAAGAGCTCAAACTGATAAAGGTGAAGAATCGCCAAACTCTGCCGAAGTAAAAAGTAACACATTTTCTCTACAAAAAGGATCCCACACCCCTCCATCCTCAAAAAGCAAAATAAAGCATATATCTAGAAGCTGGTAGTGCATTCACTAAGAGATAGTAATAAAAAATGCAAGGTAGTTACAAAAATAAAGGTTTACCAAGACCTTACTATATGAAGGCTGCAAACACTAAGAAGAATTCACCTTACAACAAAGGGCCCATAGTCTTCTTCAGTACACCCAAAAGGAAGATCTTGGGTTATTTAGTTTTAATTCTTCTTTTTGGCACCTGTATGTGGTTGGTAGGTCAAGACATAAGACCTCGAGGAGATCCTGTCTACGAGGTGGAACCATTTCAAAACATTGTGAACGATGCGGATAAAATCGTTGGATCAACGAAAAATGCAGATAAAGAAGCAGAAAACCCTGAGTTGGCTGGGAATATGGCACATGGCTCCAAGGGAGATATTGGTGTAGGCGTAGCTGAAGCACCAAAGGGTGGCATGGCTAACGAGGCTCCAATTGTAGGTAACGACAAAGATGAGATAGTAGATGGAGCAAAGAAAAAGAAAAAGATTCCCCCAGCTATAAAAGCTGATATAAGGGATCTCGATAATTAAAAGAGGAGAGTTTGATAAGCCGACAGGAAGTGCAAAAAGGTTGGTACATAGAACTAGTAGTCAAAACAAAGTCAACATATAATATTTATGACGTAATGACATCTAATAAAAGTAATTCATAGGAGAATCGATGTTTTGTAGTTCAGCGTAAGAATAAGTCACAAAAGGAGGCAATACAGAAGGGCCCTGGGGAAGTTAGTACATAGTTGGCTAGTATTTGTAGAACTCTAGGCTACGCTTGCTGAACACTGTCGGCATATAAGACATAGGCGAACAGATAGAAAGTTACATGCAGGAAAAGTCAATCTCTACAGCAAAAGTGCAAAAACTAAACTAAAATAAAATAAAAAAAAAAAAAAGAATCAGAAAAAGAAAGAATTTTTGGTTTCTTTTAGATAGCCAATTGATTTGCTAATCAAACCACGTTACATTACTTTAATTAGAGCAAGACAGCATTGAGCAACAGTCATGTATTTCTCATCAATTGTTTCCAAAAACTCGCCAAACTAGGATCAATGGAATCAGGGGATCGACCCAAACCACAGAATATTCGAAAATACTAATTTTTCTTTCCTCTTCGTCTGTTACTCACGCCCTTCCATCACCTGTTCATCTCTTCCCATCTGATTTTCACTTCGCTAACTTTCATTTGTTGTACTTCTCATTTTAACCAAATTCAATCAAGCCAAAAAGAAAAAAAAAAAAATAATAAAAAAAAAAGAAAGTTCCTGCTATCAAAACACATGAGCTGGTCTAGAAATTACCCACAACCGTTTTCTCACTCAACCAAAGCAACCTTATTTCAGTACCAAAATTACTCCAAACCCACGCAACATGCAGGTCTGCGCTGAGCTAAGATGAAGATGTAAAAAAAAATTTTCTCTTTGTATATATTCAAAGCTCTCGCTCATGTAAAAATTTTTTTGCCCTTATAGATTTTTTTTTTTTCGATTCTTTGTATTTGCTTGTTAACAAGAACTATCATCATGTCCGCTGAAGCCAAGTACTCTACTGAAGTTCTCTCTCAGTTGTTGAGCAAGTTACAAGTTGCTGACGACAAGGAAGAAGCTGCTGCTAATGTTGCTTCATTCTTGAACTCTTCAATTGTTGAACACGATGTTCCAGTTGAATTTTTCACTGACTTGAAGGCCCAAATCAAGGGTAAGTCAGCTGAAAATGCCATTGCTGCTTTGACTGCCTTAAACCACATCACCACTGATATCATTCCATCTGTTGAACCATATGTTGTTGACTTAGTTCAAGATGTCTCTACCAAGGCTGGTGACAAGAACAAGGATATCCAAGCCGCTGCTTCAGTTGCTTTATTATCTATTGCTAAGTCTATCACCCCAACCGCCATCAAGGTTATCTTGCCAAAGCTTACCGAGAACTTGTCTTCCACAAACAAATGGACTGAAAAGGTTGCTATCTTAGCCGCTATTTCCCAATTGGTTGACACTGCTAAGGGTCCAATTGCCTTGAGAATGCCTGAATTGATCCCAGTTCTTTCCGAAGCTATGTGGGATACCAAGAAGGAAGTTAAGGAAGCTGCCACCAAGACTATGACCAAGTCTACTGAAACCATCGATAACAAGGATATTGAAAAGTTTATTCCAAAGTTGATTGCTTGTATTGCCAAGCCAACTGAAGTTCCAGAAACCGTTCACTTGTTAGGTGCTACTACCTTCGTCTCTGAAGTTACCATGGCTACCTTATCTATCATGGCCCCATTACTTTCTAGAGGTTTAGCTGAACGTGAAACTGCTATCAAGCGTAAGGCTGCCGTCATTGTTGATAACATGTGTAAGTTGGTCGACGACCCTCAAGTTGTTGCTCCATTCATGGACAAGTTGTTACCAGCTTTAAAGGCTAACTTTGCCGTCATTGCTGACCCAGAAGCTAGAGAAGTTACCCAAAGAGCTCTTAACACCTTAAAGAGAGTTGGTGCCGTTGGTGATGACGATGTTATCCCAGAAGTCTCTACTGCTGGTGATATCCCAGTCACCCGTGGTGTCTTTGATGAATTAACCAAGGACCAAAAGATCGGTGCTAGATTCGACGTTGCCGTCAACTACATTGCTGGTATTGCCGGTGACTTGATTGATGAACGTGACATCCACCCAGACTCTTGGACCAAGAACTTGTTACCTTTCTCTACTATTTTCTTACACGAAAAGGAAGCCAAGGAAATCATTGAAGAATACAGAAAGAGAGCCATTGACAACATCCCAGAACCACCAAGTTTCGAAGATGAAGAAGATGAAGGTGAAGATTTATGTAACTGTGAGTTCTCATTAGCTTACGGTGCTAAGATCTTATTGAACAAGACTCAATTCAGATTAAAGAGAAACAGAAGATATGGTCTCTGTGGTCCTAACGGTGCCGGTAAGTCTACCTTGATGAGAGCTATTGCTAACGGTCAAGTTGAAGGTTTCCCAACCCAAGATGAATGTAAGACTGTTTACGTTGAACACGATATCGATGGTACCCATGAAGACACCACCGTCACTGATTTCGTCATCCAAGATGGTGAAGTTGGTTTAACCAAGGACGTTGTCGTTGACAAGTTGAGAGAATTCAACTTTTCCGAAGAAATGATCAACATGCCAATTCAATCCTTATCTGGTGGTTGGAAGATGAAGTTAGCTTTAGCTAGAGCCGTCTTAAAGAACGCTGATATCTTATTGTTAGATGAACCAACTAACCATTTGGATACTGTCAACGTTGCTTGGTTAGTCAACTACTTGCAAACCTGTGGTATTACCTCTATTATCGTTTCTCATGATTCCGGTTTCTTGGACAATGTTACCCAATACATTATCCATTACGAAGGTTTCAAGTTAAGAAAGTACAAGGGTAACTTATCTGAATTCGTCAAGAAGTGTCCATCTGCTCAATCTTACTACGAATTAGGAGCCTCTGACTTGGAATTCTCTTTCCCAGAACCAGGTTTCTTAGAAGGTGTTAAGACCAAGCAAAAGGCTATCGTTAAGGTTAACAACATGACTTTCCAATACCCAGGTACTACCAAGCCTCAAATTAGAGACATTAACTTCCAGTGTTCTTTATCTTCTAGAATTGCTGTTATCGGTCCAAATGGTGCTGGTAAGTCTACTTTGATTAATGTCTTGACCGGTGAATTATTGCCAACTGAAGGTGATGTTTACGTGCACGAAAATTGTAGAATTGCTTACATTAAGCAACATGCTTTCGCCCATATCGATAACCACTTAGACAAGACTCCATCTGAATATATCCAATGGAGATTCCACACTGGTGAAGATAGAGAAACTATGGACAGAGCTTCTAGACAAATCAACGAAAGTGATGAAAACGCCATGAACAAGATCTTCAAGGTTGAAGGTACCCCAAGAAGAGTCCAAGGTATTCACGCTAGAAGAAAGTTCAAGAACTCTTACGAATACGAATGTTCTTGGATGTTAGGTGAAAACATTGGTATGAAGAACGAAAGATGGGTTCCTATGATGTCCGTTGATAACACTTGGTTACCAAGAGGTGAATTAATGGAAACTCACTCTAAGTTAGTCGCTGAAGTTGATATGAAGGAAGCCTTAGCTTCCGGTCAATTCAGACCATTAACCAGAAAGGAAATCGAAGAACATTGTGCTATGTTGGGTCTTGAAGCCGAATTAGTTTCCCACTCCAGAATTAGAGGTTTATCCGGTGGTCAAAAGGTTAAGTTAGTCTTAGCTGCTTGTACCTGGCAAAGACCTCACTTGATCGTCTTGGATGAACCTACTAACTATTTAGATAGAGATTCTTTAGGTGCTTTATCCAAGGCTATCAAGGCTTTCGAAGGTGGTGTTGTTATCATTACTCACTCTGCTGAATTCACCAAGGATTTGACTGAAGAAGTCTGGGCTGTCTTAGACGGTAGAATGACTCCATCTGGTCACAATTGGGTCCAAGGTCAAGGTGCTGGTCCAAGATTGGAAAAGAAGGAAGATGAAGAAGACAGATTCGATGCTATGGGTAACAAGCTTGCTGCTGCTAAGAAGAAGGTTAAGTTATCTTCTGCGGAATTAAGAAAGAAGAAGAAGGAAAGAATGAAGAAGAAGAAGGAATTAGGTGACGCATACGTTTCATCTGATGAAGAATTCTAAGCTAGCTTGGAATATATTTAACTCATATATATACTGATACATATGTATAATTTGTGTTCTAATTTGCTTCCAATATTCAATTTCATAGATATATTTAACTTTTGAATAAAATATTATATAAAAAAATAATAAGCTCCGATGTAGATTCTTTTTATAGACTAGCCAATAGATGCTTAAGCAAATCCTGTATACAAACTTTTCATCTGTAGATATGGCTGCAAAAAAGTGTCACTTTGTAAAAATGCGAGTGGAAGAATGGCTCTTCTTGAGCAGTTCAACCTTAAAGTATGAGATTACCTTCTCTATTCATAGTAATGATACTACATTTACTAATATATAATGCTTCAGCAGTGAAATTTGCAACCTACTGGAATGCACTGATGAAGACCTTTTTGGAAGCAGGTTCAATTGGATCCAAAATGATACTAAATAGTTCATCTCTAGTCATTACAAGAGAGAAAGATACATGGTTAACTTCCTATAGCCCATATCGAGTGCCTTGCCCCAGTACACCATTGGTTAGGACAGCTGGAAATGTAAGTAGAACCGCTTTATCTATTTTTTCTTTCTTTCAGTTTAGCAATTTGAACTGTTATAAAAGAGACTAACCTTTTGAAGAAAGTGAGTACGAAAGAGGCAGCTTACATGGCTCAAAGAAAAATAGTATCTAGGAGGTATCTAATCGAATACTTAAGTAGGAATTCCATACCGGGATTTAATCATTCAGAGCTCGTGAAGAATGCCACTGATATCTCCATTGCGATAGCATTTTCAGGTGGCGGATATAGATCTATGCTAACAGGTGCTGGAGTTTTGACTGCCTTTGATTTGCGAACCCCAGGGTCCATGCTTCCAAATCACTTGGGAGGTATACTTCAAGCTAGTAATTACATAACTGGAATCTCTGGTGGTTCATGGTTAGTTATGAGCAACATGGCCAATGACTTCAAGCCTAATTACATTTCATTGCAAGAAGGTCAGTGGAATATTAATGAGAAGCTCTTGGAAGGAATTCCAAACTTTGACTTAAAAAACTTAGAAAGCGACATGGCGCCAACAGCATCATTTACACATTCGTCAAGCGCTTCGCAAGAGACTTCAGCAATGAAGGCGAAAGAGTCGGCCTCAATTGCTGGTAGAATCAAGAGGCGGGGATTTTTGAAAAATTTAATGAAGGTTTTCAACTTCTCACCAAAAGATGGAATAATTGTTTCTTCCACTGACCCATTAGAGAAGGTTCTTAAGCCTATCGTTCAAAAAGAAAGACGTAATGTGTCTCATAGTGAAGTTTCTTCTTCATTGATTTCATGGAAGAAAGTAATAAGCTATTACAAAGACATCCACGTTGAAGTAAGAGCCAAAAAGAAATCTGGATTTCCCATATCACTCACAGATTATTGGGGTAGAGCTCTATCTCGTAGAATATTTCCTAGGGCGGTTCGCTCACCAGGAGTCACTTTATCTTCTGTCACTAAACTCGAATCCTTTAGAAGATTTTTGCAACCCTTTCCAATTATCTGTACAATAGAAGCGGTTCCAGAATATCTGTTCAACAGTGAAACGTCACACACTTTTGAGATAAACCCTTTCGAATTCGGATCATGGGATCAGTACTTAAATTCGTTTGTTGATATCAAATATCTTGGTACCAAATTACTAAATGGAGCTCCAACCTCCTTGGACGTGTGCATGTCGGGGCTAGATAACTTAGGTTTTTTGACAGGGGCATCATCTTCTTTATTCAATTACATTTTTGTTTACCTATACCAAAATCTATTAGAAACAAAACAAAATACAAAATCTACCCTTCAAAATATTTTGCAGACCTTTGGACTAAGACCAAATCCTAAATCATGGCAGCATCCACAAAACCACCCAGACTACGCTCTTATCTCACCGAACCCCTTCTTACGGGAGAAACTCAGAGGTACACAGGAGATATCAAAAAGGGATTTTATATACCTTACAGATGGAGGAGGAGATGGGCAAAATATCCCTTTCCATCCTCTCTTGCAATATTCTAGAAAAGTAGACATAATTTTTGCTTTTGATATGAGTGGAGATATATTAAATTTCCCAAATGGTACAAGCCTAGTCAGAACTAGCCAGAGGTACAGGAGTATTTGGAACAAAACGCCGTATTTTGATACTATGAAGTATAGTAAATCAAATGCAACGAGAGGAAGATACAGGGGTGTATTTCCCAAAGTGCCAAGTTGCGAAGAATTTAATAGTAGAGGATACACTAAAGTGCCAGTTTTTTTTGGCTGTGACTTAGTGAAAGACTATCCCACTGCGGGAAGTTTTCATACAATGAACCACTTAGACTTTCCCCCAGACTACACTCCACCATTGATAATTTATTTTGCAAATACAAATCATTCTTTTGCATCGAATACTTCTACTTTCCAAATGTCGTACCAAGATGACGAAATTAGGGGGATGATGCAAAATGGATATGACATTGCAACATACATAAATGGAACAATTGATGACAAGTTTTCTGCATGTCTTAGTTGTGCCATATTGAAAAGAGAATTTGGGAGACAGAATATTGTACCACCTCGCTTCTGTACAGAATGCTTTGAGAAGTATTGTTACCAAGGTTGATACAAGCAACTACCAACAACCTGTGGCAAGGTAAAATATTGGATACGAACTACCGCAGAGATTATGAGACCTGGTAGTCCTTGAACAAGATCTAATCATCTCAGACGCAATGCAACCTGCATGAATGCTCAGGTCAACGGCTTTTCAGTTCGTTTCTTTTTTTTTTTTTTTTTCGTTTTTTATACTTTGATGAAGAGTACGGGGAAACATTTCTGCTGTGAATTTTAGAAGAGCATCTGCCCTATTTGAGGTAACTTTCCTTTCAACATTTGAATAGTGAGTCAGTTCGCCTTTAAAACTGTCTCATTTTTTTATCTGATTCCATCCGATGGAACATATACTGTGCAGCATTTATAAAAATTGAAAATGAGCACAGAGGAAACGTTTGACACTGATACAGCAGTGAATACATTGTTTATGCTCTACTGTACGTCATTGATGGCGGTTGCAATCTTAGGGGTAGCATTTTTCTATTCTGGGTTGACTCAAAGAAGATCATCACTTACAATGCTTGGGTTGCCTCTTTTGCTTACGGCTTTTGTGTTCGTAGATTGGTTTATATGGGGCTATTCATTATGCTATGCCACTGCTAGCAATAAGTTTATAGGCTCGTTGAATTTTGCAGTATTAAGGCACTTGGGAAGCGAAGACAATTTTATTTATTCTACTCCAAGAGGAGACATCTTGTCTTTCAATCATTTTCTATTCAATGGAATTATGAAAGCGATATGTGTAACGCTAACTTTGCCAGGCTGTATTGCTGAAAGGGGGAGAATCATTCCAATGCTTGTGTTCTTATTCTTTTGGTCTTGTATCATATATAATCCAGTCACTTATTGGTTTTGGAATAAGAATGGCTTTTTGTCAGCTCAGTTGATGAAATTGCCAGTCCTTGATTTCGCAGGAGGGTCTCCTATTCATATAGTTAGTGGATTTACTACCTTGGCATATTCATATATATTGGGGCCAAGGAATCCTAAATTGCTCTACAACTATCGGAATTCTAATACTGGTTGGATTATAGTTGGAGCCTTTCTTACATTGTGTGGTTGGGTTGGATTTATTGCTGGTTGTGATTATAGATTTCTGGCTCAATCTGGCTACATCGTAATTAACACCATCTTGTGTGGGGCTGTTAGTGGAATAGTATGGACCAGTATCGATTATTATTGGTCATCAATACCGTTTGATGATGAAGTGTTAGAATCTAGTACTGGCTCAGATACGGAAAAGATCAACATCATAAACTCAACAAATACTGGTGTTGCGCCTGATGAGTTTGGGAGGCACTTGACACCAAAGATATCTCAAACAGGTGTTGCAATTAATCAGCATGCGCACTCGAAAAGTCCAAACCCTAGGCGCAAGATTTCATTAATCTCGTTCTGCTCTGGGATAATGACAGGTTTAGTAGTTATAACACCAGGAGGAGGTTACGTTTCGTCATCTGTTGAATTTTGGAAAGCAATAGTCTTTGGTGTAGTTGGAGCGATCATTGCAAACGTATCGACTAGATTGAAGTATTTTTTCAAAATAGATGATGCTTTGGACATATTTGCAATTCATGGAGTTGCTGGTATAGCAGGATCAATTTTGACCGGAATCTTTTCTGCTTCTAGATATGATTCAGAAGGAGGATGGGTTGAAGGTAATTGGAAACAAATCGGATATCAAATACTTGGTTGTGTGATCACGTCGATATATGTATTTGTTTTTAGCTGTGTTCTACTTTACATTATTGACTACATTCCTCATTTACATTTGAGAATAGATAAAGGTTTTAACAAGCGCATGCGGAAACATTTGGAGAACAGCACAAAGTCCACGAAGGACGTTGAACAGCAGGAACACCAGGGGGAGCATGAAGATGTAGAGAGTGAAGGTGAGACTTTAGAATTGTTGGGGACTGATAATTATGAATTCAACGGAGAATTCTCAATGGATTTCATGGAATTTATCAAAATTCTTAGGCCAGATGATTACGATGATCAAGACGTAATAGAAGGAAATGAGAACTACCATCCCAATGGAAATCTGACAGATAATATATTCGGTGACTCATCTGATTTTAAATTACATTCTGATCACCAAGGGATAATAAATAGAAGAGGATAACTGGGGTGATTTTAACGACTAATGATTCATATTTATAAGTTACGACTCTGTATATTTATTTCATAATTTATTCTTTTTTTTATTATACTAGTTTACATAATAATGTTCTATAACGAAGTAATACAATCGATAAATAATTATAATAAATTAATAATATAGCATGTCAGAGGGTAAGAGAATCAATTGATGAGTCTCATTGTAACTTCAAAAGCAGCAAATGTTGCACCGTTAGCAGGCGCAGCCCTTAAAATGGTTGGGACAAAACCTCTATAGAATCCCTTTATTCCTTGCTTAGCAAAAACATCTCTTAACACATCCACAGTCCCACGATACTTAGGTGACGTTAAAGAGTCCGTTTGCAATTTGGATTTGATAACATCAACAGGGTAGATACCTATCCAAAGCGTGTAACCAGATAACCCACCGAATAAACATAATTTCCAAGCTGGGATATCACTTCTAGTCAAAGAAGAGAATTGCTTCAATTCTCTATTGATCAATGCTTCATATGTGGCGAAGTATATACCTAAACCAACCGATTCTCTAACTAAAGTTGGAGCTAAACCTTTGTAAATTCCCTGAGCGATTCCATTTGATTGGTAGATTTTCTTGAAGCAATCTACTGGACCATTGAAAGCCTTGGTTGATCCGGTTTGAGTTTGTAAACGAATACGGATATGTTCGATAGGAGCAGCAAGAAATCCGTTAGCAAAACCAGCAGTAGCACCACAGTTGAAAAATTGCCCCAATGACAAAGTCTTCCCACCAAGCTTCTCATCGTAGTAACGTTTCATATATTCATTTACTGAAAATTGTACAGAAACACAGGCTCCAACACCCACTAAGGGAGTGAGAGTTCCCTTGTAGAACCCCTTTGGGCCTTCGTTGGCCATAAGCTTCTTGATGACATCTAAGGCTCCTGAGTAAGTCCCTTCTGGAGCTGACTGAACACGAACTTTAACGGTATCGAACGGCTGACCAACTATGACCTGAGCGATTCCACCAATAGTTCCACCGATTAAATCTTTATAGACTTGACTATTGTCAACCAAAGGAGGTTCCTCTAATTCAACCGTCATTATTGAAGACACTGGGACAAGATAAGGTTGCTGGGTGATGCAATAATCGATTCAAGACTTTTTAAGAAAAAAAAACGAAAAAAACTCCAAGAAAAAAAAAAAAATTATCAAGCAAAGATAAGCGACTAGAGAGTTGATATAAGATAATAGGTATAAGCAAGACACTCTTATATGAATTCTTGGTGCACCTCAAAGTATATAAAGTAGTATGCTAGGATTAGAAAATTACAGTACAATTGAAATATGAGTGTAGTTCTTGCTATTGACTCTCTAATACGTTCTATTCACTCAGCTATCGGAAATTACTTCTTTTCCTCATTCTCTCTATTTGCGACAATCAAGCCATCGAATGGATTCATGCCATTTTTAGCGTAATATTGACCAGTGGTCTGAGGGGCGGTCATAGAACCCAAATGAGTTCCGCCAACTAGACCAGGACTAAGCATGGGCATACCATCTGCTGAGAATGCTGGTTTAATTGCTTGAGCAGCCGGTCCCAACGTCGCAGCCAAGGGAGTTCTTCCAGAGGGTAGAGCAATAGCCTGTTGCTGATGTTGAGCTAAATTACTCAGAGATTGGGTTCTAGTCGGCAACTGTTGTGGAGGAAATGCTGATAATGGCGTGAAGATGTTCGAGACACTGGGGATCGAATTCAACAAAGGTGGGGCTCCAATTGCCGCTGGAGTGCTTGTCAGTTGAGAATTGCTAAATTCTGAAGACATTGATTTATATGATGAAACCTCTATTAAAATCGTTACATCCTTAGTAGCCTTTGTCAATGTAGCCATCGACGCTCTAATTTCGTTCAATATTGGTAAATCTTTCATGACAGCCTTAACTGAAGAGAATGTTTGAATAATTGATTTGAGAAACAAATTAACATCATCCCAGAACATGCTCTTGGAAGTAGATGATGGATTGTTTCTAATAGTCAACAACTTCGTTTTCAAACTTTTCGATACCTCAATCGATGTAATGCAAACGCTTGTCAACTCTTTGACTTTAGAAGCTACTGATGGACCAATCAGCAGCAGGTTAGTACTAGCAATCGCACTCTTGCTAATTGCCTTCGTAAGTTCCTCAAATACAACTTGAGCGCTCGTAGTGGCAATGTCAATTGCATTATACAACTTTTCGTCAACTTCTGACGTATCAGTTGCACTCGAATCTGCTTCATTGCCACTGTTACCATTAGTATTTGTGCTATGAGTGTTGGAATTACTGCCAGAATTGTTACCGTTATTGTTGCCATTTGAGTTACCATTGCTTGAATTAACACCCGTGGAGTTAGCAATGGTACCATTGTTACCATTGTTAGTAGAATTTGAGTGGGAAACTGAGCCTGCCAAATTGCTGGATGCCGACGCTGGAACCGCTGAGCCATTGGCAGCTACAGCACCACCATGCTTGGACATAACACTTCCATTACTGGCCAAAGTGCTGCTCGAGCCATTACTGATATTGCTGAGCACTGTGTTGATTGACAAAGAATGTGGCTTATGCGAGCTATAAGAATGTTTCGGGTCTAATGTTACATGACTCGAGTTGCTTCCACTATCTAGCTTTGAAGATGAAGCAGACAAGCCTGATACAGATATAGGATTTATGCCAGTAAAATTTGGCATTGGATTTGCAGTCAACACTCTATAAGCATTCAACAACTCATTAAAGGATCCATAAACAGTTAAATAAAGCATTCTTATGAAACAAATGTCAATTTTCATTACAAATATTGCAAAGTTTTCTGTCAACAAAATCATGATCTGCTTGAATGATGAAATTGAAAGTTGTAATGACAACACTATTTGGTCCACATTTCCACCTTTATCTTCCATCAATTCTAGATTTTCAACAAGAGAATCTATGTTTGATTTTGTAGTGTACAATAATGTAACCATTTTTATAGTAATCTTTTTGTCAACGCAAAATCCAGTGAATCTACGAATTGACGAATGTAACTCACTAAATGAAAATAAAACTTTTCTAGACACTTTAATTAAAGTAGATGTAGAATGATGATTTTTACGACTTGGATGTAGTTGTTGTTGTTGCTGTTGTAGCTGATGCTGTTGTAAAAGCTGTTGCTGCAGTTGTTGACTAAGTATTTGCTGTTGCTGTTGATATTGTAATTGTTGCTGCAGTTGTTGATTCTGATAATACAGTTGGTGCTGATGCAGCATTTGCTGTTGAACATGATGCTGGGATTTAGTTGGAGAGGAATCATTTGTGGTAACAGGAGAATTAGTCGACACACTGAAAGAAGAAGAATTTGCAGGAGATTTAGTAGATGAAATGCTTGTTGATCTAGGTTGAGGTTGCACATATGTCAGCAGGTTCAGTTGAGTAGCTTGCGGCTTCGGCTGAAGAAATTCTTCATTGTTTTTCGAGTTATTCGTAGCACTCTCTTGTCTTAAAGATAAAGTGCTCGAATTTGCACTTGATGAAAGTTCACTAACTGGTAATTCTTGTAAAGTCGATAATCTCCTGAAATAAGCACCAGATTTATGTTCAGTATCAACAATATCATTTTTTTCAAGGATTTTGTCGATTTCCTTGAGGGTATTCGATCTGACTCTATTTCTACTCAGCGGTCTCGCTAAATTTGAACCGCTTGGAGTCACTGGAGATGATGAAGTTAGCAGTGGATTCTGATTGGGAGGTGGGGTAGTGGTTGTACTTGATTCAAATTTGCCTTCGGGTGCAGTACTTGAAAACGATGGTGGTCCTCCGGTAGAAGCATTTGAAAGTGCTGTATTAGAAGCAGTGGGTGTAGAAGTTGAAGCAGTGTTCTGCGAACTTTCGTTCACCGGAGTTCCTGAGCCATTACCATTACCATTTATATTTAATATGTCCACTGAGTTGAATAAGCCTGTGTTGATATTGTGGTCTTTTAATCTTGTTTCGGTTTGATGGTCACTTGGAGTATTGGCAGAATCTTCTGGCTTCTTAATTATCAAACCCATTCTTCTCGCAGCCTTGGAAGCCTTACTTCTAGTATCTGTAATACTATTGGATCTACCTAAGGAAGGAGGAGCATGTGATGAGGTAGGCACTGGAGGTAATTGCAGGTTCTTCTTTATACTTAATAAGTGAGCATCTGCACTTTTATTATATGTATGCTGTTGATATGCTTCGACCAGCTCGCTGATTTTTTTTTCCAAAAGAGCTGCATTCGATAGAAGATAAGACTTCAATTCATGTACCCACTCGAGTTCAGGGTACTGTTTCTGCAATGCCTTAACTGTATCCAACAGCGGCCTGATTAGTGGGTTATCCAAGACTTCTATCAAATTCAAGTTTTTCATTGAACCAAGTACTGGCGGTAAGTACTTGAATCTATTTTCTTTCAACGACAAGACCCTTAACGAATCCATCTTTTGAAGTCCCTGTTGTGGCAAAATCCATAAAGAATTGGACGATAAATCTAAAATTTCCAAGTTTTGAAACTCACAAACCAAAGGCGGGAACTGAGTGAATTGGTTATTATGAAGGTCTAAGTACCTGATGCTGTTGTATATGAGGGGGAAGTTAGAAGGCAACGATGTCAATGAGTTGCTCTGTAATGATAGTCGTTCCAACTCTAACGGAGGTTGAAACGTTATCAAAAATTCGTGAACACATTCTATTACATCTGAAAGTAATGGTGGACTAGACGAGGCAGGGAATGATCCAATGTAGTTATTAAGTTTTAAGGACTTTTTGGATTTAATCTGTTCGATTTGGTCATTAATCAACTTGGAAATGACAGACTTGACGGCCTGATAGTTATCAGACATTATGTGGTGGAGCAAGTTGTGACTGCAATTTACCTACAAGGTCAAATCAACAAAGCCTTGTGTTACCAAAATTTATGACGGGAAAAAAATAGTCAGTGGTGTAACGTTCGAAAGAAAAAAACACCTAGAGTGAAAGTGACTACTATATATATATAAATATATATATATATCAATAAATATACAAGTCGCAGAGTACACAGGTGATATCTACCCTTGCAAAGTGTACGGAGAAACAGTACTCTTGTAGCGGTGAACAATCTAAAATTTTTTAGTGTTGATCTCCTTTTCTCCAGATTCTTTATCCTTGTAAAGCGATCTCAATTTTGTATCCTGTGGATCCAGTGGTACGAAAATTACTGACCAAAGCGCGAGGTGTGCCACGAATTACGCCACAAAGTTAGGCACCACAGCGAAGGCATCACCGCTAGAACTTGGTACTACCTTATATCTTTCACAGAAATGGAATAATGGTACGATTGTATATAGAAATATATATGTAATTATGGACTAAGTCTTCAATCCCTTACTTACAGCTTCTGTTCTCTCTTGCCAAACTGTCTTCCCTGTACAACTACAAACCTGCTTGTCATTTTCCCAAGCTCCTGCACTTCTGGCAATAACCCCACACAATGAATCTGGCGTAACAATTCCATCCAATCTGGACAATATTACGCTTCTACCTATTAAGTCATTGATGGATAAGTCTGCCTTCAAGTAACTTTGTCCTGAGCATAATCCTTCCAGCACGACTTGACTTGCACCAAGTGAATTTATTACGGTGTCATTTGACGATGCCTGGCTGATCTCAATTGGGTCCAACTGGTAAAATAAGTCTCCAGTAGACAATGCTCCTTGCAGCAAATTTCCTGAAGCTCTAATAGATGGGAAGTAAGTACCTTTTGGCAATCCATTGACTGTAAGATCAATGAATAACGAATTTGGTGAAACACCCACAATTCTTGCCAAACCTTTGACAGGCTGGGTATAATCTTTTGGATCGAAGGATTCTAAGATACAAACAGCAGCGGAATTGGGTTGGCCAGTTCCACGAATTATTGCGTCCCTGCCTGTACTCTGAATGGCTTTGACAATCTCTGATGGAGGCGCTGTACCCTTTGTGGTGACGATGTTATTTTTCAAGTTGATGTCATACGACGAAACATTCTCCACCAGTGTTAACGTTTTTGAAACAGAGTTGACACATGATTCACATTCCATCGGAACAGCAAAAACTAACTCGAACGACATGATGAATGTATCAGATATTTAAGGAACAAGCTCGCGAACTAGAAAAGAATGAGAACCTGTAGATGTATAAGCACAGATGCTTAAAGAAAAGATGTTAGCTCAGTTGGTGATTTATGTCTATTACTAATGGCCAGATTCTCCGATACCGCGCCGCACCTGTGCATGAAAAGAATATACGAGTACTTGCCATAAGAAGACTTAGAGGGACTGACCAGTGATCAATGGCACTTCTAACAATATCTATTACACTTCATACAATAATAATATATCATTCTATTTCAATTTACACATCTTCTAATCTTCTTAACAAATAATCTACTTCCACCTTCTTTGTCAATGGGATAATATAGTCCTTGTATAACTTTGCAATTATTTCAGGTTCAACCTTGGATTGTGGGTTTTGGGAGTACTTCATTGATGGGTCAACACCGTAACTCTTCCCCTTTTCTATTAATCTTACCAAAATAGTTTCCTCCACAGCAGCATTGGTAATCGAAGCTTCGATTTTAGGAATATCTTTGTCAATAATCAACTTATTGTACAACTCTTTGTCAGCTTGATACTTGGCTTCTGCTACGAATTTACCAAAATGGATTCTTCTGGAAATAGCCTGCAAGCAATCAATATCACAGACTTGTACGGAACCCAAATTTTCTAATTGATCTCCAGCTTTACATGAAACTTGAGGAACAATCTCCTTGACGTAAAATTCTAAAATTTCCTGGTTAACATTAATTTCGTCAGTGTATGACGCCAACACCTTGGGATAGTGGACTGGTGGTAACAACGAAGGTAACAATACAGATGGGAAAAAGGGTAATTCGTCCGGCGCCTCGTATCTTCTTATCTGAGAGTGTGTTTTCTCCATCTGCTGTAAACCCCAATCTAAGAAAGACCCGTCGAATTCAGGAATGTGGAATTTGTTTGGCTCATAAACCGAAGGTGATGAGAAGAACTGGGATCTTTCAATAAGTCCAAAAACAATAGTGTCTTCCATACGGATCAAAGCGTGACGGATATTGACAAGATCCAAGCATGTTTCAGGTTTCATAAAGTCCATACTGACAGATTTAGTATTCTAAATATTAATGAGATTCTAGGAGTAGTTTACTACAGCGGAACTGATGGTTATTTTCTGTACTCTTCTTTCTCTTCCCTGGGAGAGAGCCAACATGATAAGTGAAAAATTGACGGAGAAAAATAAAAAAAGCCAAAAAAAAAAAGAACCTTGATGACTCTTACCTTCACCTGCTCTAGTGCTTATGACCAATGGCAACACGGTCAAGTATTTGTTTCCATAAGTAACACTTCTAATATTTCTAGTGCTTACAGCAAATAGTCACATATTTATTTATCTCACCTTTGCCTGCTCAAGTACTTACTGCTTATGTATTTTTCTCTGTCACTAATACTACTCCTAGTACATAGGAGCTAATGGGTCATATTAATGTTTATTCGTTTCTATGTATGCTTCATCATGATTTTCTCTTCTTCTTCCTTCATCCTCGTACTTGTCTCTATATCACCTTTATCCATAAAATTGAACCTCCTCAGCAACAAAAATCGCTTTAAACGGTCACCCTGGGATCCAGTCCCATAGTCGTAGTTTTTCTTGCTTCCTTCAAGGTTATCCAGAGCTCGTAAATTCATCAATGCTTGCTCAGCATGGAAATCATCGGTTCTTTTCAATGCATACAAATATTGTAGAATCGCCGATATAAATCCCACTGCCAACACACCTGCTAGTATCTTATACTTGTTTTTTTCAATTTCTTCTGCTGTAGGGGGTTCTCGCTTGTATTTCATTTTATAGTAATCTTCCCATGTCGCGGCTTGCCAAAATGCTTCATCGTTCTGATACGAGTATGCGGTTCTTCTGGCGCTAGCTTGCCTAAATCTTTGGAATGAAGCCTCCAGCTGTGATGCCTGAGGTCTGGGTCTCTGACTATAATTCGTCGTACTATTTTCGAATCTCCAGTAAGCATGTCTCCTTTGTGGGTCCCTAAGGATGTTATATGCACTTGTGATTTGATCATACCTCTGTCTCTTCGATTCCACTGTTAGTACTTCGTCATTTCTATGGGTTATTTCATATTTTGACGAAACATCTGGATGGTACACTTTCACGTATGTCTGGTACTTTCTTTTTATAAAGACATCGAAATCAGGTATGTTCATTGTGTCAAATCCAAAGATTTCCTTTGGACTGGGGTTCACCGAATCAGGCCAGGGCGGAAGTCCTAACCTAATGTGGGGGTCTGTGGTACTTTTCTTCCTGTTAGGTAGGTCAGCAGAGGATGAATATGCCCTTAATCCAAGAAGAACTGCTGCAGGTTGTTTATGTAAAGCTAGCATTATTATTCCAGTGCTAAATAAGAACAATGCTAGATCTAGAGAGAATCGTTATCTTCTTATCCGAGTGCGGTGTACTTGAGATTCACAAATTTAAAGAAGTAGAAAAAAAAAAAAATAAATAGAATAGGGCACCACAGCAAGTATAATGTGGGGCCAAGAGATCAAAATCAGAATGAGGTTCCTTTTCTTCTACACTTTCATTTTTATTTTTTACGTATCATCGTAAATTTTGACTATTAAATCTCTTTATTTCTCTATATTTGATTTCATATATATACTACAACTGCGCAAATATCTTGTCGTTGGACCCTCTTGCACTCACCTTCTGACCAAGCTTGTATACATCCTTTATGTGACCCTTATTGTCCAAGATCACTAAGTCGGCATCACAGCCTATGTTCAAGAAGCCCTTCTGACTCTCTACACCGATTGCTCTCGCAGGTATGTTTGTGGCCGAGGCAATTACCTGTGCCAACGAAACATCTGCCCATTGAGCCATGTTTCTAATACATTCACTCAAGTCAGTAGCGGCACCAGCCAAAGTTTCAGTTCCTTTCAACTTCAACGATGCTCCATCTTTTACGATCACCTGAGAATCCCATTGATAGGTGCCGTCAGGGAGTCCTATCAAGTGCATGGCATCGGTCACAAGCATGCACTTATCTGGAGCTGAACGATATGCAATGGCACACATGGAGGGATCGACGTGGACTCCATCTGCAATTAAACCGAAGTAGGGAGTATCTTTACCGTATGTGGAAGGAATTGGCGACGTTATTAATCCAACCACTCCAACGTCTCTGTGGTGAGGCTGGGGCATGGCATTGTATAAATGTGTGATCATAGTAGCACCGTTGTCGATAGCTTTCAAGCCAGTAGCATAGTCAGCAGCAGTGTGACCTATCGAGTAAGTAATATTATGCTTTTTCAAATCTGGAATGGCATCCAATACGCCTGGAATCTCAGGAGCTGCTGTGACAATACAGACATTATCGTAAAGATTGGCCTCTCCTCCGTATACCAGGTACACCTTTTTAGAGCCCTCATGGGCATCGACAAAGGTTTCCACTGGATGGCATCCCTTTTTCTTGATATTTATGAATGGTCCCTCTAAATGTGCGCCCAAAGAGTCTGCTTGCAAGGAGGATCTAGATGGTCCTACAATTGGCAATACATTCTCATAGACCTCGGGGAAGTTGGATGTTACCGTTGGGCATAATGAAGTAACTCCTGTTGACAAGTATTTAGTCATAGCATCTTTATAATGTGTCTGGTATTCTTTGATTGCCTTGGGGTCAGACAGGTTCAAGTTGGAGAAATTCAACCCGTAGATTCCGTTAATTTGAACATCTATGAAGCCCGGTGCTAAGATAGATAGGTTCAAGTCAATTGTCTTATGCGGAGCACCTGGGTTTGGTCTCACGATTTTTCCTGTCTCAAGGTCAACCCACAAGTCTCCATGGACTAATTGAGCGTTGTCGCAAAGAAGAGCGTTCTTGAAGTGGATGAACATTGGGCACGATTTGCGATGAGCGTAGTCGAAATATGGGGAAGAAAATTGAAAGTGGCACCAGAATTTAGACTTTACTGTTACCAAGTAATGCTAAAGTACAAACTATTCTATAATAAAACAGTTACTATCTTTTAGTTGATATGAGAGAGAGACAAGAGAAGAAAAGATAGACAAAAAAACATCGAATTTCTATGCCTTTATGAAGTTTCTTTATAATCTAATCATCTGCTGAGTATCTGAGACTCCCACGTTACATTATTAATTTGGGTGCAACATGTTACATTTTAAAAAAAGAAAAAAAAAAAAAAAAAAGAAATTCATTATCGTGCAGCTTAGAACGAGATATTGGTACTCGTGCTAGAAGTAACAATGTAGCCTATTCTAGATTAGAAGAGGCAGATATTGCTATTGATGCTATGTAAGATACGGTCCGGCTGAATATGGATCACAAAACACGTACACTTCTATACTCTACGAAATGCTACTTCTACTCTCTGCTCAACCCACTTGACTTGTTACTCAGCGATCAATAGTGGAAAATCCCATTTTATTTTTCGCAACTATACAGCGCACTTGCGATCTTGCTGATAAGAGAACGCACTGAGTTGCTCCAGAATATGAGGGACCAGAATAAGGGAAAGGCAAAGGGCAAAGGGTGTAAAGATACTGGCCTCTTTTCTATTACGTCGTACTCATACTGTACCATACTCTGCCGCTACCGTATCATTACCATAGCCAATGGTATGTTCAGTCACGCCCTCTCGTGCCTAGCTGTCTCTTGCTACTCTCTCACATTGAGCGATTATGCACCCACGCAACATTAGCCTGACCGAAACATTTCGCTCTGGTAACTTTTTATGTGGTCGCACTTGAAAATTTCAATGCAACGTTACAAATATTATTCCCCCATACTTTGAATTCATACTCATCACGGGCATAGAGATCATGGAAAGCCATATATAGTGTTTGCATTATGATATTACAAATTCTTTTCAACTCTACAGTCAGATATTTATTTTCCATTTGCTTTCGAACGAGTATTCAATTTTTAGTATGAAGCAAGCAACATTTTCCCTTCCAGATGATGCATCCGAGTATCTTGCTAACTATATCATAAATAAAATCAAGGATTTTAGTCCCACCCCCTCTAAACCTTTTGTTTTAGGATTACCAACAGGTTCCTCTCCTGAAGGGATCTACTCCAGACTAATCAAAGCTTACAAAAATGGTAGAATATCCTTCAAAAACGTCGTTACGTTCAATATGGATGAATATCTTGGGTTGACCCCACAAAATCCTCAATCTTATCATTATTTCATGTACGATAAATTTTTCAATCACATCGATATCCCCAAGGAAAATATTAACATACTTAACGGTTTGACCGAGGATGTCAAGAAAGAATGCGCTGATTATGAAGCTAAGATTAAACTGTACGGCAAGATCCACTTGTTCTTGGGTGGATTGGGACCAGAGGGTCACTTGGCTTTCAACGAAGCAGGTTCAACAAGATCCTCGAAGACTAGAGAAGTTGAATTAGTGGAGTCCACTATTAAGGCAAATTCTAGATTCTTTGATAATGATTTATCCAAAGTTCCAAAGTCTGCACTTTCTGTTGGTATTTCAACAATTTTGGACAACTCTGAAGAAATTGCAATCATTGTATTGGGATCTGCAAAGAAATTTGCTTTAGAAAAGACTCTCTATGGAAAGAAGAACGACCCCAGATTCCCATCTTCGTACTTGCAAGATCACTCAAACGTTTTGATTGTATGCGACAATGCTGCAGCTGGTCTTCAATCTAAATTGTAGGTAATGTGTTATAGAAATAAATGCCGAAGAAATTAGTCGAAGTCACCCGTAGATACTCCGAATAGCATACCTCTTTACTTTCAGATAAAGCTTACTCTTCATGAACATCAATTCCACATTTCCATCATATGAAGCTATGTCTTACTTATAACCCAAAATAGAATATTTTTGTCTAATTGTATGCATTCATTTCTATTTATCATTACTATAATATGCAGCACCAACAGCAGCTCCAACAATAGAACTATTTTGTACAGATCTAAGTCCAACAGTTAAATTCATCTCTTTGATCTCTTCATTATTATTAATAAACTTCAAAATTAATAATCTATAGCGTTTGAAGTACTCAAGAACTGAACCCACGTATCCAATATTCAAGTTGCCGCTTTCAACCCCATTGTGTTGCTTAATCAACTTAATAATGCCAACAATCAATATCGCCATTATGTAGGCTGCTCTTAAGATTACACAATCAACTATTTCCTTTAGAATGTAAATGTCGTTATAAGATATCGTAATATCCTCTTTATCCTCCCAATCATACGTTTGTTTAATCTTATTAATTATTGCCAATTCATCTACATTTTCTGAGATAAAGCACATCAACTCCCCAGAGAATCCTTCGTAACTGATTTGAATGGTATCTTGCAAGTATATTGAAGGAACACCGGAGAAGAAGGTAGACGATCTCGATTCAATCAAGTCGCACATAACTAGTCTAGCTAGCTCTGGTACGTATCTACCTGATGTCATTAACTCAGATGGTTGGCAAATGGTCTTTTCAATACCTCCTAATTCCATGTGAGGCGCAAAATCTAAGGGGACCTCCAGATTAAATCTATAATCTATAATGGAGTCATACTTGTTAGCTAATTCTTGAATTAAGTTACTCCCGAATACTGAAGCTTCACAATTAAAAAGCATTGCACTTTCGCCAGGAATATTCTTTTTTGTATGAATCAAAGGAGAATTTTTAAGCAGGCAACATATGTTGAAACCAGTTCCTAATACAACAGCCAATTTCATGTTCCTATCCAAAAAAGTACCTGCGGCATAAACAGCCAAAGAATCATTAATTAATACGTGAATCTTCATATTAACTTGATACTCTGTTTTCAAGGTCTCTTCAAGAATTTCTTTTAAATCTCTGTTATAGACTTCATCTGAAACTGTGTAACCTTTCCCCATATGCTTGATTATCCCGCTGTTAGGCGAATCTTGTTCCAATGGAAATGACCAAGTTAACCCCGTATTTATAAATTTGCTATTTATATTAATGACAGTTTGTTCCTTCAATGTTTCGACAATTTTGGATCCCAACCACTTAAAGAAGTTCAAGTCAATAACTTTACAGTTATTTTCAACAACCCACTTCTTTTCAACTGCGATTCTTGTAGGCTCTACAGTATTGTTAGGATCTATTTGAATAACTGCAACTCTCAATGTAGAACCTCCCAAATCAATAACCAAGAAATCTCCATGCTCTAAACCAGTTGGTTGAATATTAAAATTGGGGAGCATTGAGATGCAAGAATTCTGCAATAACGCTTCATTATATGACTTTAATAATAAGTCTGACAGGTTAGATAAATTCTTAGGATTTACCCTGTTGGTGAATGTATCGATAAACTCTGAGGCTATGTTGCCGCCATTGCTATCCTTAAGTATACTGGAAACGCCAGCGCTTGAAGATGGAGACGATGATACCGATGACGAGAGCAATACAGATGTATCAGAATCTGCAGGAGATTCCAATAATGGCATGGAATTAATAACTTCATCTTTGGTAACCCCTCCATTTGGCATAATGTTGTTCATATTAGATATTTGGATCATAATAAACTAGCTGGAGGCCAATAGGATAAGTAAAAATGAAACTAATCCTTCAAATACTTTTTAGACAAATATAAAATCAAGCGAACTAATAAAGCGAACGTTTATTTCTTTTTCTTTTTTATTGAAATGCACTGGTCCTTATGTGTGTGTGTGTGTGTGGTGGTTGTCTAGCTCACTGTACTTGTTCCCTTTCTGTGACTCTTATGCACAAAGTTTCTAGAAGCGAAAGATCAGAGAAAAAGAAATCAAATGTAAGGCCGAGAGTTGACTAATTCCTCCTCGACTATTGACCAGGTTATCGACTTATATAAGTATTATAAAGATATACTTAAAGTAAGGAAGATATAGATGAACTGTAAATAAAAATAAAAATATTCAGGGCCAAAAATCTTCCGGAATCTTTGCTCATTAAATCTGGCCCTAGTCAATATGAAATGCGACAGTGTTCTGCGATGATAAGAATCCTACCGTTGCAGATGGTATCTGATGAAACCTAAAAACATTGTATAAAAAAAAAAAAAAAATAAACGAGTACCGAAGATGGGCAGTAGCCATACGAATAAATCGTGGAGAGAAATGGATAAATACCACGTAGCTAATTACGTTTGATGTGGTTCAGCTTGAGACGCCCAAATAGGAGTTCCAATCCATCTAGGCTCTTGGTTTGGGTTTTGGGTAGTAAGGTGAACCGATTGGGCGTGTAATTGCTGATGGGCATTATTGTATCACCAGGCTATACTGAGAAGTCTTTTCCTGTACAGGGCCTGCTCACATATACCTTCTATCTACATTAGATTATTTTCTAGGAAGTTCAAGTGGTTAGCAGGTAACGATACCTGAGATGGATATTGAGAGATTCTTTATGTAGTGCTTTATTTCACACTTCTGTTGGACTATTACAATTGTCGATTGTGCTTTACTATATTTTAACTAAAACACTGCAACCTTGCTAGAGAAGGAAAAAAAAAAAATAAACTCCAAACCCCACCAAAGTGTAGCAGCAGCGAGCAATGATAGAGCCATTCATCTAGAGTCTTCAGTATGCAATTTTCTTCAAATACAAACTAAATGTAACTTGGCCTATACAATTTCGTATGTACTTGACACACATAAAGACATTCACACACTCAGATTGCCAAATATCACATTATCTCCAACACACTTCCACAATTCGCTTTCCAAATCTAAGGTTGCATTTTCGTTCGAAATTTCGGCTTCGGGTTTTTTTTTTTTTTGGTCTCATTTTTTTTGTGTTGCATCGATATTTTCAAGTCACTGAATTGCAACGTTGTACTACATGCAAACCAAAAAAGATGCCTTTCTGGTGTACGAGCCAGACTGCGTATAAGCAGTAGATAATGAAATAGAGAAACTACCGAGCTGATTGCTCTACTACAGCTTTTTGATATTGTCAGTACGGATTTTATTATTATTCGATTTATGTAATTCATGTATTTTATCATTAATATTTTCGGACTTCCCCCAAAAATATTTATAGATTGCTAATTAACTCACTCACTGTCGACTGGACTAAGGTCGTCAAGCTCTATCTCTTCCACGGTTTCCTTTCCACCTCTACCGCCTGATATCTTCCCTAAATTGTTAGCATGCATTCCATGGTCATCAACCAACCATTGCTTAAGTTGGGCCTTACCTTGTGCAGCACATTCGTCGACAAATTTCTGAACCACGATTGTTGCTGGTCTCAACAAGTTCAATGTATATAAAAGGTAAATCCCTGCACTTGATATAAGAATCAACAGGAACAATAATGGGTTACGAATAACGGCCAAAAACTCGTTCCATCCCAATACAAGAATCACTAAATATATATAGTACGGAATTTGTGTGACGTGCTGAACAATAGATCTATTGGTCTCGACGAAGACGGCATCGGTTTCTCTTTTAAATTTAGACAAAACGAGTGCCTTATCAGTTTCGCTAATAAGAATGGCAAAGTTTAATTCATTTTCTTCATCATCTTCATCTGAATCAGAGTCCAATTCAAGAGGGTTTTCTTCGATTTCCAATGAGTTAATAGTTACAGATTGGAACTTCTTTTGAAGCTGTTTATCGAAAACATTAAAATCTGGCAAAATCTCTGAATCATCACTCAATTTGGCAATTGTAACGAATGGAACTATTCTTAATGCAAAATCCTTTGACTTTTTAAAATTGATTTCTAACTCATGGACATTTTGATATAATCTTGGTAACCCATTTTCATCGTATCTGAATTTATCTTCAAATCTCTCCTTTAATATGTTAAGGAAATTTTCTCTCGAAATGTATTTCTTGACGATTTCATGAAATTTGGTCCACGATTTGAACTTAATTGAATCAATAGTGAATTGAGTCAATTCTTGCGATGTACCAAGACCAAAATCATATCCTTCATCATCACCTACTTCATACTTCACTAATATTTCCTTTAAGGTTTCTTTGAACTTAGACAATATCTTGTCCCAACTGGATTCGTCTGGTTCGCTCAATTCTTGAATCACAAACTTATTTAAACCAGAGCCGAGTTTCTTTGTTGATTTGTTAACAATATTATTCAACTCATTAACTTGCTGTTGTGCAATAATTTCATCAAATTTAGTGCTTAATGTCCTTTCATAATTTGTAAATTGTAATTTTCCTTCCAATGAAATAAGCAAAGCTTTGGTATTGAAATCCATAATAAAATTGGATTTCAAAACCTTGATTAGTTCAACAAATCGTATGTTAGAATTGCTTCTCGATTTACTTTTTAATGACTCTTTAAATGAGATGAGCAATGCATCGATTAAATGTTGAATGTACAACTCAAAACTTTCCTTAAATGAATCATTTAATTTGGAAATTAATGTTAATTTTTTCTGTTCATACACAGAGTTATTGTATCTCGAAGCACTGATATCATAATCTTCCAATGTATCATTGAATAAGTCATTCATGTACAAACCAACTTCTTCGTAATCGATATCGTTCGATTTTAAATCCTTTGTTGGAGCCTGAATATTTGCTTTGTACTTAACTAAGAATTCTTCATAAACAGTGTTTAAAATTTCGTCACATTTGAATTTGGCCACCAATATTTGCTGAGTAGGTAAATCCAAGTCCTTGTTAGAGTCAATTTGTTGCCAACATTGTTGAGCATACATAGTCCAGCCATCAATAGGGATGCTATGGTGATATTCTGGTTTGAAAAGGTATTCACTATCGTTTACGTCAATTAACTTATCTCCCAAGTGTTCAACATCAGTGGTAAACAAATCTGCTTGTAAAACCTTATGACTCAATGTATGAAATGCCAAGTCAAAAAAATCCTCAAATTGAAACTTTTGTAATTCTGATGGCTTGTTTAATGATTCCCAGATAGTCGAGAGTGAAGCCTTGATAGTATTTGAAAGCGATTCTTTAGAAGTGGTTCCAATGTGATCTCTAATGACAAATAACAAGAGCACTTTATGGTCGTTTGAACTATCTAACTTGGATTTTCCGAATAAGGACAAGTTAACTTCAAACACTGTCTTTAATAATCCCATGTTAGCACCTTGGTACAAGCCAATCTGTTGTTCCCACGTGTTAATGATCAAGATCTCACTGGTAGAGAGGGCAAATAATGCTGCCTTCCTCTCGAAGTCCTGATCTTCACCTCTTTCTCTACCATCAGTGCCTTCAACATCCATAACGAAGACATTCTCTCTCAACTGGTTGCTGGTTTGCTTCAGTGCACTCTTAGTAGTAGAGATGTGAGGAGAATAGGCCATCCAAATCCCCTTGGTGGTCTGCTGACGGTTTGTTTCATCCATTACATCAAAATTCGTATTGAATAACTTGTTTAACAACGTAGATTTTCCGGTAGATTGAGACCCAAATACCGAAATGATATGGTAGTTGTTACCAATCCCACCGGTGGTTTCACTATTCACAGGGGCCGTAGTTTTTATATACTCAAGGATACCATCATTGAATTCTTTATGTTCGTTGATAACTTGAATGGCATCTTGAGTTGTGAACTCAATGGGCACAAACGAAGAAGAAGATGAGGTAGTGGAAACATTCTCCTCTTCCAACGAAGGAGGTGGCAATGACAATTCTTCAGACATATTATATGTCTTTAATATAGCTGGCGAGTTAGTAAACTACTGCTTGTATTGGACAATCTATTTATACAAAGATATTATAATTTGCCCAACAAATTGTTTGTGTATCTTATCGTTTAATTTTGGAATGCTTGTACCGTGTCCCTCATGTTGGCTGATCACCGTAAGGGGACGGTTTGTTCTACTGTATGTATGCAGGATCGAAATTGGCATTCAGAGGGAAAACCGAATTGTGGAGAAATTTAAGTAGCTGAGCCATGGTGTAGGAGATGGTAGATAAGCTACATAGGGCTCTGAAGCCCTGATCGGATCGATATTGGTTTTCTCTTCATTTCTATATACAAGGGCCAATAGACTTAAACCTTTTTAATATATTTATATACAAAAACTGATTAATGAATTTTGAATACATAGCCTGTACGCTATTTATTTTTCATTTTTTTTAACATGTTCATTTCTTCTAAATCGCTTTTTAGTGATAAAGGATCCTATCAACTCTATCTTTTGACACTCTCATCATCCCATGGTAGGCCATGTCAAATGTTCCTCTTCCTTGTGTGAGCGATCTGAGTTTAGATAAATACCCAACCATCTCTCTCAATGGAGCTTGGGCTTCAATCTTCTTTCTATTTCGTATTTCAGCCTGGAGCTCATTGGACAAAGATGTCGTTAATGTATAATCTGGAGGAACATAAACCTTCTCAGATTCTTCCTTCGCCCAAGATGCATTGTCTAAAGTGCCATCTCCCAAATCATCTTCGATCGAAAGAATGGTAGCTTTACGCTGAGAGTTAAGATCTTGAACTACTTCACCTAATGTGTCTGTATTAACAAATACTTTAACATCCATAATCGGTTCAAGTAATGTGTAATTACTTGCTTGATTTTGATAGTGTTCATTGATTGCTTTAGTCAAAGTATGCCTTGTCAAGTTTAGTAATTGCGATGCTGGGCCCGCTGTAGCCCGATCTACCGGAAATTCCCAATTGACAATTCTTATTACGGTAGAATGTAAAGGCAATCTAGTAATTGGTCCTCCTGTCTGTAAAGAAGCAATACATCCCTGAACAATGCTGTCCTGAAGTTGCTCAGCTGTATATTCAGACTTCCATCTTCTATCCTCCAATGCAGTAACCATACTGGCTGACATTGAATTTGGTTCGAATACAACGATGTTATTATCTGTTTCAAGCAATAGAGAGCCATCTTCATTTGCGAATTCTGTCTCATCGGATGGCCCTTCAAATGAATCAATTGACAAAGTAATACATACACCAGAATCTTCATCACTGATCGTAACTAACTCTGTTGGTGAGGTCAAGCTTTCCTTGTACGTTACCACCACTTTACCCATTTGAGCCTTAGCCTTAAGATCTCTAATAAGTCTGTCTCCTACGATCTCAAGATGTAATTCGCCCATACCACTCAATACTGTTTGACCAGTCTCTTCATCAACTGACATATGTAATGATGGATCTTCTCTAAGCAACACTTGAATGCATTCTTCCAAGTGCCTCTTATCTCCCACAGTATTAGGCTCAATAGACGCACTGAAAACAGGAGGCGGTATTTCAATAGGAAGCATCTTTAGATTTGACTCAATAGGTGTAAAGTTCTTACTTGTGTTCCCAGCAGAGACTATTGTATCACCAGTAACAATCTCATCTACCATTCCGGTGATCACTCCGATGTTCCCAGAACTGAGCAGAGAGACAGTTTCTGGTTGATCACCATGCATTAGCAATAATTTCCCAAGTCTATAGATTTCACCACTTCTAGTATTCAAAATATTCGTGTTGGATTGAAGCTTACCACTATAAACTCTAATAAATGTCATCACACCACGAATTGGGTGAGTAATAACTTTAAATGCAAGTGCAGTCGTTAAATTTGGTTTACCATTAACCACAAGCCCCTTTTTGGAATCCATTGATACAGGTACAATCTCAGTAATGGGCGATAAGGAAGTGTCCGATCGAGCTGCTGCATTCTTATTCTTTTTTCTTTTGCCTCCAAGTTTCACCTTTTCAGAGGAAACTTCTGGGATCTTAATTTCCAATGGTGAGGGCAAGTACTTCACAATACTATCCATCAATGGCTGAACTCCAATATTTCTGAATGAAGCACCACAGAATACCGGGACAGCAAAGTTAGAGATACATGCCTTTTGAATTGCTTTGTGGATGACTTCAGCGGGAACCTTCATATAATCTTCATTATTCTCAAAGAAGGAGTCAATTAAAGATTCATCAAATTCGCCGAGAGTTTCAATCATGGATTCCCTACTCTTATAGACCATCTCATATATTTGAGAATTTTCTTCGATATCAGAAACAACCATATCTCTTCCTGTTTCATCTTGATCTGAGTTCCATTTCAATATTTTCTTATGCAATACATCCAAGACTCCAACAAACTTAGCATTATGTGAACCATTTATGATCTCGTCCTCAAAGTAAGGAATATTGCATAGAACGACTCTGGTCTGTAACTTTGATACAATCTCTTTTACGGTTCTACTGAATCCAGCACCCTCTCTATCCATCTTATTCACAAAGCAGATCTTGGGGATTCCTAATTCATGAGCTTGTTTCCATACTTTTTCAGTCTGGGCTTCAACCCCAGCTACAGCATCCAAAATAGTAACACATCCATCTAGAACTCTAAGGGATCTGATGACTTCAAATGTAAAATCTGCGTGGCCAGGTGTATCTATAATATTAATCTTATGCTTATTCCAAGGAATAGAAATTGCAGCCAGCTGAATGGTGATTCCACGGTCTCTTTCCTGAGGCAAATAGTCTGTAACAGTATCACCTTCATCTACATTACCAATACGGTTAGTCTTACCACTATAAAATAACATCCTTTCCGTTGTTGTTGTCTTGCCTGCATCTATATGAGCAATGATTCCTATATTTCTAGTCCTACTAATAGGAATAGCATTAAGAGACACATCAGTATTACTCAAAATAAAACTACTGTGTAGAGAACGTTGTTGCAACGAGAGGATCCGAAATCCCTGAAGTCTTATTGATCGAACTATCATCATAGATCTTAGCCAAGATATATAAGAAGCTGAACCGTAAATTTTTCAGTTCTTCTCAACTTCTATTTACGATATTTTTTTTTTCTCCAAATAATAAGATCTATGGTAGTCTTCTTCTCACTTTGAAACACTTCTTTCGTAAAAGAATATAATAAATGACACATATGGCCGTCATTGGATTGCTCTGAGATTCTGCTCCGTATTTCAGTCGAAGTTCTTTTCTTTTGAGTATTGCTATGCCTTATGAATAGTGTTTTGGGTTCTGAAGCTGGGAGTGTAGATATATGTTGCAACTTGTATCACGTGCCGAATTTGTAAGTGCGTGCTCTGAAAACGATAATACTCTCATTTAATGTACTTTATATAAAGCTTCTTTTCAGATTTTGAGCTAGAAACATATTTAATCTCACTTGTAGAGACCACCTCTCTAGCTAACATTGCCCATAGAAAAATCGGAGTGATAGTTTAAAGCAACTGCGAGCACCACTAGACTAAGCACTACTCAACCAATCATTAAAGTTGAATTTCATGAAACCTGTAAAATATATCACAAATCAATCCGTTTCCCCCCCTTTTAAGTTTTGATCAACTTTTTACAGAATTGCATTTTTGAAATTTCGGTTCCAAAATATTTAAAAAGTCCGAAACTTGATTAATTTGGCGATTTCCATGTTGAACGACCCCATTTGTGCTTAAACCACAAACCACAGAAAATATTTTAGTCAGAAGGCCATGCATTCATGCTACAAATTCTTTCAAACGATAATCTTCTCAAGAAAGAAAGAAGCTCTCTTTTTTCTTGAGAAGATTATCGTTTGAAAGAATTTGTAGTATGAATGCATGGCCTTCTGTAACCTCTACCCCTGTGGCTTTATTTCTTATTCTATGAAGTTGGAACCGTGGTATATGTTATAGTTACGAGGCTAGCTACATGGTGATATGCTCAGATGTATCATTTTCTTGCTTTTCACTGTTCCTGTCTTTAGCTTTGTGTACATCGACTTTCCAGGACACCTAGGGGGGTAATCCGTGCCTGCTATGTATTAGCGTACTGGTAGGATCTTCAGCTTGCTTTCCATACAATTTTGGACCTTTTTACTGAGTATTTAACTCATTGGTTGTGACGTTGTCCATTATTCTTGACTAATATGAGTTATTTTTACTACTTGCAACGAACGTTACCACAAATAGAATGCAAAAGTGGAAGTTGACTCCATATAAATTAGTTGCAAACACTCTATACTATGATATTTTGGTAGAAGGAATTATAGTTTTTATATTATCAGTGGCCTTCTCTGCTCTGTAGAACTTAAGGAGGCATACAACTCTTATAACTGTTTGAATACAGGTCCTAATGGAGGTTTGTCAAGACTAACGAATGCCAAAGATTAATGGTTGCAAATCCTGCATATAAACGAATTGCAACCATGTTGGTATTCTCGTCTTTAGAGCTGATAATAGACACCATGCAAATAAAGTGCAACCCAAAGCTAACAAGACCGATCGGCTTCAACGGCATTTGTGGTGAAGGAGCTTAGTGGGTCTACCCTTTGAGCTTGCTTGTTCAACGAAATTGATATCTCTTTAAGATGTGCCATCATAGGCGTCTTGGTTCAGCTGACAACGCCAGATCTATGGACTTTGAATTTTAGTGATACACATCAATTACTTTATAGAAGGACCATGGACATTTTTAAATGCAGCAATCATATACATCGAGCTGAGAGATACTTAACAACACCTATCTATTTTACAGTGGGAGTATGAGACTTCTTTCTCAATGATTAATCACAGTCATTTAGTAAAAGAATCTGCCCATCTTCATTGTACAGCATTGGGGTAAGTGGAAGAAGACAAATCTCGCTAGTACAATCCTATTGACTTTATTAGAGCCACTAGAGGATGTTTATAGCAGTATACGGTGTAGTCTTCTGGTGAGCCCACGTTCATTGCTATAGGGTGGTATACCACCAATCTACTTATACCTTCTGACACACTTCCGCTCAGCTCCTATTAACCTTCTTTATTCACTTCTCCACAAAAGAAGTAGGGCATGTGGTCTAGAGGTATGATTCGTGCTTAGGGTGCGCGCGGTCCTGGGTTCGATTCCCAGCTTGCCCCATTTGATTTTTTTTTCATGGCTTTATATATAATGATGGTTTTCAACTTGGCCGAAACTTTTTGAAGAGAACTAAGATTTTAAACTTTTTGTGCCCATCCACCATGATATGGAACAAATCTATTGTCTTGCCAAAGTAGACCTTTTCAATATTAGGCAGTACTCATCAACTAAAATTGGCTGATCTTCAGATTTGGGTGCAAAAAAAGTGCTGCGATCAACACATATAAAGTAGTTAACGAAAAGTTTATCACGGCTCAGAAGCTATAAATATGCAACAGTGCATGATCCATTGTGTATGAGGATTTGCATCTGTCTCTTGGACGAATTTTCTTCTTCTCCTAGAAAACACTAGTCCAAATGCAATCTGATCATAGGAATACCCTTTCATTTTCAAATCATTTTCCTGCATATACTGCTATTTTTGTCTATTATTATCCGATGAGTATCATTTGTAAGTGCATCGACTCTAGATATACTGATAAGATAACGTAACTAAAAGTCGCTATGACAATGTCAGGTGCGGATGATATACAGAGTATTCAGACAGATGATAATATAGCGATAATTTCTTCCGATGCTGCTATTGTATCAAAGACCGACCTACATAGTGAAAAACCAGAATCTACAAAAACAACAACAATGAAGATGGCTAATGAATTGAAGGAAGAAATTAAAGATTCCACAATGGACATAACAGAGGATCCAATAATAACTCAAGTATTGGACTCTAACATTCTCCCAGACCAAAACTCCTCGAAATCAAGTGAGACAGATAATACAATTGGTGTACTTAATGTTGAAGATCCAAATTTTACAAATTTGTTGAAGACCAATTCGAGCCCTAACGGGATCATAAATGGAAATCAAGAAGAAAATGTTTTAAATGTTGACGACAATGATGCTACTACTTCTCAGTTTGCAAGCGAACCACTTCCAAGCTCATTCCCTACTTCGGGATCGACACCAGCAGCTGCTAAACCAACGAAAGAGCCACTGGCTGATTCGCACTCTAATCCTCACCCTGTGAGCACTTCAGATGAGAAAGTTTCTGCTTCTGCTGGGCTGATATCTACGCTAGATAATAAATCAGTAGCAAATGGCACTACCTCAATATCTAATTCTCCCTCGGCTTCTGCCTCAAATACTGTTGCAGGTAATATATCAACCTCAAGTTCCATCGAGGCAAGCTCTGGAATATCAGTCTCTTTGGCATCAAATCTCAGTAAGGATACTGCTGCTACTTCCACTGAGGTCCCAATTACAGCACATACAACACATACAGCACATACAGGCGTCGCAACTTTAAATATGCAAGCTCTCGCTCCTTCTAATACTAACGACCAGCCTATCCAGGATTTCAAGACTGAAACATCTGTCAAAGCATCACCTACTTCAGTTCAGTCAACGACTATAAACCAACCAACTTCTTCTACATCATCTGCTTATAATGGTAATGATTATCTCCATAAAAAGCAGAAACTCGACTATTCAGTTCCCACCGCCACAACTCCTAATGCACCATTTAATCAGAGCACTTACAAGCCAGCGACACCGCCATATCCTCCAAATTCTTATCCATATAAACCTTCACAGCAGCAGCAGATTCACCTGCCTGCGTTCACATCGCCACCTCTTCCTCCATCTGCATCTTCAGCACCGCCTTATCCAGTAGTTCCACTGAACAAAAAGAGACTTGTAATACTATATGATAAGCTCCGGTTCCAGCATTCAAAACAGCAACTAGAGGATTTACAAAAAGTAACCCCGGTAGATTTGTTAACTATAATTGAACTTCGTGAACTTGAGGCCAAGAAAGTTGAAGTTGAAACTGCAAACCCTAATTTCCAGTACTTGAACATTTGCATTGAATTTAATGATGAATTTGAAAGTAATCTAAATCTCTTGAGTGACTTCTTGGAGTCCAATCCCAAAATATTGGTGAAAATTCCAGATATTGCGTACCATATTCACTTTGATTATGATAAAAGTTGGCTGGATGTGAAAAGTTTTGAAAAAGAAGCATATTCAAGATTTTTAAATGTATTAAACGAAGTTGCTGGTAAACAAGTAGTTCAGTGTTCCATAATCAATAAGTATGAACTAAAGACAATTTATTTAACTGAAAGGAACGACCTTCAAGTGCTAGGTCAAGAAATCCAAGAGGATATATCCAAATGGACAAACTTAAAAGTATGTGACTACGGTGAAAACTTTATACGATTCTTCCCAGGTGTGAAGTTTCCTGACGGATTGGAAACATTGAACATTGGGGGAGGCTATTCCTTGGAGACATTATCTGGCTTCAAGATACCTTCTAGACTTAAGACCCTCATTGCAAGCAAAGGATGCATAACGAGCATTGATAATGTTACATTCCCACCTTCTTTGGAAAGATTAGACCTTGTCGATAATAAAATTTATTTTCTAAATTATGTTCAACTACCCCCAAATCTAGTTAGTTTGGACATTTCTCAGAATAGGGTTGATAATTTGAGAGGTGTGGTCTTTCCTAGAAACTTAAAGTCATTGTCTTTAGCGGCCAACCCAATCGAATGTATAAAAGGTGCAAAATTTCCTGAATCTTTAGACTACTTGGATCTTTCATTTTTGCCAAATGAATCTATGACAGGACTTAAATTCCCAGACCTGTTGAAAGAATTGAACTTGCAGCAATCAATGACAAACACTAGAGGTCTCAAATTGCCTGCTAGACTTTTGAGTTTAAACTTAGCTCAAAATGGCGTAAACAGTATAAACCCATTAAAGTTGCCCAACTCTATCCAAAGTTTGCACTTGGGCAAAAACAATATCAAAACTTTGAATAAAGTTTCTTTTCCAATGCAATTAAGAGAATTGTATTTGGGAGATAATCTTATTACCACATTAAAAAACATCCAGTTCCCATTGAGTTTAGAAATTTTGGATATGGATATGGACCCAGAATGGGAAGAGCACGAGAAATATATAACTACTTTGAAGGACGTTGTGTTCCCACCAAATTTGAAAGTATTGAAGTTACGAGGTCATAAGATAAAATCTTTGGAGTCATTCGAGTTCCCTTTCTACTTGGAACATTTATGCTTGGCATACAATGAACTTAAGATTGTAAGGAACATCAAATTTGGTAGAAACTTGAAAATTTTGGATTTGAGTGGTAATAACGAATTAGCGGGCATAGACATGTTCTATATACCTGAGTCAGTTATAGATCTTAGGATTGCAGAGCACCAAGTCTCACAGCTTCCTGGGTACGTCATCGAGAGAGCTAATCTGAAGCAATTGACGATAAGTGTCTCGCCATGGAGAGGATACGGTCATCATTCCATCGACATTCATAACCCACAACATTAGAACTAGGTGGTTGACTTGTTTCCAGGACTTTCAACTAAAGTCTATTTCTTTTAGGACCTTTATGAGAAGCTACAGCCACCGAATGTTAAAAAGGCTTTGGTACATTTCTGTATATTATTAATAAATGTATATATATTTCTTTTTTAAATTAATAATTCTTAATGTATATATCTTACATAACCTGTCCACCTCTACTCGTCATCCTCTTCATCTGAAGATTCCTTATCTTCGGCTTCTTTCCTTTCCAACAATGCTTGTAACTCAGCATCTTCTGTAGCAGTAACAGCCTTAGGAGCCATTGTGACTTTACAGATACCATCGGAACCTTCAATAGATTCGGTGATCTTTACAATAGCCTTTTCCAACAAGGCGATACCTTGGTTCTTGTCTAATGCTTGAGTGGAAATGACATATAACGGAGCAGCAACTAACTTAGCCTTGACGATCATTTGTTCAGTAGATTCGTCTTCAGCAGCCTTTAAAGCCTTCTTGATAGCATCGATACCTTCATAACTGAAACATGATACTTCGATATCAGCTCTGATTTTGATTGGTTGAGGAGTCAATCTTCTGGAAATGTACAATTTTAATTCTTCCAATACGTCCTTAGATGGGGCAGTTACACCATCGAAGATAGTTGGATCAGTGATAGACAACTTGAAGGCATCGTAAGCGTGTCCGAACTTTCTGCTTAATGGCCAGCCAATAGTCTGGTACAACTCTTCCAATGAAATGGAGAATTTTTCGGCACAATGTCTCAAGATGGAGTGAACAGCCTTGGACTTGTTATATCTTTCGTCACACTTGACAATGTCTTCAGCAGAGACTCTTCTCTTAGATAAATCAATGTAACCCTTTTCCTTATCGACTCTCAATACGACGGCAACTTCATTCTTACCAACACGGATCAACTTTTGAATGGAACGAATACGTCTTCTCGATAATTCGGACAATAAGACCATACCTTCGATATTATCGTATTCCAACAACTTAACGTAGGCTCCCATTTCTGCGATTTCCTGAACGTTCACCATCACAACTTCGTCCACTTCAGGGTACTTGTTTTCGTAGTATCTACAGTTAGAGGTACTCATATTGAACTGCTACGATTTATATATATATGGGTAGTAACTAGTGGTATATCGATGAGTCTTCTTGATTCAATGAATCGTTTTTCACTCTTTTTTTTTTGCTTATGGATTTTCTCTGGCCTGCATAGAAGTTTGCCAGTAGATGGAAAATTTTTCAATTTTGTGTAATTGACATTTTTATTCTTACAGAAGTGAATTTAGGGTACTGCATATATGTAATATTGATGCTTTTTCTTTTTGGTTGCACTACACAAAAGCGAGTTAGCATTTGCAACCAAAGCATTTGAGTGTGCTCATTCCAGTGTCAATTAACCAACATTGGGTCGCTCAGATCCAAAGTAGAAACACATAGTTTGACTGAAAACTATATATAGGGTAATATTTAAGTTGAAATTACGGAGCAACTTGAAAGCATAAACAAAGTAGATTAATTAAATAATTGTACATTTTTCCCAATTTAGTAGGAAATATAATGTATAACAAGACCAAGAAAACATACGCTACGTACAAAGATGCAAAGTTCTCAGTGGATCAAAGATATAAAATCAAACAGCTACTTGGAAAGGGAACGTATGGCACTGTGTGCTCAGCAGTTGATACCAGAAGCTCGAGCAACCTGCTGAATGAGGAAGAGGTGAAGATCGCCATCAAGAAGGTTTCGAATATTTTTGAGAAGGAAGTTTTACTAAATAGAGCAGTCAGAGAACTAAAATTGATGAGGCACTTCAAAGGTCATAGAAATGCATGTATTACTAAAAAAGAAAGACTCGTAAGAGTCTTATTTTCATTGCCCACAAGAATACTTTTACTAACTATTAGGTCGTTAATTTAATTGATTTGGACATAGTTTACATTGAACCATATGAGGGTTTATACTGTTACCAAGAACTTGCAGATTATGATTTGGCAAGAGTTATCTATTCCTCAATTCAGTTTTCAGAATTCCACATTCAGAGCTTCATATATCAAATTTTGTGTGGATTAAAGTATATTCATTCAGCTGATGTCATACACAGGGATTTAAAGCCAGGGAATATACTAGTGACTATACAAGGGTGCCTAAAGATTTGCGATTTCGGTTTGGCCAGAGGAATCAATCCCAAATATTTTAAGAATAAATCTTCACCAATCACTAATTATGTCGCAACAAGATGGTACAGAGCTCCAGAGTTGGTATTGTCACAAAAGAATTACGGAAAGTCCGTTGATTTATGGGCAATTGGTTGCATTTTGTCCGAATTGTATGGCAGGAGACCATTATTGATGGGGAAGGATAAGTTTCATCAATTGCACGAGATCATCAAAGTCTTGGGCACGCCAAGGAAAGATATTATAACGAAGTATAAATGGAATTTGTCAACCACCGTAAAACCTCAGTATGAAAGGGTAAAGTGGAATGCAATATATCCTTTTGCATCCAGCGAGGCACACAATTTGTTGGACCTGTTACTTTGCTGGGATCCAAATGAAAGGTTTACAGTTCAACAGTGCCTAGAGCATATCTATCTACTGAAACTAAGAGATTTAGAAAATGAGCCAGTATGTAACCAACTTTTTGACTTTAGCTTTGAAACAAGTTGCACCTCAATGTCGGACTTAAAAATGTTACTTCATGAAGAAGTGGAGGCATTTAGGAGCGAAGCGATAGTGAATAAGGAGAAGTGAGACGACCTCAATTTAACTCATCTTTCTAGGCACGAGTGAAAAGGGAAGCTAGATCTGGTGATCTTCCCCACCCCTGCAAGAAACGGTGCAAAAGGAGGGGAGAAGGTTCTTCTTTTGACATGGCCAGGAAAACGAATGTGGCAGAATAGTGCGCACAGAAAACGGGCTACCATTTATATCCTAAATGGGACCTTCTTCTTAAAGCCTAATTGTTCAAATAGAAAGGATGTAATGAATGAAAGAAAGCTAGGCTCAAGTATAAAATAATGAGAAAAGGAGAATAGCATGAAAAATAACACATTATGTGTCAGATGAGCTACAGGCTGCCTCGGTAAATTAGTAATGCCCTTTACTTTTTTTAATATTACAATTCCCTCCCAGGATAATACAACTCAGTTTTTATTGTGCACTTGATAACTCCGTAGAGGGTAGTTCCAATCAGGAAGTCAGTTCTCCTAAGTTAAACCTAAACTGGTTAGTTTTAATGCATCAAATCTTCAAAATCTGCTACATTCGGTAGCATGTGAATTATTTGTGGGGCGCACCTATTTTTCAGAAAGGTATAACCCCACGCGAAATAGTGAAGTTTACCGAGGATTTTGCACGGATCGCATATATATAGAGAAGGCATTACTTACTTCTCAGGAGTTCTGTATTTTCTTTTCTTGTTATTACACATTCATTACTGTTCACATTTTACTACTGAGTAGTATTATTTATTTATTATCAATCTCCCAGTATACACACCATGCCTCTTGCTAAGCACCCAGATTTGGAAATTTTGAAATTTGTAGCCAACATTGAAGGCAAAGAACCATTAGAAGTCATTGTCAAAGGAGCTGATAAGATTGACATCAAGATTCCAGAAAATTCTAAATATAGCATGACTGTATATTTCCACGTCAAGAATAGAACATTGAAGAACTTGAAGTACATCCAAGTGATTAAGAAGGCTGGTTTGACTGTTAAGCAAAGAGAATTGGACATTGGTGAAGAATTTGAACCTTCCGAAGAGAAGGTGTACTCCAAGTCTTTCCCAGAAGATACGACTCCAGGTGGATTCTTATTCAGAGGTTTATACCCAGCTACTTCTACTTACTATGCAGGTGAGGAAGAATTAATGGTTGTCGACTGGCAATTAGAAATTACAAAGAAATAAGAACCATTTTAAAATCACACTCACAATTCATTTAATGTATTCATATGCTCATATATATGTAGGTTAGTCTTTTCTATAGATATTGGAAAATATATAACTTTTTTTATTTGATTTGAGCTGTTTGTGTAGGCAAAAAGCAACTGGAATTGATATAGGGGGTCCACGCTATTTCAATTTCAATTTAATCATGCCTACATTTATTGTTTTCTATTGTTTTAGTCTCTTCAATTGCACATTGATGTCTCGCTGTTTATGAAATCTGGGGAACAATTTTTCACTCCATCTGCGGCACAATGCAACACTACCTATTTTTTTTCCGTAAATGGAAATACACCTTTAGTCCGCAACTTTGAAGTTGTCATGCTGTGAAGGATTGAATATTTATGACAGAACTTATATCTTTAACCGTTTGGTTTCTTATTTAAGTTAATGTTTCGTATCTGTATTTAGACTCTTCTCCCCTTTTTTATCGAAGCATTCATGGTATACCAGTCAAACGACTATCCGATCCCATCTTTCATGTGCATTTTCTTTCATTGCAGTATCTAGACAACTTTTAACTTATTTTGGTATCGATTCGGATTATCTGGCAACGCATGTATAGCTGCATCATAGAGAGGAAAGAGGAGTGGGCAGCTTGTCATATATTATTATCAGTAACTCCCGAGCCCCCAATGTATTCATCCTTAGTGGTGCGTATTTTAGGAGCCCAGAGCCTGTTGTATTTCTTAGTTGACATGCAGCACTTTTATTTGTGATTCTCGTGAGTTGCGACATCAAGTCCGCTAGGTGTAGGAAACCAAGGTACTGTGGTACGGAAATAGGGATTTAAGATCCATTCTCAATTGTACTTAGCACATAACTAGTTTGTACAATTAGCGCGCTGCTGAATTATTATACACTTATTAATTGCATTGCTTGGGGATCTTTTTTTCCTTGTACTAGGTGACTACGTCATTAATTTTTCCCTGTGTTAGTTTTCTTATCAATATCAATACTTACCTCCATTCTGACCTAGCTTTTCTATAGTAAATTAGCCCTACAATCAAGTTATCGTTCCAACTTATTTCTCACCAGTCCTTGAATTTCCATCCGGGTCCTAGGTTCGTCTTTCTTATTAGTTTAGATCTTTATATCCATAGCCCCCATCTTCTGAATGTCTGTTAGACCTTCCACCCATGCCGGTTCATGGTACTCAGGCTCTTCTTCTAAGCTTTCTCAACAGCTAGATTCATTTTTCAAGCAAGCATCACCGTCGCGACCAATTGGTGGAGCAAGGGTCCTCATTGGCCCTCACGCAGGCTTTACTTACTCCGGTGCAAGGCTAGCAGAAACATTTAAAAGTTGGGATACGTCAAAAGTTAGAAGAGTATTTATTTTGGGTCCATCACACCATGTTTTCTTTAAAGGTAAGGCATTAGTTTCGCCCTACGACTTTTATGAAACGCCAATTGGGAACCTACCAGTCGATTCAGAGATAAATGATGTGCTTACAGAATCTTCACACTTCAAGTACATGAGTGAGGAAGTGGATGAGAACGAGCATTCCTTCGAAATGCATGCACCATTCATATACTATGCTGCCAAATCATTACCCCAGGGAATCCCAAAGATAGTTCCCATTATGATCTGTGGAACAGACGAGAGTCTAGATAGTAAGATTGTGAAGTCCTTGTTGCCATATCTTGAACAAGAAGAGAATACTTTTATTATCAGCTCAGACTTTTGTCACTGGGGACTGAGGTTTGACTACACCAAGTATATGAGAAATGCACCATCGGCGAGCCATAAACAGATGTTATCGAGTGCAGATTTAATTGACTTGTCATCCTTGTCGTCCACTACATTGGAGAGACCCATTTATAAATCAATTGAAGATTTGGATAAAGAAGCTATGAGAATTGCAACTTCTGGCTCTTACTTAGATTGGAAGGAATACATTAAAGTCACTGGTAACACAATTTGTGGACAAAAGCCAATTGCGATTATTTTGAGGCTATTGGAAAAATATAAAGAGGAAAGGACTGGAACTATTGAAGGGTTCAAATGGATTGGTTATTCACAAAGTGGCAGGGCCAAAAGTTATCACGATAGCAGTGTTAGCTATGCGTCAGGATATATCGCATTAGTATAGATATAGATATTTAGGAATATACAGGTTAATATGGCAAGAATGTATACATTTTTTTTTTTTTTTTTTTCAATTTAGTCCCTAACTCAATCAAACTAAACTGCTGCGGTTATGAAGTATAAAAGAAGATGTTATTATAGTCTAGGCAGTCTTCTGGTCTGCTTCTATAAATAAGTTCACGTATCTTTTCTCATTGCTGGGGTGCTGTTGGTTGACGCGCCTCCAAGCACTGCACATAGAACTTCCCAGTACATCAGCCTACAGGTCTATACACCTAAGTGTTCAAAATCTTCAATACTCCGATACATCCACTAGGTACCAAGAGTTATCCATTTACCTCTTACATTGGAGTACTTCTATTATCATGAGTGAAGGTAAATTATTCTCGAAAACTAAAGCTTCGGAGTTGAAGGCAGAATTGGATCAAGCATTCAGAAAATCCAAGCCCCAACCCAGAGTGAAAATTGTTTTGAAGAAGGTTGTAGCAAACATTATCTTGAATAATGGCGAACTTGTGGCGTTATTCCCAGATATAGTTCAATTGATGAAGCTAGATGACATGGAGATTCGAAAATCTTGTTTCCATTACATTGCAAACTACGCCCACTTGGTAAACCATAATGTGAGTGGTGAAGCTTTGCCCTATTTCCAAAGATTCGTGGTAGACCAAAATCCTGTACTTAGAACTTTGAGTTTAAGAACATTATCAGCAGTTTCAAGCAAGCAATACGTGGAATTGACGTTTAATGTAATAGAAAACTCATTACAGGATCAGAATCCCTATGTGAGGAAATCGGCAGCTTACGCTGTCTCTAAGTTGTACCAACATGATCCCGATAGAACAATTGCCTTACAATTGATCGACAAATTGAATGAACTATTGTATGATGCTGATCCTGTTGTTGTATCAAATACTCTAGCTGCATTGAGTTTCATAACAGAGCAGCAACAAGGTAAAGTATTAACCCTCACAATTGACAAGAACCATGCAATGACCTTGGTAGGGTTTTTGGCGAAAACCAATGAATGGAGCCAAATATATATCTTGAATTCATTGTTATCTTTCATCCCGCAGACTCAGACAGATGCGCTTGATATTATCGATAGAATAATACCATCATTGCAACATGAGAATTCTGCAGTTGTGTTAGACACAATTAAATGTATTATATACTTAAGCAATTATGTCAAGGCTCCCGAACTTGTAATACCTACTTTACTGAAAAGGTTGGGTTCTTCATTGGTCTCATTATTACTGAAAAAGCCAGAAATCCAGTTCCTAGTATTGAGAAATGTTATATTATTGCTCTTGGGGAAGAGAGGATTATGCCAATTTGACGTTGAATTGTTCTTCTGTAAGTATGATGATCCCATATTTATCAAAGACACTAAATTGGAAATAATTTACCTTTTGGCTAATGAAAAGAATGCAAATGTGGTGCTAAGAGAATTAGAAGAATATGCTACCGAAGTTGATGTTCCGATGGCTAGAAAGGCAATTAGAGCTATAGGGAATTTAGCCGTTAAGCTACCCAGTTCTTCCATTCATTGTGTTGAAGTAATTACTGATTTGATCTCTAATGGAATAACGTACATTTTACAAGAATCTGCAATTGTTATTAAGAATATACTAAGAAAATACCCAGGAAAATTTAATTTTGCAATTCCTGAATTGCTTAATCATTATAAGTTGATTGATGAACCAGACTCAAAAATTGCTGTTATTTGGATAATTGGGCAATATTGTGAAGTGATCGATAAGTGTAATACAGCTCTTGAATTTTTGATATCTACTTTCAAAGACGAGCCGACTGAAGTTCAACTTGCATCATTAACAACAGTCGCAAAGTACTACTTGAAAGTCCCTGAAAAAGGTGAGCAAATGATGTTAAAAGTACTACAATGGGCAACTGAAGAAGTTGACAACCCTGATGTTAGAGATCGTGGATTCTTTTATTGGAGACTATTGTCATCAAACGCCTCAGCAGCCACCGATTTTCAAGTGAATGCGAAAAGAATTATTCTCAACAATGACCCATTCATAGTTACAGATAATGATAACATCGATCCAGCAATCTTAGAAGAGCTTGAGTTAAATATCGGATCTTTGGCATCAATTTACTTAAAACCAGTTCAGCTTGTATTTAGGCTAACCAAGAGAAAGCAATTAACTAAGAGTCCGGCCCTTCAACCTCGAACCATACATGAAAACAGATATGGAAATGGTGACAGTAATGAAAATATTGATGATATTGAGTATGCGTCATCTCCTCCAAAGGTACCACCATCAAGGCTCAAGTACTCAAGAGATGACAGAAGTCCTCTGAGTTCATCCAGGAGTAAATTCAATATATCTCAACATAGACCTCTGTCTACATCCGATACATCTTATGATAATGAGAGCACAGAGGAGTCGGCAAAGGAAAGTTTTGCTAAGAAACTCTCAAGAAAAGCATCATTTTTAGGAAGAAAGAAGTAGGGACATATAGTTTTAGAGTTATGTTGATAATTTGTATTCTTATGTAATATTTTACATCAGTTCCTTCCCATATATTCCTGATTAGTTCCACAGTCCATTTATCATTAGTAAATTTCCTCCTTTACTTCTTCCTTTATCTTCGCTTTGATCTCTTCCTTGATCTCTTCCTTGATCTCCACCTTTATTTCGTTTTCTACTTCATCTTTAATGATAACTACATCCAGATGATTCGCATTGTCAATGATTTCTTGTTCCACTTTTACATGGCTACCATTTCTCCCGATTTTAGATTCAACAACTTGCACATTTGGTGAAAATTTAACAGATACAGGATTACTTATCGTTTCTATCTTGATTTCAGGTAAGTTCTCCTCTGGCCCATCACGAACTTGTTCATCAAGAGTTTCCAAAGAAATTCCAATTAGTGCTCCTAAAAATATTTCAGCAGCTGGTTTGGACATGACCAACATCATTTCTTTACAAAACCCAGCAGCAACACATAAAGGACAACCCCAATCACATTCACAATCTCTTACTCGGATGTATGTTGCATAAAGAATCTCATCAATATGTTCGAATGTTTTCGCTGAAACCCCTGTACCTTGTTGACCACCCTTTGAATCGTGGAATATCAAGCGAGGAGGTCTTTTCCTTTTCGATTGCCTCTGTGCAAATTCTTTCTCCGGAGCTTTGCATTCAGTTTTTAATTCAGCCTCGCCTATGCTGGAATTGAACCTAACGTTTGGGTTGGTTGTAGCTCCTCCACTAATGAAAAGTGGTAATATGTTCATCAACGCATGTTGAGCAGCATGAATCCCTGCAGCAGGATTCAATTTCTTTTCTAAAACTAATTCAATAGCTTTAGTTGGGATGTCCAACCAAAATCCCTTGGAGACCATCCTCATAGGTGGATTCTTAACCTCAACTGCTTCTAATATTTCAGCTCTACGATTAACTTTGAAATATCCAAAAACGACAGTTACTATTTCAATTTTCCCGTAAAAAACTGGAGTATCATTACTTGAGTTACTGTCTTTTGTCTGAAGTGAATCAGGAGGCAGTAGACATTTAACAAATTCTATTTCGATAGGATCTACGTCAGTGAAATCACGCTGTTGGGTAAGCCACTCAACATTTACCCTTTCAACCTTTGCAAAATGATTTCTAGAATCAAACTCCTTTACCAAATAAGGAAGGCCCTGATGTAAAAAAATGGCACCTTCGTAAAGTGTGAAGCTTGTCCTCAGAGCTTCGACTTCTTCTATTACTACATTTTTTCCATTAGTAGTGTCAACTACCGCATAATTCGTTTCCTCAACGGCTCTTATTGATACATGATCAGCTGGCCATGGGAGAAAACTTGGATGAGTTCTATATTTTCCCCTATCATCCTTGTAAAGTTTATCCCTACAAGATTTTACAAATTGATTGCTTTGATTACTACCCAAGGAAGTATTGGGAACAAACCAATCTATATCCTTGAGCAAGTCTATTGGAAATTCAAAAGCAGCACATTGTAAATGCATTTCCATAATTAACATCTTCAGGTCCAGGTCAATCAAGCCAGCAACGCACAAGTCTTCATATGAATCCCTATTGTGTAATTCACCAGGGTTCTTCTTGTAGTAATCATCCACAGGTGTGCTACCACAAACATACAAAGCTAAGCTATTACTTTTTGCAGATCTGCCTGCTCTACCTATTTGTTGATGTAGATTCAGTTTCAGCCTAGGGAAACCACAAGATATCACAACATCTAATTCAGCTAAATCGATACCTAACTCAAGAGCATTTGTTGCAATGATAGCTCTTAGTTTACCCTCGAACATCCTCAGTTCTATTAGTCTTCTATCACTTTTGGAGTAACCACCTCTGTAAGACATTACATCATGCCCAGATACAGGGAAAGGAGCATTCTTGTTGAAATTTGAAGTCAATAAAAGTCGAATTTCCCTCATTAAATATTCACAAACTTTTCGAATGGGACAGAAGACTATAATCTTTATTGAAGGGAAATGGGTAAGCAAATGAATTAAAACTCTGGCCAGCTCAGGAACAATATTCTCACGAGGTACGAATGGATTAACAATTGACAGAGAATTAACAGTCAAATCTTTATTTTCGTTCAACGAACGTCGCTGTTCAATCATTCCTTGTTTATTCATCAATGCTGGAGGATTCCACATCAATAACATCTTGTCTCCACAGGGACTTCCATCTTCTGACACATGGATGGTCTTATCATGTCTAGTAGACAAGCCACATATAATCCTGAAATGGTCCACAGGATTCAAGATTGTGGCCGAACATGATATGTATTGAAGCTTTTCTTTGATTTTTTGTTCCTCCTGTTGCTTCAAAATGTGAACCAATCTATTCATTCTCCGCATTACATAACTAACATGTACTCCAAATGTTCCTTTATATACATGAATTTCATCAATTACCACAAACTTAAGTGATGTGAGAAATTCAGTCCATCCGGAGTCACTCACTCTACTGTGATTTGGAAGTATCGAAGCATGAATTGTATCGGGATTAGTAAATATAATATCAGCATATTTCCGTATTTGACGCCTTTCATTATTAGGAGTATCTCCATCGTAAGTATCAACTATTATCCTTCTCCTAATATTGATTTCTAGATGGTCAATAAGTTCTTGTAGATGTCTTTTTTGATCTTGAGCCAAAGCCTTTGTGGGGAAAATAAAAAAAGCAGTAGTCTTTCTACTAGTTAAACCTTTTCCCAGTCCATCAGATTCAGTGATATCCCAAAGAATACGATTTAAAATTGGAATTTGATAAATAAGGGATTTTCCTGAACTAGTTGCTGTACTGACAATAACATGATTGGTTTGGGATTCAAACAAGCTCTTTATTGCTTTAACTTGGTGGATGTACAAACCTCTTTCGATTGAAATATTTTTATACTTCTTTAAGGCATCTATTAGATCAGGATGTAGAAGAGTTGAATGATTTTCATCCTCTGTTTCTACTTTCAGGTCAAACTCAGGGAACTTACCAAAAGTTGGGTCTCGTGCCTCTGTCAATAACTTTTCATGTATAATCTGGTCCTTATAGAATGGTTCTAACTTTAGCACTTCTACCATTTGATCTACAGTTGGCTTTGCAGATGAGCTTGGCAACTCGTATGACACATCAGTCGAAAGTAAATCAATCGGGTCTTCGAACACTTGTTCTATAGGTATCTTTTTCTTACATGATTCCACTAAAAAATCAATGGAGTCAGGTAAATGTGAATGCCTTTCTAAGAAGTTCAGAAAACAATCCTTGAATTTTTTATTTCTCGATACAATGATTGCCAATAATTGCTTCTGAGTTAAGTTTTGCATGCTTAGTTCTTTGCAAGACAAAAAGAACTCATTATTCACTACTTGCTCTCTGTCTTCGTTCTTCTTCGCCTTTTTCCGTCTTGGAAGCATTGCAGCACCAATTCCATGAGTCTTAACGTCCTTAAAATCAAATATAAGTAGCTGAGAAGGACGCTTATTTGCATTATTATGATGGTTCGCGTCATGAGTGGCAACATGTTCGTATGAATCGTCAACTGTTTCACTCATAGTTTGTTTATAGCCAGAATTCCAGCTATGCTTCACTTTCTCTTTGAGAGACGTTAAAACCTGGTTCTCATCTACATATGTAAACGTGACATCATCATTTGGTAGTATTTCTTTTATTATTGTTAAATCGAGAACGGTGATACTCGGATTTAACTTCTGCAATAGTTCAAACGTTGGGATCGTTGATCTAGAATGTGATGATAGAAAGGTAAGGTGGGTGTTTATTTGGTTGAATATCTTGAACAAGTAAGAACTTGTAATTTTATCAGCAGGTCGTTCTGATGGCGTTGACATTTAATTGCTCTGGGTGGCATCGCCTAGTTTCTCAGAAACGATTTGATAATAGGAATGCTATATCCACTTAAAGAACTATATGATCCAGCTTTCTGATTTCCTATCAATACTTCACCGAAGGTAGCACCAACTGCACTTAGCCTGCAAACTATATACCTGGTTATCTTCTACCACTTAATTGAAGTCCAAACCCTAGCCTGTTCTGTTGAAGAAGAAGCCGTGTGATCTTAATTTTCCATATGCACCTTTTGAGTGAGGGTTGCAAAAACGCAGTGCCTCGATCCACTACGTCATGGGGAAAATCGAAAGCAAATTAGCAACCAATGAGTATAAAAAGGCTGTATCGTCGGGTTAAATTTATTCTTTGCAATTGAGCTTCTTTTATTATCAAAATATCGATATTTTATTCATTTTCTGGAAATGTTTGATAAATTCAAGCTCAAATCAAAGGCAGGCAATGTGCCAAAAGCGGATCCTCCTTTTAGGAAGGGCCAATCGCTTGATAAGAAGCAAATCTACAGATCAAGGCAAAACTTTGGAGTAAACTTCGGTGGGTGTTTCGTATTAGAGAAGTGGATTTTCCATGATATCTTTCCGGAGGGAACGGACTGTGAATTGCAGGCCGTAAAGAAGTTGATCAAAGATAAGGGGGCAAAAGAAGCGCAGCAGAAGTTTGAAGATCATTGGAGCAACTTTATCTCAGACAATGATTGGAATTGGTTAAAAGATCACAAAGTAACTAGCGTAAGAATACCACTAGGGTATTGGGAAGTAGATGGAGGAAAGTATACAAAAGGTACGAAATTTGCTTCGTACGCTTCAGTCTATAAAAATGCTTGGAATATCTTGAAGAAGAAATTTATCGAACCAGCAGGACAAAGAAACATTAGTGTACTCATAGATATCCATGGATTACCAGGCGGAGCCAATGGTGCAGATCACAGCGGTGAGCAACCCGGAGGTGGTAAAGCTACATTTTGGGACAACGAAGAGTATCAACTTTTAATGTGTGACTTATTCGAATTTGTAGCCAAGGACTTATCAAACGTGGAGAATATTGCTGGAATTCAAATTGTCAATGAAGCTGAATTTGCTAACGATCCAAAGAAACAAGCTAGATACTACGGTGCTGTCATTTCTCTGATTCGTTCTCATGACAAAGGCGTTCCAATCATAATCTCCGATGGTTGGTGGCCTGACCAATGGGTCAAATGGGTGCAATCCACTCAAGGTAATGGCACCATAGGTGTGGTAGTTGATGCACATTGTTACAGATGCTTTTCCGATGACGATAAAAAGAAAGCACCACCTCAAATTATTTCAGACTTAGATAAGGATTTATTAACTAATTTGACTCAGGATGGTAAGGGCGTGGATTTCATGGTAGGTGAATACTCCTGTGTCTTAGATGGAGATCTGTGGAATAGAGATGGTGCTAATGATAAAAGGGACGATTTGGTTATTCAGTACGGTAGAAAGGAGTTGGATCTTTTCAACAAAAGAGCAAACTTTGGCTCCTATTTTTGGACTTTCAAGTTCCAATCAGGAAACGGTGGAGAATGGGACTTCAAAACAATGGTAGACAAGGGAGCCATAAACCCTCCTAAGTCATTGAGTGCAGGTGCTGGAAACCTCGATGAGAAATTGAAAGGTAATTTAGAAGCTCATTCAAATTATTGGAATCAACAAAACTCCCATGAAAAGTATGAACATTACCGTTATGAAGATGGTTTTAGAACGGCATGGCAAGATGCTTCGGAATTTGCTAAGTTTGATGGCTCGAAACTTGGAAGAATAGAGGCTTGGAAAGCTGCAAGAGTTGCTGAACATATTCTGGCCAAGGGTGATCTGAAACACATCTGGGAGTGGTACCAGGGATTTGATAAAGGTTTGGAAGAATTTAGCGCTGCAAGCTAGACTTCATTGATTAGTAAAATGAAAAGAAGGTGGTGAAAGTCCACAAGACATTAACAGCTAAAAATGGAAAAAAGAAAAAAATGAAGAACAAGCTACAAATATATATAAAAAGCAGATGCCAAAAATATTCCTTTTGTTTTCATTTTCTAAATCCCTTTATAATTATTCTATATGCCACTAAGAAGAATGTACGTTAAGCTTCATAGTCATTTGATGATCACTAATTTGCACCCATGTTCCTGTATATAGCACGGTGCATCACTTATCGATTCTCCAAGCAATTAGCCTTGGTCCTACCTAAAGTTTATAAGCAGATCGACAATAATAGCCAAGCTATTAATAATATATATATTGACATATTGTTCATTTTGATTGAAGAACCCATTACTTATATACTGTATCATATAGAACCGGGGTTACTTTTTATCTCCTCACAAAAGATGGCTTATCAATTTAGTCTGCCTACTGATCTACAACTGATCTCTCTAAAGCTAGCTAATGAACTTCAGGCAGGAGCTTCAGGAAAAGCCACCAGAATAATAGGATTCCAAGTAACTTTGCTTGAAATTTTTGATCATGAAATCAAAAAGAACTCCAAATTGGGCTATTGTGATTATGAGTTGGCATTTATTTGCTTTGATGTGACGGTGGCGTTGTATCACATGAACAAGAGCCTGACTGCAGCAAGAACAGAAGCGTTGATCCAGTCAGTGAAAGAATTGATTGATAAGAAGGCTTTTGATTTCGATAACATTAAGAATTATCTCGAAGAGCATGCAAAAGATGACGCTACCTCAACTGTATCGAAGATTTCTGAGGACTTGCTTCTTCAGAGATTTCAAAATCTTACTGCTGACAAGGTAACTCCTAAAGTGGATAAAGTACCCACAATGGCACAATCTTCTACCATTCAATCTATATTGGAGACTTTTAAATACAACGAGTGCATCACCTCGAAGCAGTTACATGATATACTTGCTAATAAACAATTCACTGGCCGAGTACTTCTCATAGATTATAGAACAAGAAAGGAATTCGACTATAATCATATTAATTTCGTTGACCTTGTGCAGATTGATCCCTCGTGGGTAAACGGACTAGAAATGGGTAGTGGTGATAAGGAGCTTACTGACCAAGACCTAGAGCAAAGGCTTAAAATGTTAATGCCCGAGGATCAATTCAAAAAATTTCAAAAACGGTCTCAGTACGAGTTAGTAGTTATATACAACTTAAAGTACGGACCCACTGAATGGTTCACTGCCCAGCATAAAAATAAAAAGTTTGAGATTCTACAGAGTCTGCTACTCAATGGAGTTGTAAGTGGGATTCCTAGCAGCTCACCTTTCACTAAGTTGATTGACTTCATTACATTTAGAAACAAATACCTTAGTTCAAGACTAAAGCGCCATCCAGTATACTTGGGTGGCGGAATCTCTTTTTGGTTTGAAGAATTTGGTGCTGAATCCATTACCAAGACCAGCATCGGAATAAACGGTGGAAACGGGAGTCAAAACGGTAACTCTGATGTCGTTGCCCTTTCGAGACCGGAGGCGTCAATGAGTAGAAGTGGACTGTATTCATCTCCTTCGATTAATTCGCACTCTTCCCGAAGAAGCAGTTATAATGGTGGGACTGGTCAGATGAATATAAACCTGCTGGATCTCACCAGATCATCATCTCCCTATTTGAAGAACTTCAGCGATTATATATCCACTGCAACCTCTACTGGGACACCCCTTTCGATGCCCCTCACTAGTAGCGTGCTAGATTCAGAATCTGGTACACCATACTACGGCGCAAATCTGAAATATGAGACCCCGAAATACTATGGAAATGCTGCAAGCCAGTCATCTACTGTGATAATTAATAACGATAGAAGAAATAACAGTTCTTTAAGTCAGCTGATATCAAGTACCCCAGTACTCAACTCGGCTAACCTAAGTCAGTATACACCCTCATCAGTTCCGTCTACTTCTGTGAATTCACCTAAATTTAAGGATTCATCACCTGTTTCTTCACCGAAGCCTATAGTTCTGTCTCAGTCAACTATATCTCCTATAAGGTTTCTTGAGCAATATGCCACTGGTTTGACAAATTTGGGAAATTCCTGCTATATGAATTGTGTTCTCCAATGTCTTGGAGCAACACCTCAACTCACCAGCTTTTTCTTTCCAACATTGTTGAATGCCCCTAAGGATCCTTCTTCAGATTCCTCGGCCATTCAAACATCGTATCGCAGGCACATTAATGTAAACAATAAATTAGGCTCAAAGGGTATTTTGACGACCAACTTTGTTACCTTGTTGACGAATATGTTTTCTAACAATGGTAAATTCTTTACTCCAATGAATTTTAAAAAGGTGATCGGATCCTTGTCGCCTGGAGGTCAATTTGCTTCATTTGATCAACAAGATTGTCTTGAGTTCTTGAATTTTATTCTTGATGGATTACACGAAGACTTAAATCAAATGGCTATAAAGGACCCTAAAGAAAAACAAGCCATAATGGAATTGACTGCAGAACAAGAGAAAACAAGGGAATTCCTCCCTGTCAGATTGGCATCTACCATAGAGTGGGAGAGATATTTGAAATTGAACTTTTCGGTTATTGTAGATTACTTTCAAGGTCAGTACCTATCTCAATTGAGATGTTTGGAGTGTGGGTTAACATCAACGACATATAATGCGTTTCAAATTTTATCATTGCCTATACCAGAAAAGTTAGGAAGCAACACTACAATCACATTAGATGACTGCTTGAAAGAATTCGTTAATACTGAATTGCTTGACAACAATAATAAATGGCATTGCCCTAGATGTAAAAAGTTTACTAAACTGACAAAGAAAATAAGTATCACAAGATTGCCCCAGGTTTTGATTATTCATTTCAAAAGGTTTAAAATCTCGCCTCGTACCGGATACATGGATAAGATGAATAACATGATAAATTATCCAGTTAATGATGTCTTGGATTTGACATCCTATTGGCCCGAAGTGGGAACAACGATGTTGAATCAAGATCCTAGCCATTTGATGCCAAAAGAAAAGGAACAGCAAATATTGTCTACTTTACCCACTAGGAATCAAAAACCTCCATTTAGGTACAAGTTGTATGGTGTGGTGAACCATTTCGGTACTTTGTCCACGGGCCACTACACTTCATATGTATACAAAGAGAGTGACGCTAAAAATAAGAGAGGATGGTGCTATTTCGATGACGCTAAGATCACCTACAATTGTAAAGAGAGTCAAGTATTGACCCCAAGTGCTTACTGTTTGTTCTATGAAAGAATATAGATAAAGTAAACAGGTATATACCTATGACATTAGAAAAGTGGTTTTTTGGCATACATGATAATTAAAACATTCATAGACAATATAGAGTAAAACTAAAAACTTATAATATAATGCATTTAATTAACTTTACTTAAGTGATGAATTGTCATATAAATGGAATTGCGGTCCTATAGGATTCTCTCTGCCTTCTGCTGCTCTATTACTCGTATGTTTGGATGATTTCCGACGACACCTCGGCTCATTCCCATCCATAGCCAATCAACCTTTGTTTCCTGATTTACATGTATGTCAGCCTTGAAGCCCTCCACGAAGCTTCTGTCATTTACTGTAATGTTGGAAGTGAAATTAATAAACTCATTGAAAATAGTAATTGAAGACCAAAACTGGAGTTTTCGAAGGCATGCTACAACCAAACTAGTAACTTGCCCACCGTTGAAACAATGTATGTAAATCGGAGAGTTTTCTGAGTGAATAAAGTATTGTAAAGCTTCTACTATAACCCCGTATTCTAGTGGAACGCCTCTCTTTTTACCTTTACCCAGCTTTGTACACTCTAAATGAACCAAATTTATTCCATTATTATGTGCAAATTCAAATAACTGCAGATCTGTCTCCTCAGTTATCGGTTCTGGGGTAAGCGATATTATAGTTTTTAATTTTAGTGTTAAAAGAAATGGGTAATTGATCTCCCGTGGGTAAGCCCCTCTATAAAGATTGGATTGGATGGAATTAAATTTTAAAGGAGGTATAAGAGGATCTGGAATAAGGTATGTCATGTTGTTGCACATGTACGATCTTACGGCCCTAAAGAAAGAAGACGATTAATCCGTAAAGCAAGAAATCTGCAATTCTGATATTCTGATATTCAGATATTCGCATACTCGAGAAAAAAATATTAGTACTAATTTAGTTAAGTAAGGTAAAAGGTACCGAGCAAAGAAAAGCAAGGTACATCTAGCGCTTAGATCAACTACGTTTAGTAAATTGGGACAAAATATTGCAGACTACTACTATGTGTTCCCTCATGAATCATAGATGTTTTTTCGTATTAATTATTATTATTTAACTGGTACTATGTTTACTGGTATTATTATATATATTATTACTACTATCATGATGTACTTTAAATTGTTATTAGTAGTACTCTCACTAGTGTATTGTTATCAATCCTTCTATTTATTAACAATGATATCCTCATTTACTCATTATGGAAGCTGGGGTTTTTTACAGTCCTCTACATTAACTTCCAATACATCCTTAATACTCCATCTTGGTGGTTGACCAGGAACCTTGCTTCCTCCGGCGATTCCACTACTATACTTCAAGAAAGCTAAGTCCCCGACATAGGAGAATTTCTCTAAAACGTAGTCTAAATCCTCTTTAGTTAATGCTGAACTAACACAAAGTCTTACTCTAGAAGTGGTCAATGGGGTGGCAGGGTAGCCGACAATGACAACAGCAATTTTCATGGAGTACAACACTCTTGATACAACAGGCATTTTTGCTGGGAAAAACAACAACACTGGTATAACAGGTGAGTCATCAGCACCGTAAACAATGAAACCTAATCTCTTTAAACCTAATCTTAAATATCTCGAATTAAATGCAATTCTTTCCAATCTTTCCTTTCCTTCACCAGGATTCAATTTACCCTCGATAATTCTTAACGATGATATTATCTGAGCCAACACTGGGGGAGGAACACTTTCACTGTAATTGTTTGTAATGTACGTCAATCTCAATTTTTCTATTATAGGTTTAGAACCAGCAATGTAGCCTCCAGTGGCACCAAATGATTTGGTGAATGTACCCATTAACAAATCAATCTTTGAAGGTGAAACTTGGAAGTAGTCACAAATACCCCTACCGTTTGGCCCCAAAGCGCCAATGGAATGTGCTTCATCAACAAACAAATAGCACTTGTATTTTTCCTTTAATTCGATCAATTTAGGTAAGTTACACATGTTTCCTTCCATAGAATATAAACCTTCAACTGCAATTATGATTTTCTTCCATGGTCTATGGGTCTTTGGTTGTCCTTGAGAGATCTGCTGTCTCAACAAAAACTCCAATGCGTCCATATCATTATGCTTGAAAACTTTAACTACTGCTCCTGATAATCTGACACCAAATCTGATAGATGCGTGGTTCAATTCATCACTAATAACAAGACACTTGGAGTCAGCTAAAGACGAGAACAAACTAGCATTAGTACCATAACCTTGACTTACAATGATAGCAGCTTCCTTGCCTACAAAATCTGCAATGACTTGTTCTGTTTCCAAGTGCAAATCAGTGGTACCCACGTACAGTCTTGGAGAGCACGCTGAAGTACCGTATTTGTCAATGACATCTAGAGCCAGGTCTGTACATACACCCAGGGATTGTGCAAATCCCAAGTAGTTGTAAGACGATAAATTTAAGCATTCCATAGACTGTCCAGTGAATTCGTACTCACCTTTCCCCAATGCTCTTCTTTCAAATAATTTGATGTAACGACCAGGAGCGCCATGGATAGGTCTAGCAAAACAATCATCGATTCTTAGTTTCAAACGACGGACGTAAAAATTTTCAAATCCATCATACCACGGAGCATATCCGTTCTGTTCAATCAAGTCTTGGTAATCTTGCGGTTTGAACACTTTACCGAAAGCATCCCTTATGTGACCAATAATAATTAAAATAAGGTAATTGACGTAGGTAGCAATGTAAATATAGTAAGGAGGTTCATCTTCTATCGGTTCAGGCAATGGTTCGCCGGCAGCATGCTTGGAAACGTACAAGTATTTCTTGTTGGTTAATTTTCCATACTCAAGTTCATCCTGAATTTGTTGTGGCCTGTCATCTGGGGGAGCATTTGGAATGAATCTACTCATGATATATTATCCAATCTATTTTTATCTTTCTTTCGTTATTCCGTTCTTTGTTTCCTTGTTTCTCTATCTAAAGGTCTGTCTAATCTCTATGATATTCTACTTTGATTAATTTTATGCTTTATTTTATCTTTTCTTTGAATGAGTATTACTAAGTGTGTACACTGAACTTTACAGTTCTTTAGTATGCAATTGATAAAGGTGAGTTAGGCTGAGCTACAAATCAAATATTTTATACACGAATACAAAACACACATATATATACTAGATAAGTGTCTGGTATATATATATATATGTGTGTGTATATCTATAAAATATAGGTGACTTCAATCTATACGTAAGAGAAGATTGACCAACAGGAAAAGAAAATCACAGCCGGAAGCAAAATCGAAAACAAAAACGAAAACTCCAAGCTACCGAAAAAAATAAAAAGCTGAAAAAAAAAAAAAAAAAAAAAAAAGGAGATTCAACGATGGTGTTTACTACTATAGCATGCGGATATAATACGTTCAGTTTGTATTGATGTTCCGTCGTGTGTATGTTAATGTGCGGCGCCATGTTCCAAACGCGTCCAGAGGGAAAGAAAAGCAGAGAAGGAGAGGAAACAATACTACTGAAAGCAGTATGTGGGAGAAAGCGGAAGGAAGATGCCATGGTTTGATAATACGGGCCCTTAGTGCATTGAAATATGTTCACTTGGATAGAAGTTGCTTGGTGGTGTTAAGCATCTGGTCAAACTCTATCTGAAATAGAGCAATTCCAAACTTTATTTTCTGTCTTTTTTTTTTTTAGTTGTATGTGTTCTTGTGCTCTCTGCGCTGGAGCAGTAGAAATAGGGGAAGTGGTATATGCAGGTCATGTAGGTAGAGATTTCTTTTTCAGCTAGTGCTTAAGGTTGCAACAATTGCAACCAAACCAATGGAACCTACCATGCGATAGCAGTATGCCCTGAACTGCAATTGTGTCTTGCCATCAGTCTCAATCTGGCAAAACAAGTTCTTACTTTTTCTAGTCTGCATAACTATTTTTTTCTTTTTTGCACTTGATTTTGCATCTGATTTTGAATTTGATTCTTCACTTCTCCCCAGCTCTTAAGCTTGTGTTCCATGAAGGAGCTCAGTCCGCATGGTGGAATAATAGTAGGTGGGTATGCCGGTACATTTCATTTTCGAACCTGAACATTGAGCCATTTGAACTTCAATAAATACTAAGGTTTGTAACAACTTAATTGGTCAGCTGCTTACAACTGCTACAATGACGATGAGTGCAGGTAAGACACCTTTCGGGCATATGTATACAAGTTAGGTCATCCTCAAGATTTGTTCAAAGCTGAACCTATGTCGAATAAGTCAGCCACGTACATCTCTATAGAAACTTCAAGATAACTAACTAAACAGGTTTGAAAGTAGTGAATAAGTATATAACGATTTACACTAATTTGCAATCTTCTAGACGTTTACATGCCGAGTGCTTCAGGAAGAGTACGGAAGAGGACACAATGAGTGAGAATTATCACGCATCTTCGCTTTCATTGCGATTTATTATTCATATATACTCACCTATTAGGCAAAGGCAGCTTGACTTTTCGTATTTCTATTTTCGTATTTCTATTTACTTATTGTTTCCGCTTCTACACTCAGATATATTCTTCAATATCGTAAGGCTTTCCATTGCCTCTGAGCTTGATAACGTATTCACAGGCGGGAAGTTCCCAGTCGATGTGGCCAATTGAAAGAACGGTCATATCTCTCCAACTGGAAACCAACGCATGACATCTATGCATAACTTCTACATCGTCCATGCACGAAAAAGCTTCATCTAAGATAAGAATTTCAGGGTTCTTCACAGATGCACGAAGGAATAGGGCCAATTTTTGATCAGAGACCAGCAAGTCATGGAATGGTGTGTCCCTGTATTTGTCTAACCTGTCACTAAACTTGGAAAGTAAGTCCACTGCAAATGGAGTTAACTTGTCGTTCTTGGCAACAAACATAAAGTTGGAATTTCCTACATCATTACTCAATCCAGTCATAATAATTTGCATCATTGTCTTGTTCCCTGGTACAAGTGCGTGCAACTCTGGAGATGAAATACCAATTTTATTGTTGATATCGAAAAACGAAGATCCTGATCCTGTCTTACGGACCTTTCCGTCAATGGCCAACACAGATTTCCAAGATTGAGGATGATCTGCAGTTATCAACGACAAAATCGTAGTCTTTCCGGTCCCATTGTTACCAAGAATCCTCCATTTCGAACCACGAGGGACTGCCCAATTGAAATCTTGAAGCACAGGCACAGATTTGTACACCACAGAAGCATTATTGAATTCTATATGAGGTGATCCTGTCTTTTTAAGCTGTTCGTTAGTGATTGACTTGGACTCCTTATTTCGATTTGAAACAACTTCTTCTTTTTTGTAGATTGACTTCACCGCATCTGAATCTTTTTCTGTGGCTATTTCTAACCCATCGTTATCAACATAGCCTACATGGGATATCCACTCTGGTAGTTTATCCTGAACCCTTAATCCAAGCACCACACCGATCCCAAACTGTTTTACGACCTTGGAGATCGAGTTGGACACTCTAACAGTTGCTTCAGGATCCAAACCCAAGAATGGATCGTCAATAATCAACAAACTTGGCTTGTTAATCAAAGATTTGGCGATTCGGGCCCTTCTCAATTGCCCATTGGACAAAGAATTGATCCACTTATCCTTCAAATGCTCCAAGTCGAAAAACCTGAGCAAGTGTGCTATATACTCTGCAGACTTCTCCTGATTGGCATCGACAGCAGTGTTGCTATTGTAATTATTTGCTCCAGTAATATAGTTTTGCACCGAGTTTACATCATCGCTCATTTCCAATTCTCCCTTATATGAAAAAGATTCGTACCTAGCAGAAAGGTGTACCTTATCCAAACCAGAAGATTCGGAAAAGTTCAAAAACTGAATTTTGTCATTATAGTTGAAATTATGTTCTGCAAAGTAAGGAAATGTTCTTGCTAGAGGTGGTGTAGATATGTAATGACCAGCAGCTATTTTCAAAAATGGTGTTTTTTGAGGTCCGGTGATTGCCCAATATGATGGAAGCTTGGAGTCATTGGGCGAGTATATTTCAAATGATTCTATCTGTTTGCTAAAGACGTACTTGGTGTGGCTTGGTTTAACATGCCTCGATGACAGGAAAAGGCCATCTTTAATCCGCACTAAGCATTGATGCACTTTCGTCATGGTCCCCGCTGCCTATCTATCTAGTCAATGAGCTGAAAAGCAGTGATATATCTATATGTCTTGTATATATATGTACAGAAGAATGTCCATGCATGGACTCTATCAAAATTCTGCGGCCCGACATGAAAAATTCGAGATCCGAAAGACCTGTCAAAAGAAACAAAGTAGAGTCGATGAAATTACATCCTACCTACTCAAAGTATATGTAGTATACTTCTTATATCAATTACCGTCCGCGTGAACTTATGTGTCTTTTAATTGAGTTTCTTTAGACATTCTTTCCTAGGTTACTTACCATATCTTCAGCCGTAGGGTTCCAGAAGCACTTCTCCAGGTTTTCATAGTATTCGGTCCTGCATACACGCGCTGCCCTCATTCCATTTTTCTGGCTTGACTCGCCTGGTGTCCTCCTTCATCTTGGCACGAACTTGAAAGTACACAGCTGGCTTCTTTACCCGTTTCCTGTGTAAACATTCCAGAGGTCACAATGGAATATATTGAACCTTCTCAAACGCCGGTTCCAGAGGCCAAACCTGAAGATAAAGATGCTGTCAATGTAAAAACTGAAGAAGCAGTCCACTCAATTGAAAATGAGATTGCAAAGACTTACAATGTTGTTGAGTCGCAAGTCTCGGGCCTTTGGCTGTCAGCATCCAAAAATGCCAATGAATTGCAAGAAAAATACAAGTTGGAAGAGCGCAGAAAGCAATTGTTATCGCTGCTTAATAATGCTACCACCTCCATCAATGAAAAAGCAAAGATTACCGAAAATATCCACCAAATTGAAGACCAATTGAAGAATTTGACCAAGCAAGTTGATTTCAAGAACTTACAAAGTCAAGCCAATAATGCATTAGACAAGCTTGATTCTAAGTTGGAGATAGTTGAAAAGGAGGCGGTTAAGTATGCTTCGCAATTTGCTTCTTTCTTTTCTGGGATTGTAAGTGTAAACCCAGTATCAACCAAGACTGACGATGACTTGACCCAAGGAGAAACATTATTTGATAGAAATGTAGTCTCCCAAAACTATGGTAACTCTCGTTACGACACCGAAATATATAAGTTACACACCACACCTTCATATTACTTGGAAGATGATGGCAGCGATGCCGCCGAACTTAAGGATTTCCAAGTTGACCTGAAGACCGAGGAGATTGCAGGTTTACTTTCGAAGTACCCAGATACCTTGGAAAAGTTAATGAACAGTTTAGTTCCAGTCAAGGCGACCTATGAGCTGTTCTGGTTCCGTTACTTCAAAGCTGAGCTGAAATTGAAGGAATCTGAGGCTAAGAGGAAGGAGTTGCTCAGTAAGAAGAAGAAGAGTGAGGAACTGAAGGGTGACAACGGTGCCGACGAAGACGACGAGGATGACGACGAAGAGGAGTTTACTTGGGATGACGATGAAGAAGAAGACGAAGATGAAAGTGACAAGAAGAAATGAAAAGATCCCTATACTGGAAGTAATGGCAGTAGCTAGACTACACGGTTTGTCTTTTTTTTTTTTTCCAACAGTTTTCGATAATCTCTTCAAGGAGGGGCAAGGTATCCAGGGTCCTGTTTGACACTTGTTTCATGTCTTCTTCCAATGTATCACTCTCGCATTAACCGGGCCACTTTTCTTGTTGTTGTTATTGTCCCCACAATTAATTTTTAGGTTGCGTTTGAAATAGGTAATTGTTCGTTTTATATATTTATGTGTTTGTAATTCCTTCTATGGTTTGTAGTCCATGCATAGTGTCTCATCTGCGATTGTCTTTTTAGCGCTTCCTTTTTTTGCTCAAGCGTGCGACTTGTTTTATTTTTTTTCTAATTGCTAATCGATTTGTAGATAGGTACTGCTTTATGTCATATCCTTATAAAGCATTGACGTCGTTAAGTTGGATTTGATTTGAATACAACATCGACGCGGAAAACTATCCAGAATTAAATTGTCAAAGAGAAAATATTCATAAGTTCTTTGACATCTTCCCATCTATTAATCGGTTTTCTTCTGAGGATAGCTTTATTTAGCTGACATAAACGCTTGCACCTTACAACCATTCAGGGGATACATATTAGAGCAAGCTAGAAATTTAATGAACACACCATGCGTAGTGCTATGAGTTCTATAAAGAGTCCCACTGGGATACATCCCCATAGCAACCCACTTAGCGGATCTGGGACCACCTCGTCATCAACATCCAGTGTCCACAAACCAAGTAGCAAGCAGCTTCATAGTGGAACGGCACTGTCCAACCATGCAACTACTCCTCTGACCCCCACCATTACAACTAGTAATCATGGCCATCCCGTGGGTGGCCACTCAGTTGGTGGACATTCAATTGGAAGCAACCCACAATCCTCATCTAAATTGTACCACACTGCGCCTTCATCCGCTGTACCCTCACAAACATCCTCAACTCGTAGGATCTGGATCAAAAGAGTAGGCGGTACTCCAACGACGCTCACAGTTACCAAATCAGACATAATCGATGACTTGAAGTCATTGGTACTTCAAAAATTCGCTAATTCTCTTGGAAGAAGCTTCGACTCTGCAGACCTCATTTTAAAAATGGACTTACTGTCTAGAGTGCCCACGAATATCAATTCAAGTAACGCTAAGAAGAGTACCACAATTGGCTCAGGAAGCTCCGGAAAATTGTCACCTGAACCGCCTAGAAGCCGAGCTTCTTCAAATTTGAGCAACCATCCTAATAGAAGCTCAAACACCATCAATAACAACGTCAACAACAACGCTAATAATTACTCCTTTATTAACCTTGAGCCTGATCAAAACGTATGGACTATTTTGGAGCAGTATTACCCTCATGGAATGGGAATGTCTGAATGTCTTATAGTTGATACTCCAGATCAACCTGAGATGATATACGGTCAACTTCAACCAGCCGACTTCGGCTTGCAACAGCGCCACTTACAATATGGGAATTACGACCATTCTCAGCTCCAGCCCCAACTCCAGCAACAACAGCAGCAACGACTGCAAATTCAATCAACAGGACAAGAGCACCAGACATCATCCCACTTAGTTAAACCTCCGGCCTTCCCCGTTGATCAGAGCAACAGTACTGCCAATCTGTCTGCTGGCAACACTCCACTTTACTATCAGCCAAAACCACAAAACCTTTATTTGAACAAGTCTCTTGCAAGTGGCAGTCAGGGAAGTAATTCCATACTCGATTCCATCGGTAAGGACAGGTCTATCTCACCCTCAACTTTGAACGGTACTTCACCTCTGGGACACCACAGAAGGGCGCACTCTAACCCACCTCAATCTCCCTTACACTACACCGGTAACCAACATCATAGTAATAACAGCAATAATAATAGCTCCAGTAATTCAAATCCTAACCAAGCAATTTTGCTTTTGCCGAAGAATTTTTCATTGACCTCAGGAAATTCTTCAGTGTCTCAAGATAATAACAACAACAGTTCAGATAAGAAGAGGATGTCATTTGATGACGGCTACTTGAGAAGAAATAGGAATTTATCTCTTAAGCCAAGCCATCTGGGAACCAACATCACCAATATAGGCATGGGAATCACGTCCCCAACTTCAAATAATCTGATATCTTATGTGTCTATTCCTGAGAATGGTAATTTCAAAAGCCCAGATCAGCTTGAATTCAGCAAGAAGTTGAATGATACAGAAACCTCAGAGAAAGACACTAAATCTCTTCAACCGATAAAGAATCCCCTGGTAAAAGAGCAGACTGACTCTAACAAGGAAGCAAAGGCATCTAAACCGGGTAAAGCGGAAGAAGAACAGAAGAAGTTATCGCTGGCACAACTGGCTAAGGAGAATTTGACTAGCGATAATTCACAATCGAAAAATGGAGTAAAGGCTTCAAAACCAGCTACTTCTTCCACTTCAAAGTCAAGTAACCTTCTTAGCATCCAAGCATCAGATTCAAAGAGCAATCTCCATACCAATAGCAATAATAATTCTAACAGCAATCAATTCAATGTGAAGCAACAATCTAAATCGACAACAGAAAGAGTACTTCCATCCATCTCTGTTTTAGTGGTGGAAGATAACGCAATCAATCAGGCAATTTTGGGAGCCTTTTTAAGAAAACATAAAATCCATTATCAAATTGCTAAGAATGGACAAGAAGCAATTGATAAATGGAGACAAGGTGGGTTCCATTTGGTACTTATGGATATTCAATTGCCCGTAAAATCGGGTATAGAAGCAACCAAAGAGATTAGATATTTGGAGAAGATCAATAGAATTGGTGTTTTCGCAGAGAATGAATTAATTAATAGCCACTATTCTTCAAATCCTGAATTAAAACGCGAAGAGTATTTAGATTTGAATGTTTTCAGATCTCCAGTTATCATTGTTGCGTTGACAGCTTCTTCAAACTCTTCAACTGATAAGAAGAAGGCATTGATGGCCGGATGTAATGATTACTTGACAAAACCAGTGAATTTGGTCTGGCTACAGAATAAAATCACAGAATGGGGATGTATGCAAGCTTTAATTGATTTTGATGGTTGGGATAGGAAGCGTGTAACCAATATTGAGAAAAAGACGCCAAAAGCTCATACCCCAAGGACAGAGAAGGGAGTCCTTCTAGAAGCACCAGTTCAAATCACAACAAATTAGTTATTTCTACACATACTTTTTTTTTTTGCACGTCTGAGATATAAATCATTATAAATAGAGGTTACCAGAGAAATAGTGTATACAATTTAAGAGCATAAACAAACTTGTAGATAGATATCTGTGACCATCTTCTCTTTATACCATATGTTAATCTCTTGATTAACCACCAGTATGTTGATAGGCGTGTGCTTACCGATATGACTTTTCAACCTCCATGGAAGACAATCAAAAAAACAAGAAAATGGAAGAGGAATTGGAAGAAGTCGTTCACCTAGCTATACTTAGACTGATAAACATATATATACTGCGATGTCTGATATAACAGAGGAAACATTGAATACTATTCTCCCACTTGAAATACTCGATAAATCTATTGGTAAGGAAATTCAAGTCTTAATGTCAAATGACAAAGAGTTCTACGGTACATTGATCGGATTCGATGACTTTGTTAATATCGTATTAGAAAATGTCAAGGAGCTGGATGGCAGCGGATCTTCTGATAAGGTAATCAAGAAAATGTTGTTGAATGGAGGACAAATCTCTATGTTGGTACCAAAAATATAAATGAACAAAAGAGCATAGAGGAAATGAAGTACATAAAAGTAAGGAACTATATTTTTTTTTTAAAAAAAAAAGGAAGCTAGCTAATAATACAAAAATTTTGATGAAAAGATCCAAATGTAAGTTTGAGGAAGTAAGCGAGACTCTAAGCCTGCCGTATATACTAATATCATGTCGGAAACAACACAGTTTCGTCTTGGCTTGTCACCAATTGCTAGCACCTTCTGTGGATTATGTGCAGGAATATGATTGCCACATTATCGACCAGGCGCTGTATAAATATGAGCCTCACATTATCTACAAGGATAAGCAGTATTAATAAGCTGAAGAGTATTAGACGGACTTGAACAACGTAGCCCAAGTAGAATTCGAAGGCTTAAAGTTGAAATCAGGAGAAATAAAGGAAATAAAAAACGAAAAAACTCAGGAATACAAGGAGTATACGGAACAAAGAAATGAAGATTACCATATTCAACGAAACTTCTGGAGATACAATCAGTGTTGATTTACCAGGTTCGCTCTCACTTGTAGACTTCCAAGTCTACTTGGAAGCAGAAACGACAGTCTCTCCAGCAAATCAAATATTGCTCAAAGATGGCTCTCCTATTGACGTGAGCCAGACTGATAGTGGAAAGACGATTGAGGGCTTGAATCTACTGGAGAATGATCTCGTCATCTTACAAGATAGGTCTTCTACTTCTGCTTCTGCTACTGCTTCTTCTTCTTCTGGTCCCCTGGCTGGCCCTTCTTCCTCGAGCAATAACGGTGGTTCTGATCCTGAAGACACCAAGATTGAGGAGATGAGAAACCATATTATCAACAACCCTCAAATGAATGCTCAGTTCCAACAGCAGAATCCAGGGTTGCATGCACTTCTTCATCAACCTGCCAAGTTCAAAGAAGCCTTGAAACAATCAATTCAACAATTCAATACTAGCGGAGGTTACAATTCTCATCAACAGGAAGAGTTGAGAAGATTACAAGAAGACCCGGACGATCCAAACAATCAAGCCAGAATATTAGAGTTGATTCAACAAGAGCAGATTGAAGAAAACTTTAGATTGGCTTATGAGATCTCCCCAGAATCGTTCACTTCTGTGAACATGCTTTACATAAACATTGTTATTAATGGTCAGACAGTTCAAGCGTTTGTTGACTCTGGAGCTCAAGTTACTTTAATGTCACCAAAGTTGGCTGAGAGGTTGGGACTTTCAAGATTAATCGACAAGAGATACATTGGCGAAGTGAGAGGTGTGGGATCGTCAATGACAAAGGGAAAAATTCACAGTGTGCCTATTTCCATTGGAGACTCTGACATTGCAATCCCTTGTGCGTTTACAGTGTTGGATACAGCTCACGATATATTGTTTGGATTGGATATGTTGAGGAGACATAAGTGTGTCATTGACTTGGAAAGAGATGTGTTAGTCGTTGGAGGAAATATTGAAACAAAATTCTTACACGAGCTGGTTGTCCAACATGAAGGACTTGGTGCAGCTGGTAATGTACTTGGTGGAGGGGCACCAGGAAAAGTGTTAGGCGGCGGTGGTAATGTCTCAGAGCAGGCTTCCTCTGGTTCTAACAAACTTGGCTCTTCCTCCTCTGCACCTACATCAAGTTCTCAATCTGCACAAGCTGCAATCAATAGGCAAAGTAAATTCAAGAAGGAAGATATCGACACGTTGGTAAATATCGGATTCCCAAGAGATCAAGCGATCCAAGCTCTTGAAGCATGTCTGGGAAATGTCGAGATGGCAGCTGCAATGCTTTTCCAATGAAAATGAAGGTGAGATGAAACGAAATGAAACGAAATGGCATATTTATTTCGACTAATTAGAATTAATTAAAAGTTAACTAGTTTTAGAATAATCCTACGAAGGAACCTCTGTGAAAGTACTCACTTCCCTTTTTGGTAATCTCTTCAACATCGTCTGTGTCTAATTCAAATTCGTACACTTCGATACTTTGCTTTTGTCTCTCCTTGTTCGAGGATGTAGTGATTGGAAGAACACCTCTCTGTAACGTATATCTCAATAATATCTGAGCAGGAGTCTTTCCGTATTTCAGAGACAACTTCTCCAACACAGGGACTAAGGGGTGATCAGTCTTGAGCTCGCCAGAATCTGTATCCTTGATTCTAAAGATTGGCGTTAATGGACCGTAAGCTTCCACCAAAATGTTGTGCTTTTGGGAGAAATCGAGTATTCCTGGAGACTGGTCTTGAAGATAAGGATGGAATTCGATCTGGTTAACCACTGGGGCGTACTTCACATCTGGAATATTGAAAATTCTTTCCAAGTCTTGAACCCTAAAGTTGGAAACCCCAATTTCTCTAACCTTACCTGAATCCTTTAGACTCACGAGTTCGGCCCATGTCTTCTCAATGGTGTATCCATACGAATGGACAGGGTCCAAGAACGGATGGTGGATCAAGTACAAGTCAATGTAGTCGGTGTTCAAAGCCTTGAGAGCGATTTCAAGTGCATCACGTGGGCCCTTCGATGGTGCTTCCCATCTACTAGAACCTCCGACGTACTTGGTGGTCAACCACAAGTCTTCTCTCTTCTTACCGCTACTTTCTATAGCCTGTCTCACCTCGTCGTACGTATTGTAAGCTTCGCTACTATCGATGTGGTTGAAACCAGCTAATAAGGACGACTCAATTGTGCTGATGATCTCCTTGGGAATTTCCTTGTTCTCCGGATTGGCTCTCTTCCTATCTTTCCAGATGGAACCAGAACCGGTTCCAATGGTAATTGGAATGCCAGACTTCGTTTTGAATGGTGCTTGTACGGTCATACTCGAATGCAACTGTATACCACAAATTCGTTACTCTAAATAGCTATAACTAACAACTACTGCTTAAAACACTGACACATGACAATAATTCCGCATTCCGATTCCTCAATCGGCCTTATATACTCTTATCTTAAACTGCGGCACCTTTTTTTTTTTTGTATGGCTCATCCGATTGCCATACATTCTCTCAAATCGCCTAATTCCATCCCTAAATTAACTACAGCTTAGTAATGTGAAACTGGTATCACAGTTTATATTAGGGGCTCTACTAGTGGTGTTTTGGAAACGTTTGCAGGGTCCGTATTCAGAAGTTCTTTTCACTGTGGTTCTAACGGTATTTTTCTTCTATTATGTAAGTAGCCAACTGTTTCAGCTGGGCTGGTATTTTGTTCTAACGTAACACATTGTTAAGCTTATTTTAGTTCATTCTCTCACCAATGCACTACGATTTAAATCTTAATACGAATATACTATATTTAGTCATATTTACTCACTTCATCCAGTATGTACTTACCTGTTCTTTTTAAACGTTTATTACTGTTTTCTTTTACTTTTTCTTTTTCTTTTTCTTTTTTCGTCTTCTTTGTCTTTTACTTTTTTAACTCTATACCCATCCGCTATTGTCTTTTTATTGCACTTTTTTATTTTTTTTTTCTTTTACTATTAACCTTTGCACTATACCAAGGCTTTGTCATACATCCCTTCGAAAAATCCTCTGAACTTGTAGGTAGCCCCCACAGTGTCAATCTTGTTTACGTCCTCATTGTCCAACTTAAAGTTATATATCTCTAAACTCTCTCTGATTCTTTCTTCCTTGGACGAGGTGGTGATTGGCAAGATATCCTTCTGCAATGTGTACCTCAATAAAATTTGAGCCTGGGTCTTACCGTACTTTTCACTTAATTCTGGTAAAAGCTTTGTTAAGGGATGGTCTGTGATTTCCTTGTCACCTTCCTTTATTCTGAAGAGTGGAGTCAATGGCCCGAATGCTTCCACCAAGATCTCGTGGTCTTGACAGAACTTGACAATATCGTTGGTCTGGTTTTGCAAATATGGATGGAACTCAATTTGGTTGAAACTTGGGTAGTATTCAGCGTCACCATTTGCAATCTCAAAGCATTCTTCAAGATGCGGGATCGCGTAGTTGGAAACTCCAATGTATCTGACCTTACCCAGTTTCTTAGCTTCGATCATCTCGGCCCAGACTGTGGCACGCGTTTGGCCCTTTGAGTACTTTGGATCGATAAAGGGACAGTGAACCAAGAACATATCGAGGTAATCGGTTTTCAACTCCTTCAATAATTTATCAAGGGACGTCAATGGACCAGTCGACAAGGCTTCCTGCTGCGTACCTAACCCTGGTGTGTACTTGGAAGTAATCCACATGTCTTCACGCTTAACTCCGGATTGTTTCAAAGCGGCGCCCACTTCTGGTCCGGTGGTATACACTTCGGCCAGATCGATGTGAGTGAATCCGGTATTGATAGCTAACACCAATTGATCAACAAGTTCTTGGTGAAGATCGACTTCGGGGTTAGCCTTCTTGGCCCATTGCCACTTGGTACCAGAACCTGTTCCAACCTTCAATGGCTTACCAGATTTGGTTGCAAATTTAGAAATAAGAGATGTTACAGTCATTGTAGAAAACTAATGTCGTTATCGGTAGATACTCTAAAACAAGTTCCAAACTTTACACACATGTTCATATTCACCGGATTCGATGTTTATTTATACCACTTTGAAAATTTTTTACCTTGGAACCCTTTTGGAACATGACGCATGGCCATCTTATCTAAGTGCGGCCCCGTGTAGCAGAAAAAATCGAACCTCGATCTGCAGATTTGATGCACATTGGCAGGTAATGAGTGCAGAAAATTAGAAGATTTGGTAGCACCAGAGAGCTCGATGAGTCAGGGAAGTAGAAAGGATGTGCGACTCCTGTACATGATCAGCTCTAGACTATGCTCTTCCGTTTAGTGCAAGCTGCCAAAAACTGCTACAAGGTGCTGAAATGTAACAACAGGGGATGACAGCCAAATAACTAAGCACACATTTTACCAGACAGTGTGGTTCCGATACTAGCGATCTAGAAGTAAACAGGCGCTAAGAAAATAGGGAAAAAAGAATAGAAGTGCAGTGGCTTTTGATAAGCTTTCACCAAATTGAGCGCGTCAATATGCGGTTAGCGTCGCACCATCTGTCAATGAGCCTCGCAAGGACCTAAGTTTTCTGCCAGCTGAACTTCGCGGATTCTCCGAGTACTGCCGATGCTACCCATGTAGTGCGCTTACTAGCCTCACTGCGAGCCTATAATAGAAATTGATACGTTAAACATACTACCACGGAGCAAGCATACACATCTCGGGGGGAGGGGCGCAACTTACAATATTGAGTGCCTAGGTTGGAAAAACACTTTGTATATATAGATATAAAATATAGTACTGCTTAGTTTCTTTTTCCAAAAAGTTATTTTCATTAGTTATATCATTTCACAAATCCATTTCTTTTTTTTTTTTCTTTTGGCTTTTCTTTGTTTATTGCTATATCTTCATTGCTTGTTGTATTTCTTTATTCTAATCCGTTTAATGCTTCTTCTTCTTCTTCGCCGTCGGCCCTCTTCTTCAATACCAATGGCTTACCCATAACTCTAAAATAAATATCCTTTATGTCATCGGTTGTACTTTCAAAATGTGAAGTAGGATCATAACTCTTAGATAAGTAGATTCCATCTGCAGTACCATCATCTACTGGTTCATACAATTCAGCAATGCCCATTAAAGTGTCTAACCTAGTTCCCAAGAGTTTGAAGGCAGGCTCCAACTCAACATGTGGCAGATCAGTCTCAATGATCGTGGAGACAATTGCCAAGTAGTATCCCTTAGGGACAACCATATGCTGGTCTGATAAGACGGCAATGTAAATATCACTCTTACGGCCAATCTGGTTCTGAGGGATAATCAATTGCAAAGAATCTAATTCATTGGTATTGGCAACTGGGTGGTCCATTATGCACATTGCTCTTATGACTCTTTGGCCAGTCTTCTTCACCTTTTCTGGGAAATATGTTGGGTCTGCAATGACAATTGGGGCTCTTGCAGTACCTTCCTTAGTCTTGACCCCAGCAAACTTGCTGCCATCTTCGCTGTATAATACTTCATCAATTGGAGTATCCAACATGTATGTACCACCATAGATGGCTGATAATCTAGCAAAACCTTGAGGTAATTCTCCTAATCCATACAACGGGTAGATATAAGGAGATTTACCGTATTTGGCAACTGATTGGACGTACAACATGATTCTTTCGTAGGTTGGTCTTGCTACTTCATTCAAGTAGTCATCATTCGACCATAAAGCCATGGCGTGTCCAATAAAGTCCTTAGTACCAGTTTCTAATCCGAAATGGTTGTAGACTTCGTTCATGGTGTTTGAATCTAAATTCAACCCTTGGTGTGTTGAAGCTTCATCGTCATTGTACTTGGCAATAAATTCTAAAAATCTCTTCATTCTACGCTTTTCAAAAATCCCCATTAAGGAGGACTTGATGGCTTCAATTTCGTTTGAAGGAACCTTGGCAATTCTACCGCTTCTGTAAACATATGAACCTGCAATTTGCTTAAATTCTATGTAACGGGTAACATTGGTGTGGACTAAGATGTTGGTCAATTCACCATTGGACATTAAAAACTTAGGAATCAAGTCGACACACCAGTCTCTGTCTCTCCCGCCAAGGTTGTCTGGTTTTTGAGACAGTGGCTTAAATTTGGAGTACAATTGAGACAAATTTAATGATGCTGATTCCCCTCCGTAGAAGTTTTGACGGTCGATATGGAGAACCTTCTTGCCCTCAACCGATAAGAGTCCTGAGAGCACACACTCGGTAAGCCCAGTACCAAGTACTATAACATCATATTCTTCATCCATGGCTGCAGTAATAAAATCAAGAAAATTAACTTAATTGGGTAGTATTCTATGTATCTAACCAGTCGTGAATGGCGCCTGGTGATCCCTGTGCTGGAGTTTTTTTCTTCGTGTTGGAACGAAACGATCCTGAATTGCTTTGCCCAGGTGCAGGTTCAATATTTGGGAATGGAGCAGAAAATACCAAGGTACAACAGCTGCGAAATAGCGTCTAGGGTAATTTTTGGCGCGAAAATAGCCGGTAAAATAACGGGACTTCTTACACAAAATACCCTAATTTTAGGGCCCCTTCGTTATAAATAGAATGTATGAGGTGAAATAGTGACTGGCGGAATACTGGGAAGACTTACAAGCAAAGAATATAGTAAATGCGTTTATAATGTGGTGGGTGATGAAACTCGAGCTATATTTGTAGCATTGTTTTACCTTTATTTGGCAATTGGTGGTGTGGTTGTTGGTATCCTTCCTTGTTCAGCCTACCCTTTTATATTACATCATAGAGGAAATTCGCAGCCTGCGCCAAAAATGGTTGCACAAGAATGGTGGGAAATGGTACATGGTACATGGCTGACCCAAATGTAGAGATATTACATCACAGTACTGAGTTTAAATGGTGGGTTACCACCTTTCCCCATTCTCTCTTCCTTTTTAATTACATTCTTAATTTCATTCTTACATGCATTTACTTTTCTTATTCTTTTAGTGCATTCATACAATTTGCTCAATCCTGCTTTGAAGTAGAACTATACCACATTATGAAACCCGTCGGCTGCTGCTCTTTCTAAACCCTTCTTAATAATCTTTGAAATTTCCTCTGGATCTGAGGTGATTCCCGTAAGATTTTCATACCCATCTTCAGTAATCAAAAGATCATCTTCAATTCTAACTCCTCCAATGTACCAATACTTATCTAAAACGTCCTTATTGATATATTTAATCAATTCTCCATTCAATACTTCGTCAAGTAAAAACGGATTGAAGTAACATCCAGGCTCGTTGGTGATCACCATACCTGCCTGTAATGTTCTACGCATTCTTAAGTATTGTAACAATGGATCTGGATCGTCGTACTTAGGGTAGCCACCTACATCGTGAGTGTCCATTCCTAACAAGTGACCCAATCCATGGGGGAAGAATCTGGCAGATACTTTAGCCTTGAATAACTCTTCTACTGTGTATTCGCTCTTAAAAATTCCCAATTCCAAGAAACCTTCGATTAAAACCTTGTGAGCGTGTAAGTGTAAATCTTCCCACAATGCGCCAGGCTTGGCCGTTTCGCTGGCACTCAGTTGCATCTTTAAGACGAGCTTATAGATTTCCAAATGTTCCTTAGTCCATTCACCGTTGATCGGGAAACATCTGGTAACGTCACTAGCATAGCATTCCCATTCGCACCCTGCATCAATTAAGACAGATCTCCTCGTAGGAGCGATATCTTCGTCATTCTTAACATAGTGCAAAGTGGAACAGTTCTCTCCCGAACAACAAATAGGATCGTAAGACTGGTACTTAGAGCCTTGTCTCAAGGCATGATACATGAACTCAGCGTGAATATGAGACTCATTGTGTTCAATAGGCAATGCCAGCATAACTGCCAAGTGACAATTATCGGTCAATTTGGCTGCCTTACGCATCAATTCAATTTCATAGGAATCCTTAATCAATCTTGACTCGTCAAGCGCATAGAAGAACGACTTATCATCAGCAGTCAAAAGGGAGCTATATTTCTCGTTATTTTTGTTCAAGCTGGTGGTGTAGATCTTCTTACCTTTAAAGCTGCTCAATTCCTTTTCAATTTTGTCACTATACTTGACATGGTCGACATTGTACTTTGACTTGGCTTCTTCAACGGATAAGGGTAAACCAGACCACATGACATCTTCCTCATCTACTTCAGGCAAGAATAATGTTAACGAGTCGCTTTCAGAATCATAGAAGACATGTGACCCTGGAATAGATACTCCTGAAAGGTAGAAGAAGTATCTATTCTGTCTAATTGGTTTAGTTTGATCACTGTACTCCCAGAACTCATAGCTCTCACCTGATAAGAAAAATCCAACAGGCGATGTGATTTTGGAGTGCGTTTTAAAATGATTGTAAACGTTCAAAGCATGAGCTTTGGCTGGGTATTTCCCACTGACCGTCATTGTTAGTGATGTGTTAAGGCAGCTAGAACGTGGAACTACAAGTGGTGAAATTACTTTCACCTCTTCCTTTCTCTGGTTGACTTTTTTCGAATGGCTCTTGAGCACGGCAAAAATTTGGTTAATTCCGTTCCCTCTGCATAAAATGCAAGGCACTAGATATAAAAAGATATGGGGCATGGATTTTTTTTTATTTTTTACATTTTTTTTTTTTTCAACAAGTTTGTTTCATTTCGCTTTATTTTACTGTATTTTGTTGTATTAATCGTTTTTATATATATTGTGTCTAGCTGTTGTGTTTTACAATGGAAGACTGTTTCTTGCTATGGAATATACGGTTGTTCATGTTCCATTGATTTACATGTACTGTTTCACAGTTAACTACAAGAGCAGGTGGCATTCCAATGAATATGTTCTTATTTCTAACTTATACCTCTATTCAATTATAACTTCTTCCTTTTCTTCAATGATTTCTTCCTTGATTTCCTCGATCAATTCAGCTTGAACTTCATTCTTCTTCTTTTCTTCGACCGCAGCGGCATATTTAGATCTGTAAGATCTCCATTCTTCTAATTGAGCACGACGTAACAAGATAGCTTCTCTGGTGGCAGCATCGGCTTCCATTGCATCGTTTTCATCGAATTGTGCACTGTACTCTCTCAAGTTCTTTCTAACCTTCTTTCTGTCAGCAGCATTCAACAAGGAAGCTGGTCTTGGTCTCCAGATAAATTCCTTAAACTGGTCAATTGATTCATCTCTGACCAAGTTACCAGTGAATTCGTAAATCTTGAATCCATTTTCCATGGTGTGTAACCAGATTGATGACCATGCGGCGACAAATCTTCCAGATGGATCCCAAGCCAATGAAGTCATACCAGAGAATCTTTCTTGCTTCATCAATTTGACAGAGTCATTCTTCTTGGTAGCAGTGACGTTCACGTTACCAGTAGATGTTGCAGTCTTGTCTTCTTCGTATTGAGTATCGTAGAATTCTAATTCACCGTTATTCTTGGCAATGGTTGCAACTACGGCATATCTACCCTTTGGTGCCCAAGCAATAGTGTTAGAATGCTTGTCAGTAACTGTTTTAAGACAGGTGTACTTAGCGGATGAGCTCTTACCCTTTTGTTGTAACTCTGGTCCATAAAATGAAATAACATTCTTTGGGATTGAAACGTTGGCACTACCGTCGTCTAATCTGGAAATGGTAATGAATCTTTCGCTTCTTGGTTCCCATGCAAAGTTGTAAACAACATCCTTTAATTCTAATTTTTCAACTGGAATATCCTTCTCAGTTAACTTGAAGAATTCCAAATTGGAGAAAAATGTCTTCTTGGATTTAGTGTGTCTATCAACTTTAACACAAAGATACTTACCTTCGTCTTGCCAGTGCATTTTACAATCACTCACTTGGAAAATGTTGATGGTTCTAATAACCTTTCTTTCTGGAATTTGCATGATGGCAACTCTAGCAGTCTGGTTACTTGATTCTGGGGTCCAGTAGGACAAAATGTGCTCACCTTCATCCTTCTTTGGACCAGCAAGGAATACTGGAGCTGGAGCCCATTCGAAATCAACGATATCGTCAACCTTGACTAACTTCTTGTCTAATAATTGGAAGTTGTCGGTGGTATCATAAATGGCCAAGGCACCTGGACCTTGTCTAGCACAGTACTTGTCATCGTGGGACCATTTAACTAATGGCCATGGCATTTCCTTTTGTCCTTCCAAGTGTGGAGGTAAGGCAAAGGTTCTGGATGGTTCTCCGGTGATGAGATCCCAAATAACTAACTTGTGTCCGTTACTTTCAGGTCCGAATGGGAAAATGGCTCGTTCTTGAGGAGAGTCTGGCAATTGAATCGGCACTGGAGATAAAGTCACCATATAGCGTTCGTTTGGAGAGAAATCAATTAATCTGACTTGCTGATGAATGAACTTCTTACAACTTAAGAATTCTGCTCCACCCCATGATTGAATACCTTGAGGGTGAACAGAGAACAAGTAAGTACCCTTTGGAGAGAACTTGGCGTAAGTAGAAGTGAAACCCTTTCTTGGTTCGATGGCTGGTTCTGGTTCGTTCTTCTTCTTATTCCAGTAAACACCAACGGTTTCTGAAAAGTGTTGAACAAATTGATCTCTTCCAGCTTCATCTTGTAACCAAGACCTCATGTAACCGACATCTCTAATTTCTTCAATAGAAGGTTCTTCGAATTTGTCTGGAATATTTCCTTCAACACCGTACTTTTCAATGTCGCTCAATCTGTTGACCAATAATCTGTGCTTTTGATCTAACTTCTTACCATTCAATTGCTTGATAGCAGCTTCGGCCATTTGAGGTTCCTTGAATTGAACAAACAAGTAACCCTTGGACATACCGTTTTCCAATGGCATGTAAACACCATCTTCACCTTCAACAACTTCTCCGATAGTACTGAAAAGCTTCTTTAAAACCTTAGTTAAGATTGGTACTTTGGCTTCTGGTGCAACTGGAGCACCATCAACTACAACATAACAGTCGAGCCCAAAGTCGGCACTCACTTGGTATTTGGCCTCTAAATCGCTGAAATCAACGTCGTCCAAGTTGATCTCCTTTTCGAGCTCTTTCAAGTATTGTTCTTCAGTCTGATTTGGCATCCTGTCTGTAGATATAACTGCTTCCTTGGACCTGGGAAATTGTAAACGTTTTTCTTCTTGTGTTTGAAAAGTTTCGTGCCTTCGTTGAAAATTTTTTTTTCGATCTGTATGGGTTTTGTGTCACATTTCTTGACTTATATGGGGACAGGAATGGACTGTACAGAAGATCAGAGATCTGCAACACTTTCTTTGGCAGTAGGAAAGCGTCTTTAAGTACTACTAGTGCTACGGCTAAGGTAAATTTCATAGCTCATCGTATATGGCTGGACTTTAGAATAACAAAAACAAGTGAACGAAAAAAAAAAAACATACTAAATAATAGTGTAAACTGAGATTTGACGCATTCCTTTGTAACTATCACGAAGGAGATGTGATACTATAACTGCAAATTCATGTATTAACGTGTGTTAGCCATTACGAGCTAACTCTACACGAAGTTTAGCATTTTCTACCTCCAACTCTCTTAACCTCTTTTGCGCTGCTTTATTCTCGTAGACTCTTGCTTCTCTTTCAGCCTTCCATCTATTCGTTAATTCTTCCAACCTCAAATTAGTACGTGGAGATCCAAACGTATCTTCAGACTGATCGGCACTGTTTTCTTCTTCATTCTGCTTTATCACCCTAGCGCTGCTCATTTGTAATATCAGTTTCGTATGTGATAGCCTCCTATGCTGTTGATGCTGTTGCTGTTGTTGATTGTTCGTAACCTCGGACACATCTGTCAATGCATCGTTCACGGCATTTAACTCATCTATCCTCTGCTGTAATTTCAAAATGTAGGCTCCCTTCTTTCTGCTTTCCTCTCCCTCCTTCAATAATAGCTTTACATGATCATGAACAATAATATCAACAGCTCTTACAAAATAATCGAACACAGACTGATGATACTGATAAGGTTTCTTTAAACCCCCCAAAGCGTCCCATTTTCTATCATTTTCCTCTGAATTTCTAATAATGTTTTTCGTAAGCCATTCGATTTTCTTTTTAGGATCTTTCAAAGATACATCATCTGCTATTTTAATGAAAGAGTTTAGTAATTTTTGAAATTTCACAATATCAAACAGGACAAACTCTTCAAAGTGATATTCTAGCATTTTCAATTTAGCAGCGTCATTCGATTCTGATTCTTGTTTAGAATTTAAACCTGTGGCATATTGAGTAACTTGTTCCGTGAGGCTAGATATATTGGCCTGTAATGCTGCCTTGTCGTTGCTTAATGATTCCACGTTGTATGTTAGCCTGATTTTCTCAGCTTGCAATATTCTCTGTTTTTCAATGGCCAGATCCAAGTCTTGTCTCAACCTCTCGGTAGCGTTTCCGCCCGCCTTTAAGGCTATGCTTTCATTCTTCTTGTTATTGAGTTGGCTAGTTAAGGAGTTAATCGTCTTTGTGGAATCCTTCTGCAAGCTTCTGTATGCTTCAGTAAGCTCTTGTAACTCCTCGTGAAGTGATTGAATTCCCTTTTGGTTCGCATTGAGTTCAGTATGACTCAAGTCACGATTGTCATCAGCACCCTTTAAGCCGTTCACTTCTTCTTGAAGGTGGTCTATTATGTTTTGGTACTCCTCCAATTTAGCATCAACACCTTCTTTGACGGATTGAAGTCTAAGATTCTCACTTTTCATCTGCTCATATTCGTACTGCTTTGTAGGCGATATAGAGGCTTGACTATGCGGTGAATTTTGATACCTAGAAGGTGAAACAAAGGATGAACTCAATACGCTTCTATCAGTCACGTCATTGTTATTGTGAGACTCAGTTATTTGATTCAATTTTCGATTGATTTGATGATACTTTTGCTTTAATCTCTGTGATGATTCAATCTCGTTGTTTAATTGTGATTCTACATTAGATGTATTCTGTGTGTGATATGTTACTTGAGATTTCAATGATTGTACTGATTGAACAAGTTGTTCAATGGTCTTCACATAGTCTTCCATTTCGTCGGCATTTCTTGCCTGCTGTTCGGCAACTGAAGTAATCAAATGAATGTGAGCTAGTTCTATCTTCTTTGTCAAGAGCTCAGCATTTTGCACCTCGTTTGCGGTAATTTCGAGATGCTCTTGGATTTCATTGCCACTACTTTGACCGCTTCCCTTAACCAACTCTATCAAAATGTTATCCAACAGCTTGCACCAGTCGATGATTTGTTCTCTGGACTTGTTCAATAAATTTTCTTTGTTGATCAAATCATTCTGGAAAACTTCAAGATTACCATATAGATCCTCGTTGAGCTTACATATTTCATTATATTCGTTATCTTGTTCTTTAAGTTTCAGTGTCAATGACTCGATTTCCAGAAGAAGTTTCTCATAATGCGCCTGCTCGGCGTGTATAGATAGCAGGTCACCTAAGGGCAAGTGGTTTCTCTGAAATTGAATCATATCCTCGAGGTTATTCCCATCGCGAGTCCCAACAATTTCGCTCCTTCTGATTAGATCTTGGAGGTAATCCCTAAGAAACTTAATCTGAATTCTGTATCCCACAATCTGTTTATTGAGTTCTTCCACTTTAGCAGTGTTTGACGATGCATAAAAGTTGTTATTGCTCTTAGTTTCATCGTTATTATTGTGATTGTTATTGATGGCAACAGTATCAGTAGTTAAATCAGCCTGATCTGTATATGCAACATTGGGGAGATTTGAATAAATCTTAGAAGACCGTAATCTTCTCCATGGTGTTGATTTGCTTCGGGAAATTGCTCCCGTTGACCTTGGCTTTTCTACGTCCAAGTCCAAATCTGTGTCCAACTGAAATCCAGTTTCATCGTATTGGACAAACGAAGAATTGTTGTGTATACCATTTTCCAATCTGTGGTTGCTGATATTGCTTGTGTTGTATGAACGCGGGGACGAACCAAATGACGATGAATTCTGCTTAAGCAAAGGTGAAATTACCATATCTTTTGGCTCGCTAGCTTCATGATGCAAGTTGGTTTCATTAACTGTTTCCAATTCCTCTTCTAGGCCATTGCCATTATACTCGTCTTCGTCGCTGAGAGCCCCACTAATGGAATCATTAAGCAAATCACCGTACCTTTCGGGGGAAGATAGGTGAGCATAATCTTGTAGTCGAATTTCCGGAACATCAGCCCCTACATCTGGGTTCAGAATGAAAGGGCTAGACTCTCGACTTGAATTCTTAGAAGAATGTGTTGTGTGCGTGTTGAATGAAGCATCTGTGGGATCATCTATGCTTTCGTAAAAATGTTCATTACTATCTGAAGCGTCTGATTCTTCTCCGCTATCAGGGTAGTTTCCGATTCCATTCACAGTCTTTTTATTGTCTATTTCTCCTTCTTCTACGTCTTCGTCTTCGCCAATGATTACAGCTTCTTGGTTCTCTGTCCAATTCAACTCCTTCGAATGTTCGACCTGATCCAGGGCCAGCTTTTCATCCAGAAGTACCCCAACGTCTTCCGCATCTACAGTACCCTCGATTTCTCCCTCACCAAGCTTCCCTTTGGACTCAATTTTTTTGGATTCAGATATATTATCTGAAGACATACTTTCCACATCATTCGACATGTTCCTAACTCTGTGCGCACCAATATAACCGGTCCCTACCTTTTATCCTTCTTCTCTCGAAATAACTGTTTACATTTTAATGTACGAAGGTTTCGCGTAACTTGAAAAAAAAAAAAAAATTTGAAATTGTGCAGATTAGGAAACTTCGAAGACCGCTGAGAAAAGGGCGCTGAATGCAGTCCTGGCATGTGCCCAAGTAGTTAATCTAGCAGTAGATGGTGGTTGATGGTAGTCGATTTGCAGAATCCTATTAGCCTAGGAGTAACTACTATTAGTTGGCTACGGCTAGGTAATAAGATGACCGGGTAGTCAGGTAACTGGTATACGTACCTACAACTCGAAACTACACCACTCAATAATCATTCTTATTTATGATTTTATTTTACTTCTAGTTAACTAATAATTATGGGTGGCTACTTAGGTCTCCATTTCTTGATCTTCTTCTTCATCATCATCTTCTTCTTCATCGTCATCATCATCGTCGTCTTCTTTGGCTAACTTAATTGCTTCTTGCAACAAATCCTCTGGGACATGTACGTGCTTACCACCGGTTTCTTCCAACGAACACCAAGTAACTTCCAATTCATAATCCTTATCTTTGTTGTCTTCATGAGCTTGGTCAATAATCTTAGCAGCAACCTTTATAGCCTCCCTAACTGTCAATTCTTCGAAGTTTAACTTTTCTAATTCTGACTTGGCAGTTTGTCTACCTTTCCCCGTGGCTGCTCCAGTGTAACCCCAACATGTTCCACTTGGTTCGATCATATATAAGTGAGGTCCGTTTTCGTCAACACCACCGACAATGGCAACTATACCAAATGGTCTAACGGAATTGTAGCAAGTATAGTTTTGTACGTAAATTCCCAATCTGTCCATTAAATGAGGGACTGAAACTGCACTCTTATATAAAGATTTGAAAGATTGTGCTTCATCTCTTCCTCTATTTACAAAATGGCGTCCATCTGGTAACAACCCAGAGTATGCAACCCCGATATGTCTATCAATGGTCTGAATTCTCTTGTTCAGTCCTGCCACCAACAACTTAGAATTTATGATTTTTTCAACAGCCAAGACTATCCCGTCTTTGCATTTGAGTCCAATTGAGGTTCCTCCATTTTCAACTGCCTTCATTGCATATTCAACTTGGAAATTTCTACCATCCGGTGAAAAAACACTATTGGATAAATCATAACCAGTACCAATTGAAGTCTGTTTCATGTTAGTATCAAAGAATGCAAGAGTGAACAAGAATTGATTCCAAAAATATCACGATACTTACCATTTTTATGTATGTGTGCTTTTATTATGCGATTGTATGCGCGAGTCTGTGTGTAAGAGGTATAGGTACTTGGTTGTGTGGAGTTGCTAGTTGTTTAGTTCACTTCCTCTTGATCGCCACCAACTTTTTTGTACGTCGTTTTGTTCAGTGCATTTTCGCTCAAGATTTTTGAAATTTGTGTAATCTACTGTATGCAGGAGAATCAATGGCACATATAGAGAATCGTAGAGATGGTACAGATAGATAGAGTTTAAGGAGGGATACGAAGACCAAATAGAGGTGCAATTGGTACGATGGTTGTTAATTTTCAATGGCCATGGTTGGGAGTAATAGTACGTTAATGAATTCCTGTGTATTCTAAAGGAATGAAATAATCTCCAAAAGAGAAATAGAGTCACAGCTTGAGATGGTTCATTTTCAAGCTCGCTCTACATACTAACAAATAAAAGATACCTTGCGTGTTGATCGCTGGAATAGGGTATGGTTCGCACCTTTTCGTATTTGCGGCGTATCTATCTAACGAAAAGCAAATCATATTCGAAGTCCTTTTATCGATATTGTGGTTCTCCTACTACCTTGCCATAGTAACAGATGCTGGCACTCCACCCAAAAATTTCCAACCGCCAGAAGGTGAATGGAAAAGATGGTGTAAAAAATGTAAAAACTACAAACCTGAGAGATCCCATCATTGTAAGACCTGCAAGAAGTGTGTACTTCAAATGGACCATCACTGCCCTTGGACTTATAATTGTGTTGGGCATTCGAATTTACCTCACTTCTTGAGATTTTTGGTATGGGTAATGGTATGTACCACATTTGTAGCCGTAGAGTTGGGGAAAGTTGCCTTAAAATATTACGAGGATAGAAACTTGCCCTCCTATCTTGTGAATAAGGTTGAGATGTTTGCAGTTATACTTTTATTACCCTTAGACATCTTTGTATTGGCGTCAATATTGATACTTTTCATAAGGTGTGTTATCAACTTTGCATTCAAAGGGATGACGCAGATCGAGGTATGGGAATTGGAAAGAATTGAGAGCCAAATACGAAATGGTAGAATTTGGACCCAAATAAAGAAAAATTATCGTGCCTTGCATGGAAAGGAGTTGCCAAAATTGGTCAGTTGGAGTAAGCATTCGCGGTTCCATGAGGAAGAACCTGAACTTGAGGAAGATGATATATCTGACTTAGAAGGGTACGAGTATGAAATTGAGGAAAGTATAGAAGAAGAGGAAGACGCAGTTGCTAGTAGTGTAGTTAGTAAAACTGAAACTAGGCACGACTTTACTTCTGATGATTTGATATTTCCTTATGACTTGGGGTTCTGGCGAAATTTAACCGATGCATGTGGAAGTCCATTGGTGTGGATGTTTCCCTGGGGTAAACCTAGAACCCTGGGTTATCTATTTATAAAAAATGAGGATGTGGAAGAGGATCAGTTAGGGTTGCCTTGGCCTCCTGACGGAGGGCACCAAGAGAATCTTGAAGGTTTTGTCGATGAGCTTGACTCAATTCAATTAGAAGACTTATCAGAAGAAGGAAAGAGAAGGAAGCTTATGAGAATCAGGGACCCAAGGAGTACATTGAGAAGAACTGAATGGATGAACGATTTTGGAGAGACTTTGGACGATTTCGGGGTCGACCTCGACGCTGAGGACGCTGAGAATGACCATTTGTTAGCTAAATAGGAAAATATATGCATCAACTTACATCGGGGCGGCTAGGAAGTTACACATTTAAGAATATGGAGCTACGCTTGAGTGTAAGCGAATAAAATGAAAAGGAGTATAACACACTAATCAATTCTAGATGGGTATTCTCATTATTCATGGTCGAAGGGGTGCATGCTTTGCAATAGATGGTTAAGGAATACAATGGTAAAGCTGATAATCCCTTAAGCTCATCAAAGAGCAATATAGCTGTCTTATCCAATATAAATATGGAACCATTTGCCTTGTAAAATCCTTCAATTCAATCCAAAAGAAAGCAGAAAGCATAAGTTTTATCTCAATAAAAATCTGCTCCACTTAATTTTCCAAAAATGAAATACTCTACTGTTCTCTACACTATTGCCTTGTTTTGCTCAGTCAATGGATATGTCATTCCAGGAATGAAGGCTGACAACGTTAAAAGACATGATAACGAAAAGGACGAATCAGTTACTGCATTCAAGAGACATATCAATTGGGGTAATGACAATGATGACGATGATGATGATGCCGTGACTACTGTTACAAAAACAACGACTTACACAAAGTACACTCGTACAACTGCTCACTATCAGCCAACTGATGATTGTGACGATGACTACTATAGCGATTATAAGAAAAGAAGCAATAAGTCTATCAAAAATAAGAGAAGTGAAGGAACTGTCTCTAGAAACAAGAAGAGAACTTTTGGTTTGTTGGCTGATCTTTTCGGTGGTGATTCTGATTCTGATTCTGATTCGGACTACGACTCTGACTCTGACTCTGACTACGACTCTGATGACTCAGATTGTGACGACGATGATGATTATGATGATTATGATGATTACAAGAAAGCTAAGAGAGGTGTCAATCAGAAGAAGAAGAGAAACTTGGGTAAGTTCTATCCACCAACCACTGTTACTGTCACCACTACTGCTTCACCATATATTCCAACATCCACTGAAGATGATTGTGAAACCGAAACTACATCTTGGCCAACACCAACTGACGACTGTGATGACGACTACTATGGTGATAAGAAGAATAAGAAAAGAAACTTGGGTATGTTCTTTCCACCAACTACAGTGACTGTCACTGAGTACCCTGAGCCAACTCCAACTGATGATTGTGACGACTACTAAATAAGATAGTCTTCACAAAGCTATGGGTTAGCCTGGCTGTGCCAGCTCCAATAAGCCTGCCACTACCTAAGAAAAGGGTGCTAGGCGGTATTTGCTGAGCAAATATTATACACTTCTATCCAGATAAACACTATTAAAACCGAAAAAAAAAAGTTAGCAGAAAAAACGATAAATACCAAAAAAAATTTTACCCTTCTACTTCTTTAGTTAGCCAATAAATTGTTTCTTATTCCCTAAATTCAGTAGCCAGTGGTGGGTCTGTTCAGAGTTCACGCTACTGAAATAATATGGTAAACAAGTGACTGTCTTCTGCCGAGAGACGTCTTTCTTGTTCAAATAAAATGGGTGCAAATATTCCCATCGTTTCTGCAGCACTGTGTATGCAAGATTGAGAAAGTGGCACTAAATTTAAAAAGTCAAAGTTTCACGGTGCATGTAGTAGGCGAAATTTGGGGAAATTTCATGTTAGCGGGTGAGCCAATTTAAAGTTCAACTTGATTAAATGAAAAAATAATAAGGGATGCAAGAAAATTCACAACCCCCCTGAAGGAATTGGATTTAGGCCAATTTAATGTGTGTAAGGGGAAAATCTAGGGTGTGGTGCCGAAAAACCATTAAATATCAGAGATTAAGTACACAATTAACCAAACTGAAAACACTAAGCATCACTTAAGCAGCATGAAGCCTGTAGCCTGTAGCCTGTATGTCTACTCACTAAAATGCAGGTGAGCAACTCCGACACCGCCCGCAAAACTGCCCTCCCCATTTCTATTCTCTTCTAGAACATTTCAGACTGCACCTAACATTTTTCACTGGTTCTGCACTCCTCACCTCACGTGTGCTTGGATAATTTCACACTTCTATGGTCCAATGTTGGAAAAGTAAGATATAAGTAGGGGTTAAAGTGCATTGGAATTCACAGTCAATTGGAAGCCTTTTTTTTTGAATTTCCTTTCTTTTTTGATTGTTCTTTTCAATTAGTTAAGTAATTTTTAATTTTTTCAGTTAATTGACTTCTAAAGGAAAAAAAAAAGAAAAACATATTAAAATGTCTAAGACCAGTTTACGTTTAGGATCCACTGCCCCAGATTTTGAAGCTGAAACTTCAAACGGTAAGATCAAGTTCCATGATTTCATTGGTGATTCATGGGTTGTCTTATTCTCTCACCCAGATGACTTCACTCCAGTTTGTACCACCGAATTAGGTGCCTTTGCCAAGTTGGAGCCTGAATTCGCCAAGAGAGGTGTTAAGTTGATCGGTTTATCCGCCAACGGTACTGAATCCCACAAGGCTTGGATCAAGGATATCGATGAAATCACCGGCTCCAAGTTGACTTTCCCAATCATTGCTGACCCAAAGAGAGAAATTGCTCACGCTTACGACATGATTGACTACCAAGATGCCACCAACGTTGACGACAAGGGAGTTCAATTCACCATCAGATCTGTCTTTGTTATCGACCCAAAGAAGAAGATTAGATTAACTTTAGCTTACCCTGCTTCTACTGGTAGAAACACTGCTGAAGTGTTGAGAGTTGTTGACTCTTTACAAACCGGTGACAAGTACAGAGTTACCACCCCAATTAACTGGGTTCCAGGTGATGATGTTATTGTTCATCCAACTGTTTCTAACGAAGAAGCAAAGACCTTATTCCCAAAGTTCAGAATTATCAAGCCATACTTGCGTTTAACTCCATTAGATTTGGGTGAAACCAAATAAGTGTACTGAAGTATAGAGTACTTTATGAACTGAAATGGGAAGATAAGACAACTATTCAAAATAAAATACCATGATGTATTATTTGTAACTACTTAAATATATTAAATATATTAAATTAAGGATTTGGACGTGACTCAATGATGTCTTGTAATTCATATGTAGTACGATATTGTAACTCAATTGCTCTTCCTTACCAGCAAAGACCCCACCCTTTGGTTTGATGTGCCTTTCAATTTTTTTTTTTTTTTTTGGGGTGCGCTCTTCTTCCGCAGGGCACTTGTTAGCTGTGCGACAATTTGACCATAAACGATTCAGCTAGCAACAAGTGTACTGGGACACAGAGGCAGCCTTTACCTACTAAATCGTACATGAAAGTATCTGGATCGCTCTTCAGGACAAACGCGATTCCCATCTCCAAACCTGTGCGATTGGTGCCAAGTTTCAATTACTTTGCCCCAAGCCCAACATGGCCAATCACACTGGAGAGAAATAATAGCGTACAATTAGAAGCACAATCATCGCTCTCTCTTTCTAAGGGGCCAAGTATCTTCAAAAGGTCTCAATTCTTGTACATTCAGAGCAAGGATGGTGCGGACAAAGAGATAGATCCTCGAAAGCAACAACAAAACGCAAACTTGGGCTCTACGATTGATACGCTCAAGGAGCTCATCCCTCAGATTGCTTCCAAATCATTGCCAAAGCAACTTGTCTCTCCTGAAGTATTACTTAGGGTCTGCCCCACACATTTCGAGGAATTTAATGCTTATTTACCAGCTATCAAGGGCCATGTTCCCTACTACACCAGCTGTAAGGTTTTACAATTCCTTTTAACTTCCATAGTGTTAACTCCTAATGTGCAGCTCCACATACAGTCCATTCGAGCTACTACGGTGAATGACAGGATATTCCCTTACTATTCAGTTTATCCGGACTCCACCAAGATCAAGGTTCGTTGGACGACCTCCACAGAAAGAATCCATAACATTAACGACGACACTACCTTGTTAAAAGGTTGGTCAAAGGTTGCAACTACAAAGTTTCTAGATAAGCACAATATAACCAGCGATGATATTAAGAAATCTTCCAAATCTGGGGGTATTTCGTCTACGCTTGCTGAGTTGACCTCAAGTATCAAGAACTTGGCAAACGATAAGAAGAATAACTTAGAAAGAGTTATTTCTGGGATATTTATCTTCGAATTAAACGAAGACAACGATAAGATCATCGTGCACACCATTGAAGACATTGATATACTTGAGAAGACTGAAACTCAAGAGAATCTTGATGGTGGTTTAAGGGTTTGTTAAAGAGGTACCTACCATCTAACTCTCTAATTCTTTCTTTTCTTCTCAGTATGTTGATCAAACTGGGCTCATGTACATATATTCTACCCTTAACACATATACATATACATATACTTGATAATGCATAACAATATAGAAAATTTGAACTACATCTCATTACTGACATAAACTTTTATTAATTCCTATTTCGTTTTCTATTTAACATAACTTCGTAAATCATGGTTTCTTCCTTTTTCAGTCTCCCCTTTATAAAAGATCGCCAATAGCATTTCTCAATGCTCCAACATTGATATAATCCTGATACTTAAATTCATTGGCTTGCTGTTTTAACTCATTAAACTTCGCCTCTATGCTTTCGAAAATGTCATGCTGACTAGACTCGTCCTCCTTTTGATACAATAATCGCAATTGATTGGTAAGAAATTCGACTTTATCTAAAAGGTTCAATTCAGACTGCTCTGAATCTTGAACAAATTTCCAAAAGTCCGAGTCTTTCACCCCATCTGCTTTGTTTAACATTTCCAAATATGCTTTCTCTCCCCCCTTTCCATTAGCCTTCGTTAAAGCCTGTGAAGAAAACACTAGATGGGACGTAACTAAAAGTTGGTGGCGGAGTAGCTGGTTATTCTCGTTAGCAATCTTGAAAACTCTCAATTCCAAAATCAAGAGCATCACTAAAAATGAAAATATGAAGTAACAAACGGTAACAATATTAGTTCTAATAATTTCATTAAAGGAGTACTTTGAACTTGCAATAGGTGCCGTGGATTCGTTCCTTGAACTTGGAAGGGGCGTAGACACTTTAGTTTTGCTAGTTTTAACTTTCTTAACCTTTGGTGGTTTAGTCTTCGACACTTGAGCTTGCACTTCAATTGTTTCCTTTTCTAATGCTGCTTTCAATTTAACTAATAAATCATCGGTGGCTTGCTTTTGTCCTGATAATGATTGTTTTTCGATTACACTTTTGATCCAAGACCGGCCCGTCCATTTAATGAAATAAGACATCTCGAGAATGGTGGAATTATTAGGACCCCAAGTGAAACAGTATCTGGTCCAGACCGAGAATGAATTCCCCAGCGGAACATCAGGGGTCACTGTTCTTGTCAAAACATTAATATACTGGTTGAAATCAAGATGTTCGATGAATTCGACTACTTCACATTTGGTACTCTTGGGCCCAATGGTGTATCCCAACGCTTTCCTGTAAGAGTAACTTCTTTCTAACTTGGTTGGGTCGTCTTTCAGTGGATGGAATTTGTCGTACTCAGTTATTTCAGATGCATCATGATCCTCAAGAAACTCTTTGTGGAACTCCGTATTCTCTGAACCATAAAGGATATTGAAAACAATTCCTAAAGGTACATCGAATTGCTCTTTGCAAAGAAAGACTTCGCTATTTTCTTTAGCAAAATCTGTTGGTAATATAGTCGGAGAATGGCTGTCAGGTCCCATATTTATGTATTTTGAGTCTGGTTTAAATTTGATGACCTTAATTGACGTCGATGTAGAATCATTTTCTGAAATATGTACATCACCCTTTTCATCTACTTCATCGCTCAATTTATTTTCACTGATATCTTTGTGGTCCTCTTCCTCTTTGAAAACAATCTGGTTTGGAGCATCAGAGGTTAGATATTCGGAACTTTGTCCATCCTCATGCTTATCGTCATCTTCATCGTCGTCAACTGAATAATTTGAATCGGAGTCAGGGTCATCTATTCTCGAAGGAGAGTCAGGGTTGTCATCTCCATCTATGGATAGTATGTACGATTCAAACCTAGATTGCTGTTCCTTCCTTTCCAATTCCGAAACACCAGAAGCTGCAGCTTCCATCTGAATAATACCATTCGCATCTATAGAATAGCTTCCATTTGAGGCTATTGTACTATTGTCACCAACAGTTATAGTCGACGTATCCATAATCTTACCAGTAGATCCCTGCCATACTTCTTTCATAAACTCGAATGTAGAGTCTCTTGAAATAAGACTTGCTAAGTTATGCTTTGCATCTTTTGTCTCTATTAACATTCCATTGGGGAATAACCCCGCCGTCAATTTCTTTTCGAATTTAACTATATCAGACTGTTCAATAATGACATTAGTAACCCACCCCAATAAGTTGGAATTGAAGCAAACATGACGCTCACTGACGTATAACCTACCTTGTAACAAAATCTCTCTGCTTAAGGCACAAGAGAAATCATCCAATAATCTATCGGTAAGGTCTAGGGAAGTGAACAATTGGTGGAACTCTGTATTTCTCTTGATCGTTGCGTACCTGTAATTGGTGTCTTTGTACTTTTCTTCAACGTAGAGTCTTGTATCGTACTTCTCTTTTGGAGTGGAGAAGACTGAATTATCGTACTGGACGTTGCCATCACTTTCAGGGCGTCCCACTCGAGACTTCCTGTAGGTGATAATCTTAGGGGAGCCATCTGGTATCCCACCACTACTACTTCTAGCGCCGAACGAGGACAATCCTTGCGATGGCAACGGGGTAGGTTGATCTCCTCCGTTCACTACATCTCCCTCTGAATGGATTGCAGTGCCTTCGTCAAAGGCCTGCTGGAGGGAAGTCCGTGCTCCACTTAGATAGCACTTCTTCGGCGTGGCACTAGCAGCACCCTTTAGCTTCTGCTCATCCGAATCCTTCGATAGGATTGAATTTGCATCTTCCTTGTTGATGTACGGATCAGCCGGGAAGGGCTTCATCATAAACGGTGATTGCAACGAGAGAGACGAGTGGCTAGCATGGCCGTTGCCCCCTATGGTTGTGTTCATAAACTGGTTGGAGAGTCTGGAAGGAATGGGACTCTTAGCGGCACTGGAAAACTGGGAATCGCTGGACACTGTGGAATTCACATCGTCCTTGCTATCATCCACCGAGAAGGCCATCCTAGTATCTACCTTCAATAAGCCATTGCCATTGCCATTGCCATTGCCCTTGCCTTCTTCTTCTTCTTTGACCTCTGGGTCCTCTTCATCGCTCTTATCACCTACATCATCTTCTCCAACTTGCTTTCTTCCAGCATTTTCAATTGCTTGGTTGCTCTCGTGCACATTGTTTGATCCTCGCTTATCGATCTTATCGGTGCTCGCATCGCTCTTCTTGATTGGTAGCGACTCGAGCGACGGAGGGAAAGAATACGACCAAGGATCGTCATCGTCGTTCACACTTGAATTCATGGTTACTCTTACGGCTGAGCCTTCTATTCAACTGCTTCGAGAATCGGTATTGCTCTTGCTCTGTACGACTGCCTATCTACCTTCAGTCCGAGCCCGACCAACCTTTTCGCAAACTTAAACGGTGCAGTACAAAGAGCGCCTGGGAAAAAAGAAGAAAAATATACGAGCAGAACTCAGCCCAGGCTTAAGAGAGAGTGAGAAGGAGAGTAAGAACAGGGGGCCTATCAAAAAGCACACTAGACAAGGTATTTGGTGGTATTCTTCACGGGTTTCGATCCAGTGTGATCCTACTAGTACGATCCGCTTCTACAAAACACCATATCTGGCGCCGTTTTTTTTTTTAACGTAGCATTAATATATAAGCAATATACAAGATTCTTCTTCCTTAAAGAAAAAAAACCTAAAAAAGATATAGAGTGGAAAATAACAATGAAAAATGGAAAATAGAAGAAATTATTGTCTCTCTTTGTACTTTATATTTCACTGGTATCATCCTCCTCCAATACCTCTGTTTTTCTTTAGTTCTTGTCTGTCTTTTTTTTTGTTTTTTATAAAGGTAAAAGTATGATGTTGGGTGTTTCCTCTCTTCTTCAAAACTTGTGATAAATCGATTCTGTATATTTTTTTTCGATCTAAACAGTTTCTAAAACAACATCCTTGAAACCACCAGCAGAAACCTTCTTACCCTTTTCTTCAACAGAACCTTCACCGTGTAAAGCTAATAAAGC